ATGGGAATTTAAGGGTATACCGGCCCTTAACTGGACGGAATAAGGAGAACTCAAACATCTAGACTTTATTTTATTTCCCCAATGAAATTGGTTTCAGATTCATTGTGAAAATTTGTATCATCGTTCATAACAAGTCTTCCTGTTCGGTGACCGGCCAGGATGAGAGTCATTCTGAGAAATCGAGTTCAATGGGATTCACAGAGGGGAGAGAGAAAACCACTCAAGTCTTCTGGATCTGGTTCTGCTCTGCTCATCCCCAGAACCCAACATGGAGAAGCAACATTCTATGCTCCACAAATCTGGAGCAAACTTCCAGAAAACTGCTAAAACACTGAGTTTCTTGGACCCAAGGCGAGAAACCCACCCATTAAGAGTTTCCTTTGGTTAGCAGTAAGTCGAACATTTATCAATATATTTGTTGATGATTGTTGTTGGTTATTGTATTATGTTTTCTCAGTGCAAAGCACTTTGAGCAAAATATTGGAAATCCATATTTAGCCTGACAATCAAGATCTGTCACATAAAATCCCAATATAACACACTGACGACATGCTGAAAAGTTCAAAAGATGAGTATTTTTGAAAGGTTTCTTAAGAAAAAAAACAAACTGTCCCCTGTTTGGGCTCCAACAGAGCTGTAAATTAGGCACATTATGCAACCGGTAGTAATTTTACGCTAGATCCTCGACTCAGCATGAATGAGCTGCCCAGGTTTCCCTTCTACAGTCTGTGCTGGTGAGACACTTGTTCACAGGACAGACTGCTGATGTAGCTGCCGGGTCATTTCATCAGTTACGCAAACACTCCGCCGTAGGTTTAGGCCCAACTTTCGAACAATCCGTCTTCCTGCACGTCCGTGAGAACGGGGGGGGGGCTTCACTTCCTGGTCTTCCAGGAAATATCCCACCTGGGAGCGAGCTGAAATGTCACGCTGGGCCTCGGAGCTCGAGCTGCTTAATTGCCTTCCCCACCCGGGGTTGCTGTGGGTTTATCGTCTCACCGGAGGGGCTTCTGTCCTCCGGTTCCTGCGGCACAGCGAGGTTATCGGTAACACGGGGCGACACTGTCTGCGCTGACTCACTGACGCTCGCTTAGCTCTACAGGGTCCTCCCGAAGGAGGAGAGAGCGACTCGTACTGAGGAAGCCGGAGAGCGAAAACCGGGGAAAGGAGGTAGAGGGGTGGGGGGGAGGACGGCTCAAGAGTGGGTCTGACTTCTATTTTTGAACCTTTTGGACGAGGTTGTGGAAAAATGAAGCAAAACAAAAGGGGGAGAAGAGGAGTGGAGGGGAACGCACAGACAGGCGCACGAGGCAGATGAGATTGCCGGCTACAAAGGAGAACTGCTGGAGAGGAAAGAGAGAGAGAGGAAATGAGGGGAGGAATATATTTACCTTGAGTGACGCAGGGAGAGAAAGCAGAATCCCCCCTCCACACACACACACACACACACACACACACACACACACACACACACACACACACACACACACACACACACACACACACACACACACACACACACTCTAAGAAACTGGAGCTGATGCGACATAATCTCTGCAGTAGGTTTGCTTTAGGGGCCACCCTGAAAATCAGGAACTCCCTGATAAACATCACCTATAGGGGGAATTGTGCATTCAGGGCCTCACAGTGATAATCATGAGGTCAAATATAACCTGAATTATAAAGCATAAAGCACACATAAGATTATTGGAAATCCATAAACAGAGCCGGGGAGATATATGCTGACAGTAAAACCAGCCGGTGATGTGAGGATAGCCCTTCTGTATTATTGATGGGGCAGAGCAACAAAGACCGCTAACTGTTAAATCACACAACTTGGGTAAGGACTTGCAGTTTGCTGCAGTTGCTTGCAAAGAGAGAGAGGGAAAAAAACGTGTTTTTTCTGTTGTTTGTGCCTTGAAAGCGTTGTTTCTCGCTGTAAACTCTGCAAATAACAGGAGGATTTCTCAGTTTTGCTTTGTTGTGCTAAATTGCTGCTATGGGCAACAGCTTCAGTTCCCATATAGGCTAAAAAATGCTTCATGAATGTAAAGTGCATTGGCACAGCATAGAGTTTATACCATTGTCAGCGCTAGGCTAGGCTGCCCACTAGTGGTAAAAATTCTGAATCGCAGCCTGCAACCCTTCTATGATGGCATAAACTGAAAAAAAGACCACACAAAAAACATCACATTTTCTATATAAATAGAAAATATGTATACCATTTAGAATTGAATAAATTATGAAACGGTAACAAACTAACTTGTGTTCATGCACCTTTTCCTGCCTATCCACAAAGAGCAACTGAAATCTCAATCTCACAACTAGTCTGGTATCCCCATCTTTCCGTCTCCAACCCAGTACTAATTTTAATTCATCATACTCTCCACAAATCCTAGCCTCCAACCTTAACCTCTAATCCATCTTCTTCTTCTTCTAGAGCTCTCTAGGAGGAGACTGAGCCATGAACATTGATTACAGTCCATGTTTAAGATTCTAATGTGATTGAGTCACTTCTTTCTCAAATGGAATGCAAACGGACGTTTAAACAGATTTGTTTTGACCTTCGAGTTCCATCTAAAGAAAAGGATGCGAACCGCCGAACCGAATGATTCAAATGAAGCTAAGTAAATTTTACTTAAACTGTTAAAACATTTCAAAGACATTAATGGTACATCAATTTTCACAGCCCGGTTTCATCGACAGATGAGCAGGCCGAGGCTTCGGAGTGTGAAAACAAAACGTGCTAGCTCAACACACCTTAAGTTTTCACATGGCCGCATTGGTTGCCAAGGTAACCAACCACAACGTGGGCAACTCTGCATGTCCTATAAAATTATTGGAGGCTGAATTTTACATGCATTTTGTGAATCAGGTTTTACAAACAAACGAGAACCACTGTGGTGTCTGTTATAAGCCTGGCGGCCCGCCAGGCTTTACGAGACCCCAGCAATGACCTGTAGTCGCGCTTTCCGAGGTGCATTGAGCGAGCGGTGAGAACGATTTATATGTGTGGACAAAACATCAACGTTATGCGGACTTTCCATCTCAACACGCTGCCCAGCATGTGGCTCAGTCTTTCCTGTAAAGTTCACGTCTTTGGTCCCGTTAGCGGTTAACGAACCAGCGCTAACCTCATCGTCAGCCGGCGAGGAGCTTTCGCGCTCTCCTGCTCGACACGCTTCACGCTGGTTTTATATTATTTTATTGTTATTTTTAGTGTAATTTTATGGCTGCACAATGCGTCAAACCATATCAAATGCTTCGTCTGCTTAGTCAGCCACAGGTAATGCGCGCAGAGATCGGAAAAACTCGAGCAACAAACTTGAGCAGCCAGAACAGTTTCTGTGTCCCCTTATTAAAAACTCAATAGACAGAAAGAGCTACTAAAGCCACATTAGCAGCATTAAATTAAATCCCCCATTTGTTGCGCATCCCTGAGCGCAGTACAGCGGATTTGAGGCCTAAGGCAGAATTTGACCTTTGGCTTGGCTCTGTGGTGTCTGCAGGGATGAAGAAAGTGTTTAACTACCTTATTGGAACGGATTCGAATTCACCGGACAGTAATGTGGAGAAATGTCCACAAACTGACCCGGCTGGGAAGTCAGGGGACAGTTTCAGACTTAGGGAATGATTCTTCCATCCTTTCCAAGGAAAAAAATTGAGTCGTCACAGACATTCATTTGTCAAAGAATTCGTCTCTAAATTGTAAGGATTCCGTTGATTTTGAGCTTCAACGTTCCCCAAATGAGGAACGCTGGAAGGGAATGTGTTGAACGGAAGACTGGAAGGTTGCCATGAGTCACATTTGGTCCTTAAACCTGTATGAACGACACGTGGACTCTGAGTCACAGGGACGTGAAGATCTACTTTGTCGCAGTTCGCAGCCATTCCACTCTACGCTTTCATTTCGTCCTCCGGGGGGTTGGTGTGTTTGTGAATTATTAAAAGGGACAGATGTTTCTCTTTTAAAGAGAGGCCAAGATTTGCTTCTTCACCTTCACAAAAAATGTAAAAATCTCACACAAGATTTACCAAATATATGACTTCAAAATGAAAATCGTCTGAAATGATTACAAAACAAGACAAAAGAAAAAAAACTGATTAAAAAGTTTGACGACGATAGAAGTCGCCTGGCATGTTTAATATCTGAGGTTTTGCGACAGTAACTGGGAATTGTCATGGAAGATTGTATCTCCAACATGGACCCAGCGCATTGGGATAAATTGTTTTCAACAATAAGGGACTTTGTAGAGGCTGGTCTCGGGTCTGACCATCCCTCCTGGTGCTGGAGGGATGGTCAGACCAACTCTCGTCCCCGGGGTTGGTGGAGTTACTGCAGGAGACGGAGCTAATAAATGTGGCTGGCACTTTAAGGATGCATCATATTCACACCAGTCTTCTTTTGTCCAGTTTTATTGAACTCTAGTTCGTTTGCCTAGAAAGCCCAATTGGTTTGGGGAAGTGTGAATGCGCAATCAGACTCCCATGTGCATGAAAAAAGCCAACTCGGGCTCGGCTGGTTTGACACAGAGCAGTGTGAAAGCGAAGCTGGGCTGCTTAGAATTGCACTAATTTTGCAACTTTGGCTCCCAATCGAACCGAGTCAACCGGGTGTGAAAACACAGAGACTTTAGTGGCAATGTTGTTGTTCTCAGTTTTATTTCTGCTCCTCTTGTTTTTCTCTCTGTGTCGGTTATCCGGGCCGCCACGTCAAAGAATACAATCTCAAATTTTCCAAATTCAGTGGAGCTTGACCGCTACTTCTGGATAAATCGACCAGGCCAGATGAGCCTGGTGGGTTTGTTGTGTTTCCAGAGTCCTGGTTCTTCACAGAATACGCTCTAGTCAAACAACGCACAAATCACTCGTCCAGTTTCGGGGCTTTGAGTGTTTACTCTGCCATGACAACAAAAGGCAGACAAGTTTGGGTGTGCCACGCTGACAGTGGGAGGAGCCACGTCAGGTTTCAGGAAGAGCTGCGACTGCACCTGCTGCTCTTAGACTCCTGGAGGCCGGTGGAAGAGAAGGACCGCAGCGCTCCACGTCAGAGACCAAATTAAAAAAAGAAAACATGAGTAAGTTCTGTTTCACATGTTCTCTTAGTTCTCATCGTGTTCATGTTTCATGTGGCATTTGAGACAATAGTTACTACACAAACCTTGACTGAACTTTCATTTATTTCTAAGTATTTTATTGGTAGTTAAAAAACAAGTATTTGTTTATTTTGCCCGAAATCAAGAGATTCTGACTGAAAGGGCTATCAATTTGACTAGCAGTTTGATTTAAGCGGCTGTACGTGTTTTGTCTGCAAACGTGTGTTTTCTCCTGAAGCCAAATCAGGAGCCGTGGGGCCAGAAGGTCCAGATTGTCTGCATTCCTTAGATAGTCTCTCACCCTCCACGGGACAGAGTGACTTTCAAAAAGAAGAAAAAAAAAAAAAAACCTCCAAGGTGGTAAGAATTCTTTGTTACAAAATCATCCATGTCACATCATAAAATCAGTTATGAAACTCAGTCCAGGCCTTTCCTTATCTTTCCTTTATCTCGCCTGAACGACCATCCTGATTTCTGTAGCCGCGAGTCTAAAAACGCCGACATCTGCACATGTGGGGTCAAACGGCTGATGTAACACGACCCATTTCTGGTGCTGCCTGGATGGTTTCAGCTGTTTGCATTCAGACAGGAAGTTCAACTGTGTGTTGGTTAAAAAAAATGAAAGAGAAGTTAATAGTTCTTCATTTGAAGTATTATTCACTCTTCTTTTGCAGAGGTTTAAAAATAATCTAACATCGACTTGTCGACTATGAAGAAATATGAACATGTGATTCCATAGATTATGTTTTTCTGTTTTACCAGACTTAAAGGTATTTTGGTTTCAACAAGAGACACTGCTGTCGTATTCCAGAAGGGTCCACATGCAGATGTGGAGATTGAAACCGCAGACAAAACGCGTTTTCCAGAAAGCCGTGTACACGTGAATCAAATTGTGCGTCAGATTTCAGCGTTTCTAAATGTGCGCGTTTTTAATTCACCAAAAAATATTCAGCCAAGGGAAGAAGCAGTCTGTTCAAGGCAAAACATTTCAAATAAAACGGAGAAATGCTTCCAGGACTTTGTTTTGTCTTTTGCGAACATTATTCTCATTAAAAAAAGAACTGGAATATTTGGACATTTAATTATAAAGTTGTACGTTTTTTTGCCGACTTGAACTGAGTGATTTAAATCTCACCTACAGTTATTTTTGAGGGATTTTTGGTGACTGATCTATTCATCCGAATAACTATTATTTCTTCATATTGTGGTTTTCTGACTACATCGTTGCTAAAAAATAACAAATTTTCTATTGAGTGGTTGGATATTTATTTTCTTATCAAATTAAATGATGCAACAACCTGATTCCTGTGACAGATCCCCCCTGAGTTCATTGTTATTCCACTTTAAATCGAGCCGATTTAACGATATCGAACATTTTGAATTTGTTGGCCGTTTATTCTGCTGTATTTCTGTGGAATTTATTGTGATACTAAAATTGAAGACAAAAAGTTTTTTTACATTCTTTGCTGATTTTTCTCGGCAATTTGATGGCTTTGACTGCTTCTCGCTGCAGTCAAATAAAACTCTCAAATAATATAAAGAAGTGTGATTATTAAATAAGCTGGACACAGTGATAGGATTTAATCATATTTTATAAATGTATCCATCTTTATAGATGCTCGCATGGAACCAAAAGGGCGAAAGTAGTAAAAGTAATTTATAATTTCTTAATTAACCGAGATTTATAGTGGTCAATGTTGGGTTTGTTAACCTGAACATATAAAGAACCACACTAGAGAGTAGTATCACTTCAGCCTCTGCAAAGTCTTAGTGGTTGGTGCCTTAGTGTCTCCAACCCATCCCCCTGCAGCAGCCTGGTTTTATTCAAAGCGGGGCGGGGGTCGGTCATAAAACAGAAACCTAAAGATAAGGGGGTAGCGGGGTGTCTCTGAACTGGCTGAAACCGGTTTGTCCAAGAACAGGATGGTCCACCTCACCCTGTTTCCAGCATGGAGTAGAGAGACAAACCTATTCGTGAGACAACTATTTGCAAAACCCTGTCAAAATAAATGAAAAAAAAAAAAAAATGATACAACGATGAGAGGTTATTCACCAAAATAACAACATGACTGACGGCTCATCCTTTTGGTTTTGTTGTTTTTAATGGGCAGTTTCGGTGCAAATCCCAGACCTGTTTGTTACTCATCATAATTGCAGGTGTAAAAACAACAAACTGCACAATTTCTATTGGCAACTTTTGTCAGCTTAACACTAAAGTTGATGTTTTTGCATAAAACTTCTTCACCAGTGTCTGTGGAGGCTGATTTTGACAAATCAAAAACAAGATTCGTGCTTTGGGATGAATTTAGGGAAGTTTTAGTAAGGATCAGATTTTAAGACATCAAGCTTTGTTTTGAAACAGTACATTGGTAGATCCCAAAAATTGTGTGGAATCAACGACATAATACCCGAACTTCCACACAAATTAGGGATATTTCTCACTTTCCCTTAAAAGACCTTTACTCAGCTATGAGCAATATCCCCAAAATGTTGAAACCTTTCATTTGTCTGGTTCCCAGGTATCAATACTCCGACTGGCCGGGCCCTCACCGAGGACCAGTTCACCTGCTCCATATGCCTGGAAATATTTGTGGAGCCCGTGTCGACACCCTGCGGTCACAGCTTCTGCAAGGCCTGCCTGCAGGGCTACTGGAACCACAGCAAGAAGTTCTCCTGCCCCATGTGCAAGAAGAACTACTCCAGAAAACCAGAGATGAGCGTCAACCGGGTCCTGGCCGAAATATCCTCCCAGTTCCAGGGTCTGGTGGTCTCTGGCGGTGCCTCGGGAAGCCCCTCGCGAGGCGGCTCAACGACTACGAGCTCAGACCCGGGCCACAGCGGCCCTCCAGCTCTGGACACCGGAGAGTTCGCCCGGCCCGGCGACGTTCCCTGCGATGCCTGCATTGGGAGGAAGCTGAAGGCTCTGAAGTCCTGCGTGAACTGCCCTGGATCCTACTGCGAGGCCCATTTGAGGCATCACAAGAAGGTCCGTCTTCACACCTACCTCGACCCGCAGTCACGACTGCCTTTGTCCGCTCATTAACAGGTATTTCCTGCGTGATGTAGGTCAAGACTCTAACGTCACATTTCCTGATCGAACCCACCTTTCACCTGGAGGAAAAGATCTGCAAGAAACACGAACGCCTCCTGGAAGTGTACTGCCGCACCGACCACACATGCATCTGCAAGGCTTGCGCCGAGGCCACGCACAAATCCCACGATATCATTTCCGTCGACCACGAGTTTAAGAAAAAGATGGTGAGCTGTCGCCATTTTCTCCTATTCGAGGTGAAGGTGTATTATATAATCCTGCGGTTACTGAAGGTGTGCAGTCTAAGTGGTGAGGACGTCAATTTGTCAAGATAAGACAGCGGTGACTTATTGCTGCTGATATAAACCTCTCACTCAGATTTGCATTAAAGTCCGACAGTCAATTAACAGGTTGAACACTGATTTTAACAACCAAAATCCTCCATTTTTCCCTCCCTCAGACCAATCTGGGAAAGAAGAGGTCAGAGTTGAAAAACCTAATCAAAGAACGAGCCAAGAAACTGGAAGAGATCAAGCAATCCATCAAGGTCATCAAGGTGAGTCCACAGCACAATGAATATGTTGGTGGGTTACTGTGTAATAAGAGCCAACATCTTACAATGGAAAATCCAAGAAGACCATAGAAATCGACTTTGATTTCTACGTATTTCTTGTAACCAAACAAAAATTTCCAAGTACTGAGGATTGTGTGAACTAAAGCCAAGGCTTTAATAAATTAAAGTTTCAATACACACAGGTCAGACAGTTTAACCCTCTCCAGGCAGGTATTGCAGATTTGCAACAACTTAGCCAGTCTTTTCAAGTAATTTGAGCCTGAGAGGGTTAAAGTCTTCCTAATGAGATGCCAGAGGACAGGCCATGCTCACTGGAGTTTCTCTTTTAACCTGCAGTATGAAACACAGAGGAATGTAGGGCTGCCCCTCCCCCACCCGTTGCGTATACTACTAGTCAGCTGGGTGAAGGCGGCTCAAGTTTGCCGTCATTCAATCGAAAGAAGAGTTTCAAAGTTTGGAAATATTTGTGGTCACTCAGAACAAAGCAATGTTTCTTCCAAGTTTTGGGAAACTTTACAAGAAAGAGGCAAACTAGTCTAACACTTGAAAACTAATGCTAAATGAACATTTTAAATCATGTCATGTTTTCATTGGATCTATTTATTTTTTTACCTTTTGTTCCTTTTTATCCTAACGTGAGAATCTCACGCCTGAAACAAACCTGTGTTTGTTTTTCGCAGCCAATCAGATTCAGTCCTCAACCTGTTCCCAGTGGCTGTTAAACATTTACCCCGACTACAATGGAGCGCTTTTAATCTTCCAGAGCTTAAACGCTTCACCAATGCTTCCCTGTTCAAGGCTGGATTGTTAACCACCAGCTGATAAATACCCCACAGTGCCCCGTTTGCCCCCTTCATTCTGCCGTCTCACTTCACCTTGGCAGAGAATAGGAAAGACGTTCCGGTTCTGGATTTGGTTCTCTCTCCGGTTTGTTTGTTTTTCTCGCCTACATGGACTCCGGTCCCTGTTCCGACGCCGTCCAACCGGTGAGACCGGTGTAAACGCTTCACCGTTTGTATTCTTTCACCTGCGAATGCTCAATTGCTCAGGAGAAGAAGAGAAGGTCTGGAGGATCACACACCTGAACGGTTTTACGGGACAGTCATACAAGCCAAACCGTGGATAAAAATGTCATTGGCCAAACATTGAAATTGATTCAACATTCGTTTTCAAGTGTTACTAGAGGAAACGGCTCATCAGAATGATATTTTTAAATAGAATTCTCATTTCTTTTTACGGCGTTTTTAGTTCTACGTGTCTTGTTCAGGTGAAAGTTAACAGGTTTATTGAAACTCTTTGCTTCATGTTTTGCTTTGTCAAATACAGTTGGTGTTAAGTTACTAGGAGTCAATACAGCCTCAGTGTCTTTCTGTTCACTGTAAACACCCTGCTGTGTGTGAGTGTATCTGTTTATGTTCAGATATATTTGGATCTTATGGAGGCAAAAACTTCTCATTGTGGCCTTTCTGAATTGGATAGCTAAAAACACTTACCTTAATAAAAAGCACACACAATAGTTAATTGTCTGTTCGAATTAAAATGCTTCTAGGATCAAGACATTCACTCCGATACAGAGAGAAGTTTGGGAGTGGAAAGCTGTTCAACCCGCCTGTCCGGTTGAGCGGCGACTGGCAGACAGACTCTCAGGAAATACGGCCTATATTTCACATCCTGAGATGATATGGTTTAGTTTCAGCCTGAGGGATACAGTGCTAAAAACTGCAGGAAATATAACATTATCTTGGTATCTTAAGTTTCAGTTTAAATTCTATACATTTTCTTCTAAATGTTTTTTTTAAGCTTCTCTCATGTCACGTATCAGGAGAAACCAGAAATGAACCGGGTTTTGAGGAAGACAAAATTTGAAATGACAAGAATAATAATAATAATTAAAGAAACAAAATATTTGGCAGCTTCTTAACCTCTTATTCTCTTATTTCTTTTGAGTAAGTTTTAGTTTAAATTCTATACATTTTCTTCTAAATGTTTTTTTTTGTCCTTTCATAATGCCAAACTACAGTACAAAATGCTTCTGATTTTTAAAGAATAATAATAGAAACATACAGTTTATTGTACATTACTTTAACAGCTGGTATACAGATGAAAACGATGAGTATTTTATTACCTTTTTATTACCTTTTATTATTTTATTACCAAACAACCTATTACATTGGTTGTTTGGTTGACAAATAACATTAAGAAAGTCAGCATGAAAGTGATAAAGATTAAGAGCTTTGTTCCCATTTATTTCCATAGAAAAAAAAGTTACATCTGTCACATAACCAATTAAATACCACTGGACCAAACCCCAAGATACCCCAACTTGGGTGTCATGAACAAGACCATCAAGATAGAAAAGCATTGATGGTTAATATTGGTGACACTGGCATGTTGAAAAACAACTAGCTTTAAATACATCCTACTACATAAGTCTGCCAAGACCCAGGTCACACCTCCAAAACACTGGTGTCATTTCGACATCCTCTGGATCTTTTTCCATCTCTTCCAAGACATCATTCACGTACTGTTTTTGCAGGCCAGCTCTCAGAAGGAGCTGGAGGACAGCTGGCAGGTGTACGCCGCGCTGCAGAAGCTGGTGGAGCAGAGTCAGGCCGAGATGGTGGAGCTGATCACCACCAGGCAGCGCGAGGCGGAGCGCCACGCCCAGGAGCTGGCCCGGACCCTGGAGAACGAGCTGAGCCAGCTGAGGAGGAGGAGCAACGAGCTGGAGGCCCATGCGCACACCAAGGACAAAGTGGTCTTCCTTCAGGTAGTCGAGGCTCTACGGAAAATCACAGAATAACGGGCGCCTCCTTTGATGAGCTCAGCGTTTCTGCAGGTTTTACCGGGTCAAACGGAAGAACTTTGAGTGGCATTTAAGACCCGTCTTCACAAAAATGCACAGATCTCATCCAGTCAAACTGCCGATAAATTTGATAGACACAAACAAGTGTCTAGATAACCATCAATAACTATCAATTAAGATAAATTGGTTATCAAGCTAAAAGTTATTCAGCCAAATAACATTCATTTCAAGGCCTCAATTTTAGACAGATGAATTGAAGACTTTTTCTTCAATTCATCTATTAAATTAATTGAAGAAATAATAAAAGAGAAAATTGTTTGTCAAGTGCAAATCTGCTCTTAGAGCCAGCTACCTGGAGGACAATCAGTTGCGGTCGCTTTAGTTCAGAGGCACGACATCAAAAGCCTCTATGAAGCGACGGAGTGTGCTCGCCCTCCCCTCGCCTCTTTATTCCCAGACTTTTCATGTGGATAAAACATAAAATATGTCTTTGAAGTTAGCCTGGAATATTGTTCACACCGGGAAAGAGAAGTGCAAAGGGTCAAATTAGCAAAAAACAAACCTCCTTCCCTCTGTTAAGCTCCTAAGATCAAAAATAAATAAACTCCACGTCGTCGTTTCCAGCGCAGCTTGTTCTCTTTTTTTTTTTTTTTTTTACTGCAGACTTCCTTCTCCTCCCTCCCTCACCCCCAGAGACTCATTAAATTTTCATTTCATCTCGCCGTTCCATGTTGTACAGAACCTGGCCACGCTGTCCCACTCGCCCGAGCACAACGATTGGTCAGGGGTCAGCATCAACACCGACATCTACCTGGGGACGCTCTGCTCCTCTGTCGGCGGCCTCATCGAGAAGTTCCAGGACGAGCTCAAGAGACTTTATGGGAAAGGTGAGAGAGCCGCCGTCACGATGACCCAGTTTGAAATATGAGTACGAACTCCTGGCCATGTGGAAAGATAAATAGTAATAATAAAAATGTTTGTTTTGTTCTATTTTTAGCAGCGATTGTTTTCACATGGCAAACTCAAACACCAATTCATTTCTATTAAAATAGGGGATTGTTGCCTAAACTTTGTTCCCAAACGTTCCCACGTTTGGGAACAAAGTTTGGGACGGTGCTACCAAATAATGTAAGGAAGATTCAACTTTTAGAATGTTTTGTTTTAGTCACTATTCAATAATTATTCCATAAATTTAGCATAAATCGTCTGATTTTAGGTGGCCATAACTCCTGTGGAGGAAAATGTTATTCATTTAGTGTTGACGGCCAGTCAATGGGGGTCAAACCAAACCCAAAACTCACAAGACGATATTGAGTTCAAAGAGATGAGATTTTAATATTACGTTTCAAGAAAACCTCTGAGATCAAATTTATGCTGCAGAAGGCATTCATGGTGCTGTTGTATCGGTTTTGCCACAAATTCGACAAACTGATAAATTTCTTTTCCCGTTTTGATTTTCATCTCTTCGGAACTTGATGCAGCTGTGTAAGGCCCGACGGACAATTATGCTGGCATTTGTTCATTTTTATTATAATTATTGTTATTTGTTTGAATTATTCAAACGGCTCAGTGATTAATCAAATCTAAAAAAAATGATGGAACATTCTACAGATTGTTAATTCAACCTCAACCTTTGTTATCCAACATTTTTAAATCACCATGTGGTCCGTTGTCTAAAATGAAATTAAAACTGTCACTTGAGGATTTTTGGGTAAAACATATTTACAGGGGAATTTGATTTGATCTTAAATGCAAGAATTATACATATATTTTGACGATGTTGTTGTTTGTTCAGCAAATACACTTTTCCTGAGTGTGTGTGCTCCAGTTAATGATGAACTAAATTAGATGACGATTAATCCCATCCATCGTTTCAGCTGGTACAAATGTACAAAATACTTTTCATATTTTTATTTGTAAAAATAGTTGAAAAATAATGTCAATTTTTCTCCCTATTTCACAATTATGTTGAGTTTTGTGTTTTTCTGCCACCAAAAATCCCCAAAAGTGTTGAAATGTAATGTGTCAAAATGTGAACAAGATAATTCTTCCAGAAAAAGGTCAGGAAAAAAAAAAATCAGCATTAAATCTCCTAGATTTCTTGGTTTTGCTGCAAATATCCCAGAAACCTCATTATCCCGTGTCTCATACAGACAACTTGGTTTATGCAAATGTGAAATCAGGCATATGTAGGTCAGCGAATGCGCTTTCCAGAATAGGAGAGTGATTCATCGTTGCGTTTTACACATCCAAGATGACTGGACAGATGGAGAGTGCGTCGATGCTGCAGCGGAGCCATGACAGCAGCACATGTCTGGAGCGTTTCCAGCTCCAGACCCGAGCATCGTGCTGAACACGAGCACGAACCATCTGCTTTAGCCTGACTTGTTTTGCCTGATGACGTGTTGACTTATTGTCTCTCTCATACTTTGTCTTTGTTTTTTTTTTTCATTCCTGTCAGAGTTCCGGAAGGTGCAGAACTATGCAAGTGAGTAATCCCCTTTGGCATTTTGTTTTTCTGTATGATTTAAAATGTGTCTTGAGGTTCTTAACTCTTGGGATGTTCAGTTCTCCTGAATGCCCACAAGATGGAGCCACTTTCTGTCGCGTGTGACCTCAATCCAACTGAATGTAGCCCATTTGATTGGCTGGCCGCTGCCTTCCCACTCAATTCCGCTCAGTTTTCATCTCCTTTCTTTGCTCCGTCTGGGATTTCTCCCATTGAAGTGGATTTCTCCCATTGAAGTGGATTTCTCCCATTGAAGTGGATTTCTCCCATTGAAGTGGATTTCTCCCATTGAAGTGGATTTCTCCCATTGAAGTGGATTTCTCCCATTGAAGTGGATTTCTCCCATTGAAGTGGATTTCTCCGGTAGAATTTCAACCAGGCCAATCAGTGAACAGAAGAAGTTGTGAACAGTGACACTGATTTTCTCCTCTGTTTTAGAATTGAAGACTTGTGAAACAAAATGCTCGGTCACCGTCTTACCCTGCTTTATCCTCTCCTTTCCAGGTGAAGTTATTTTGGACCCGTCCACAGCCCAAAAGAACCTGGTCATTACTCACGAAGGTCAGCAGGTGAAATACGAAGAGCACAAGGTTTCCCACTCGGAGGGTCCGAAGCGCTTCAACCCGGCCCTCTTCGTGCTGGCCCGAGAGGCCATCCACTCCGGCCGCCACTACTGGGAGGTGGAAGTCGGGCGCAAGACGGCCTGGACGCTCGGCGTGGTGCGCGCCACGGCTCGCCGCAAGGGCGAAATCAAGCTGAACCCTGAAGGCGGCTACTGGTGCCTGTGGCTGAAGAACGGCGAGGTGAAGGCGCTCGCCGAGACTCGCCTGCCGCTGGCGCTCATGTCCCATCCCAGCAAAGTAGGACTTTTCTTGGATTACGAGGCCGGCCAGCTGTCTTTCTACGACGTGAAGACACGCCAGCACCTCTACACTTTCACGGATAAGTTCATCGAGAGCGTGTACCCGATCTTCAGCCCCTGCCTAAGCCAGGACGGGAAGAACAACTCTCCTCTGGTCATAACACAAGTTAAGCACACATAAGCAGTCAGAGAGTGGATGGTAGACCGAGAGCTTGGTGTTTTTTTGTTGGAACGAGTCGTCTCATGTTCAAGGACTTCACGATGACCTCACTTGTTCGCAAAGCGAACAAAAGCAGATCGAGCTCCTGCCGCCTCGGTCTCTAGTGAGTCATCACTACTCCACCGGAAGAAAAACTGCGTTCAGTCACTTTAAACTAACAGATTTTTTTATATATATATTAACAAACAACGTCATCTTTAATGTGACATTTATTCTGTTCAGCTAAAATAATAATTTTTTTTTTTTAATTCATTAGAATAAAATCTGGGGCTACTGAAGCACGAAAAGTTCAGCTGACAGTTTATCTGCATCCTTTACTTAAAATCAGAGTTTGTCAGAGGATTTCATTGGCACCAAAAACCAAAAACAGCAAAAAAAAAAAGATACTACAATCGATGAAAAAGTTCAGTGACTGAACCATTTCCCATGAAAGAATGAGTAGAAATAAAAGTAGGTTGCAAGACTGCTAAAAGACTGTATTGGTAAGGAGCTGGAGTCATTTCTGCCAACTAAAAGTCGTTGTCCATGAGTATCAAGTATCTCTTATTGTCTGCATGTCTGGACCAAAGGAAGTGAAGTTTATTTGGTTTCGTTTTACAAAGGGAAACATTCAGGTCTTATCAAAACCTCCTAAAACCTTCTGAAAGATTGAATCATTGCTCAGTGAAAAACATCAACATTTTGACCGTAATTCCAAAAGGAGTGTCGACGCTGACATCGAGCGTCTTCAAAACAGTGTCACACGTGCTCTGGGGTTATATAATACTCCCCCCACCACCATCTTCTTGTAACATTGCTATGCATCATCATCATGGGAGGCTCTGAATATTCAAGTCATTTCAGGGCCTCAGTGAAGGAACCAAATATATTATTGCACATGTTTGAGAGAATTGTTGGGCTGTGGTTGCTTTATGGGGTTTGGGTGTTCAGTAATTTTATGTCAGATTCTTTTTGCACCTTCTTTCTGTAGTTTTCAAATAAAGATTGCTTCTGAATCAAAAAGGGGGAATAGTATTTGTCCTTATTCTGAGGTTAGTACAAGAGCAAACTCATCCAGACCGTGAAATTCCTCAGCGCAGTTCAGTATATCACCAGTAGATGGCGCACTGGATCAGTGCTCTTGACGTGTCATGGGATCTTGGATTTGTTCATCCATGCACTCCCATGTTCAGATGTTTATCCAAACATCCGTGTTCACTGCAGGCCTTTACGAAATGGAGAGATGAAAACGGCGTGTTTGCACCAGGATCACGACTTCAAACTTTCAAAATTCAGCTCCACAGTCAAGCTAAATTTGTAAAGTTTTTTTTTTTTTGCTCTTTTGAGATTTTGACAGTGATGAAGGATGACCTGGGTACACACAAAAGAAAGTTTTAGAGTTGCAATTGTATTACACCCTATGGAAATGCTCCCCATGTTAAATGAGGAAATATTGGTTTGAAATTGGCTCATTTTTTTTTCACAGGTTTGGATTGTTTTTTTGTTTTTGTTTTTTCTCTCTACTAAGAGTCCTAAATTAATAAAAATATAATGAATTTGTATTAATTTAAATGACAAAAATTATAATTACAAAAACAACCTTTAACTTATGACAGAGTCTCCATGCTAACATCTCTAAATATACTGAGCTGGTCGACCTTTTCTCTTGTATTTCCAACAATTGAATCCTGAATTAAATTAAACACATTTTACAAAGTAGTTTTAATGAAACAAGCTTCAACTTGTGTGTTTTCATGTGGTTTTAGTGAAACTGGTCCTAAAAAAATACTTCAAATGAATACAAATACTGACTTAAATATATATTTTTTTCAATCAACATTATAATGTAGCCTCTACGTCTGAGTCCGGTTAGAGTTGTAGTTCCTCCTGAGGTCAGGCCGTTGCCAGGGGGCTTAAATCTGTATCTAGGGTGAAAGCAAGCGATGGGAGGGGTGGGGGGTTATTTTCGGGTCTGTGTCGCGGGTCAGTGCTGGGGGAGCTGGAGGTGGCAGTGGTCAAAGCTGGTCTCAGATATCAGCGCGCAGCGGAGTCTTAAGGCAGCTGCTCCTTGGTGAGTGTCTGTGCTACAGATACTGTGTTTAGTTTTTCTGATTTTCTGAAATTCAACACATTCGGTGCCTATTTTCCAGAGGGATGTTGCTGGATTGAGTCATTTTGGCAAACCAGTGAGTGGTGTCTGAATGAAAAGCCGTGACGTTGACAAAATTACTTTCGGTTTGTCTTTTAATCGGTTTTACTGCTGACGCATAAAGTCCTTGAAAATGATCTGACTGCAGGAAAACGGTGGGTAATTACAAAGCGAACACAGATGTGGAATGTAGGTCATGCAAGCCAAGTTCGCATGCTGAAAGAATATTTTTGGAAAAGTGTCTGTCCTGTCATGAATGCCGAGGCCTTTAGCCAGGAGCCATCATCGTCTGAAAGGCAAACACATTCACTCAGGACTCTCTGGTATAAGTGGGACAGTTTACCAGACCTCAAAGTTTGGTGCGTCGCAATTCAAATTCAATAAACCCGGAAATAAGAAAGAAAGTACAAAACTACGACTGCAAAGAAACCTTGATAAAGAGCCCAAGAGGTTTTAATCTGCATGGATAATGATGATGAATCATTACATTTAAAGCATAGAAGATAAACAACATTACAGCAACTATTGTCCAACTGAGGAGGATGTAGTTTTAAATTGCTAAATACAAGCAATCCTCACTCTTATGCATTTTCTCCACCCCTTCAAAAATGACTGACCATGAAAGTTATCGGTTGAAAACAGGCTAAATGTATTGATTTTCCAAAATTTAAACAAAAGATTCATACTTTTTTCAAGCTTCTTTTCCAAACACACTTTGTGTTTTAACGTGTTTAGTTGTTTTCACAGTTAAAGATTTTGCTGTTTTTCTCCATTATTAAAAATATACAAATATATTTATAAATTTTTCAGGTTAGAGCTTTGAAGAGTTCTGGTAATTTTGTCATTTTATTCTCACAGTCTTTTCATCTTCTTGATTTTTTCAGGTATGATCCGTCTTCCACGGAACATTTCATACCGACCTTGTGTTCTTTCTTAAATACATATAGTGGCTGCTATGGAAGCTGATCATTTAATATATATATATATATATATATATATATATATATTTTATATATATCTGCTTTGAGAAAATGGGGTTATGTGTGCATTAATTTGGTTTGACATTTCATGAGTCAACCGGTCCATATGGTGTCAAACCCAATATCTTGCAAATAGGAAATCTACGTTTATAAATTGTTTATTTTTATCAAAGGACATAAACTTGAAATGGATCCAAATTAGACCCGGACAAAATTATTGGTACCTCTCCCCCTAATGACGGAAAAACCCTCAATGGTTAGTGAAATGACTTGAAACTTGACAAACGTATTAATGAATCAAATTTTATGCAGTATAGCTAATTTTCAGAGTTTTGTTCCAATTTGTATTTTTTTTGTCCAGTAAATTTCATACAACTATGCATTTTAGGATGACACCCAACATATTTAGCTAACATAACGACTCCAGATCACTCATTTTCTATGTCTTGTCTGCGTAGTTCAATGTACTTTTTCCTTTTTCAATTTATTTGATTGTATTGACATTTAGAGGGGCGATGGGGGAAAAAAATCGACCTCAAATTAAGAGGAAATCAACAAAACTATACAATCACCATTCTTAAGTCTGTTTTAAGAACTTTAAGAACTTGACGTTTTGTTCCATTACTGTGCATGCATGTGACCCCGAAGACATTAAAAGCCGTCTAACTCTAGAAACCTCAATGTCACAGCAGGTCTGGTGCCCCATTCAAAGGCTGGTTGCTTTTGCTGAAAATGACCCTGCCTCTCCGCCGTGTAGGAATGGCTGCCACTGGGAACCTGTCTGAAGAGCAGGTCCACTGCTCCATCTGCCTGGACGTCTTCACCAACCCCGTGTCCATCCCCTGTGGGCACAACTTCTGCCAGACCTGTATCCTGGGATACTGGAAAACCAGCCCTCTGTATCAGTGTCCCATGTGCAAGAAGTCCTTCCACAAACGTCCCGACATCAGCGTTAACACGGTGCTGAGGGAGATTGCAGAGCAGTTCAAGCAGATAAGAGTCAAGAGCACCGAAGTGAAGGGAAGTGGGGAAGAAAGCACAGGTAAGACCAAGAAGTGGATGATGGAGAGGAAGGTGAAGGAGGATGAGGAGAGGCTTCTGGAGAAAGGTCAGATGCAGAACCTTATGGAGGAGCTGAAACAAAAGCAAGAAGAGAAGAAAAAGAAGCAGGAAGTGAAGGAGAGTCAAGGGGAGGAGCTACCGCCATTAATCCCTCCAGTTTTGCCATCTAAAGCTTCTCCTCCACCTTCACCTCAAGACTTAGCTCAAGCTCTGCCACGAGAAGCATCACCTCCACCTTCACCTGGACCAACTTCCCCTGCACTTCCTCAAACGTCCCCAATATCCCTGACCCCTCCTCTGCTGTGGGAGGAAGTCCTCTGCGATGTTTGCCTGGGCGACGGCCGCCCCAAAGCCGTCAAATCCTGCCTTGTGTGCCTCACCTCTTACTGCGACGAGCACCTCAAGTCTCACTCCACCAGGTTCACCAAGCACAAGCTGATGGAACCGGTGGCCAACATGGAGGACAGGATGTGTCCCAAGCACGAGCGGCTGCTGGAGCTCTTCTGCAAGAAAGACCAGACCTGTGTGTGTGTCCTCTGCACAGAGACAGACCACAGGGCACATTACACCGTCCCTGTGGAGAGAGAATGGACTGAGAAGAAGGTGAGAAACACCGACCGACGCCCAAAACTGTGTCTCTGCGTCAACAGTCTGTTTATCAGTCTATCACAAGCCTACACAAAGACACAGAGGCAACGACTATGCAAAGACACAAACACACATAGCTAACAATTATGTTTTTAGACTGTGGTAGGAAGCTGAAAGAACCTCATGCATGGGGAGAAAAAGACTAAAAACTCTCCAGGCTGGGGATAAAACCTACAATCATCTTACTGCAAGGCTACAATACATCAATCAAGTTTACACACAGTCAACTGAGAAAACTAGTAAACATTACATTTCGCCAAGTGCCGTCATTACACATCAAAATGTTAACTAGTCCGTCACTCTGACCCTAATTCTGGAGTACTGTCTTTTTTTCCAAAACCTAACTTTCAAGAACCTTTCAGCCCCACGTTTTAGGTGCACACCGCTCTGGAACAAAACCAGACTGTTCATGATCATTTATACTCGATTGTATCAAAAGTCTCCTGTGTGCTAAGGGGGCCCAAGTTGGAGAACCATTGACAACAATACAGAGATAAATGTTGCCGTCTATCAATCTGGGATGGATTTAATAGGTCACATTGGACACGTCAAATCCAGTCCTTGAGAGACACCACCCTGCAGCTTTCAGATACATCCCTGCAACACGCTTCAGTCAAACAGCTGAATTGCCTCAACGGCATTCACTCAATCTGTAAACGCCTGGTGAAGAACCATTGACTCGGGTTTGTTAGAGAAGAGGCGCACCTAAAAGTGGCAGGGTGGCACATCTCAAGGACTGAACGTAAACAGGTAAAGTATTAGTATTAATTCTACATCTGCCATCAACGTTTGTGGGAAATTATGTTACGCAGGCATTGCTGAAAAAGACAGAGATCGACGTCCAGCAGATGATCCAAGACAGAGTGAAGAAGGTGGAGGAGATCAAGCACTCCTTGGAGGTCAACAAGGCGAGTCACAGCGAGAGTCATTCAACTGAACTCCTGTTAGCTTCAATCACAGATCAAGATTTGTATGACAGTATGATACAACAGCCATCACACTTGTATTTAGTGTCGATCCATATCGTTTCAATGATATGATAGTTGATAGTGTGTTTTTGCAAATATGCACACGACACCCTTTCATTGTTTGTGTTCAACTTTCACTTTCAGGTCAGCGCTCAGAGAGAGATTGAGGAGAGCATGCAGGTCTTCTCGGAGCTGGTGCGCTCTATCCAGAAGGCTCAGGCCGAGCTGGTTCTGGTCATTGAGGAGAAGCAGAGGCAGACGGAGAGGCGGGCCGAGGGCCTCATCGCCGAGCTGGAGCAGGAAATCTCGGAGCTCAAGACGAGGCATGCGGATTTGGAAAATGTGAACAGAACTGACCACATTCACTTCCTGAAGGCAAGGAACAGCTTACTGAAATGCAGTTTTGTTGTTTGTCATTCCTTGTGTTGTCATTGCGGTTGTCTTGCAAAGGTCAACGCCGTCACTTCCATTGTAGCTAAAGAGGAAAACAACCCACCTGGCCTTTTACGGTCAAAGCAAATCAAGCCGCAGCAGAATCTGATGTAACCCACGGTGGCGCGCTGCAGATATGCTCTCCTCTCCAGTCTTATCATATCACGGCCTCAACAACAGATCAAATAAGCTCTTCTGACATACTGACCGGGAATCTGAATGAACAGGAAAGGTGAGCTGTCAGTCAGTAGGCTGCAAGGCGAGTTAGTTAATCGGTTAGTTTTACTGTGTACTTCCTGGCCGATACAGCAAAATCAACAATTCCTCCTATTAATTCAAATTTGGTGGGAAACAATGCAACATTATGGGGAGAGTGTTGTATTGTTTCCTTTCCTTTAGAAAACTGTTAGAAAACCACTCTAAACCACCTGGAAGTGTAATGATTTGATAAGTTTGAGTTCAGATTCAGGACAAACCAAATCATCCCTGGGAAAGTAAATCGTATGGCTGTTGCCTCGAACAATGTCTGTTTTTATGCCATAGCTGTTGGATCACACATCATGTTCACTGCTTCACAGCGGGGCATCAAACCAGACTGTTTATGATAATTTATAAACAGAGTGAGGCCCCGTGGCCCATGGTTAATTCATGTCTTTGTGAATCACTCTGGTCTGTAGTAGCATGTAATGTACTCTCAAGCATTAGTAGGGAGAGATATGGAGTTCCTCAGGGCTCAAAATTTGGTCCAATTCTATTTTAATCAATACAATCTTCCTTTTGGGCTAGGAGGAAATATACACACTTTCAACACTTTGCTGATGACACTCGTCTGTTCTCATAAACTAAGCCTGATACCTGTAAATATCAACAGAGGTTCCAAGATTGCCCTGAAGACCTCAGGTAGAGCTGAAACAAATGCATAGAAAAACAAATTGCAGAACTTTTGACAATCACACAGTTTTGATTAATTAAAAATGATGGTATAGTCCATAATGCTGCGCTTTGTTCTGTGTGTGCTTGGATTATTTGAAACCACTCAAGGACTTTGTCAATGTCAACGTCAAATTTATTTCTGTTTCACTCTGTAAAAATGGAGTGAAAAACACAATGAAAAAAATTTATTAAAAAGCCTTAAATGTACATCAATCCATATTGAAAATGCTAATTGTCTATGATGTCATTTGTCCACAGAGTTTTCCAGCCTTAAGCGCCATCCCATCTGTTAAAGACTGGTCTGAAACCAGTGTTCCCACAGACACAAGCGTTGGGATGATCAGGAGATCTGTGTCTAAACTGGAGACGGCATTAAGTGAAATGATTGACAAGCTGTCTGCAAGTGGTAGGGATTCTGACATTTTTCTCCAAACGAGTTTAGAAGAAAAGTAAAAACATCGTCCTAAAGACGGTGTTTAGCTAACAAAAAATGTTTTTTGACTCTTACAGAGATTAAGAAAATTCTGAAATATTCAGGTAATTAATAACTTTTCTTCTGTTTGATATTTGTCGTTTTGCATCTGGAACTACAGCGTATTAGGGCCATTTTTTTTTTAGTATAATATTTCTGAAATGTTTTTTGTCAAACATTAACTTTCTGTCTACAGACATTTATGAGTTTAAATAGTTGAAAATTGTCAATTTAAAATTTTACAGTCGTTGAAAATTGTGACTTTTTTGGGGGGGTTTTCCAGAACATTTATGTACTTAATCTCAAAATTTGAATGTTTTTGGAAGAAATTTACTTTTTTTAAAAAAAAAAGTTTTTATGTATAACAGCCCAAACACGGCGTAGCTGAAAACCGTTCTGTAGTTGAGTCCTATGTTTTGTGCCTGCAGTGGACGTCATGCTGGACCCAGACACTGCCAATCCATGGCTCCAGCTCTCTCAGGACAGGCACCAGGTGAGGCACCTGGGGGCCTGGCAGGAACTCCCGGACAACCCTGACCGCTTTGACACCGTGGTCATAGTGCTAGGCAGAGATGGCTTCACTTCAGGGAGACACTACTGGGAGGTCCAGGTGGGAGACAAGGATGACTGGTACCTAGGCGTGGCCAAGGCTTCGGTCAAAAGAAAAGGTAGGATCTCTGTGAGCACAGCCCAGGGTTACTGGGCTCTGGCCATGAAGAAAGGCCAGGGCTACCGGGTGTCAACGTCGCCGCCGCTGCTGCTTTCGCTCGACCAGAAGCCAAAGAGAGTAGGTGTGTACGTGGACTGTGAGGAAGGACAGATCTCGTTCTATGACGTGAGAGCTCGGATCCACATTTACACGTTCGAGGATGCCTTCACGGAGAAGATCCTGCCGTTTTTTTACCTGTACTGCTGCGACAAAGCTTCTGACACAATGGCCATCTGTCCGGTGCAGGAGAAAAACCTCATCTAATAAAACTCAGTTTAGACTTCATGATGTAGATGAAAATCCTGGCATAGACTGGATTTCTGACGCACACCTTATTTTACTAAAACTGCATTTTCATGTATAAATGTTGGGTGTAATACAAAGGGTTGGACGTAAATGGACAATTGAGGTGCATCGATTATGTTACGACAGATGTGACACACTGGTATGTCTTGTGTTTCTGTCCCCCAATCATCCCACTGTGTTGTGTGAAGTGATTATCCAACCTAACTATAGCATACCATTGTTCTATGGACTTACAACTGAAGGGAGTCCAGATAATGTGGTACGAGTCACTTGTACTCACAGGCCCAAGTTGTAGCACTCAAAGGCAATGACGCAAAAGTAACTTTCTAAAAGGCTTGTCAATTAATCAAAAGCTTGTTTGTCTGCAGGAATTTAACATGCTGTGCAAAATACTTGTGTACAAAGTTTGAATTGCACACACATTTGCCACTACTTTGTTTCTACGTTGTTTTCAGAAACTGCTCAAGAAAAATAACATTTTGAAAAATAGATCTGCCAGCCACTTTTTTAGATACACCTGTTCAATTCAACAGAACACGTCAAACCGGCCAATCACACGGATTTTAGGTGAGGAAAACTGATTCCAATCAAACTTTGGCGCAGTCGTTGCCAGACAGGTTGGTAGGAGTATTTTGGAAGAGGCAGCAGTCAATGTAACAGCATGGGTTCATTTCATGAAAAGTTCAAACTGCTGAAGGTGGAGTTACTGGTGTGGTGGCTGTTTTCTCAGCACACTTTTTTGGTTCCCTCAGTACCAGCAGAACATTTTTGATGGCTAGTGGGATAATTCCTCATGTCATAAAACTCAAATGTTCTCTGCTTTAGTGAACAGAATGAGGAGTTACGGTTCCCTAATGGCCCAAGCCATCAGCCATAAGAACGTGAGAACTGGAGAGTCGTAATGTGGACGTACTCCCAACAGGTCTGCATCAATGATATGATCGTGTAATTTTGGACTGAAACTCATTGTTTTGAACTAGTGCAAAACCAAACCCCCCTTTAAGTGGAAGGTTTTTGTGTTTTTTCAACACCTGTTGGTGTCTTACTCACTCAAGTCAAAAAGTTTGCAGTGAAATGCAGGCCTGTTACTGCATGACACAGCTTGATGAATTGACTCTAACAATTATTTCCTGGTCGAAACGTTTGCTATAGCAGGAAAGAGATGAATTCCCAGTCAATATAGAGTTCCATAGAACCATTGTAAAAAAAAAACAACAACAACAAACAAACAAAGAAAATTTGCTCAAATCAGCTAAAAATAATTCTACATGCTGGAGTTTGGGAAGTGAAATTTGCGTGTTCTGAGGTGATGCAATGATGTTACTAATATCTGACACAAACCATGGAAAAGTAGGAGTCAAACCTTACGTTTGGTTAAATGAACGGGAAATAAGAGGTGCGTTCCAGATGACGCAATGACAGAATGTTATTTTTTACACAATCCCAGGCCTTACAGGTACATGGAGATTATATTTTGTGAACTTTGCCGTTTTCCCATTTGGATTCAATTCAGTAACTGCATGCGTGCCATGAAAAGCAAAGTTCTGCCTTGACTTGTTTGGTCGTAACTTTAAAGTCTGTAGGATGTAAGAGAAACGTGTAAAACAATAAATGCTCTCCAGAACATCATCAGATTTTTTATTTATTTATTTGTATATCAGGTCTTAAGAACAACAACAACAAAAAACAGGTTTAAGTTTTGTTTTGGGGAAATGACATGACCTGGCCACGCCCACTAAGTGCCAGAAGCTGGACCTGCTTCTCCGTTTCTTGCAGTGCCGTTTCCGTGGAAGAGGTGAACCCTGGAGGCATTCTGCAATTGAATCTTACAAAATGCACACGAGACGCTGTTAGAACTTGTGGAATTTATTGCAAAAGCGATACCCGGGTGAGTTACTACTCGACTGATCGACTTGTTTCCAGATGTTGCTTTAAATTAATACCGACTGTGTTACAAAGCTCTATAATTTGTTACTCGGTTCATGCGGGCATGACTCACTGGGTGTGCCAGAGTTGATTTTTTATTTTTTTTTTCCTCCATTTCTGGGCAGATTAGATTGCAAACATCGAAATCATTTTTGGGAATCTTTCAGCGTTGTTATTGTTGCTGTGCTTGGTGGACTCTAGTCTGGATCTATACAAGCCTGCAATTCATCAGAAAAGCTGTTTAAAGATGCAACTCATTTGTCGTTGCTCATATTCACCGATGACAGTGGCCCCAAATTACTATGTAAGGCAATGTTTTTAATTACATTGACTTTTATCAACTACATTCATAAAGCATTCTATAAAAAATTGTGTAAATATAAAATCCCCAAATCTAATACAGTCGTAGTTAATTCAGCCTCTTTCACACAATTTCAACCGATTTTCCTTCCTGCGTTTGCATGACTCAACCTTCTTAGGTTGTAGACGTTGGTCAAACAAATTCTGCTTTGTTTGACCAACGTCTATGAAACTAGACAATGAAAAACACCAATTAAAAAAAAAACATCAGTATATATAGCCTGTAATTGTATGATTTTACTGAATAACAGTCGTCTTTGCTACTGTCAGCAATGCCAGACTTGACTTATGAAGAGGGGAGGAGAGTGAAGTTGTCAGCGGATAAAGAAAATTTTCCAGATTCACAGGTTGTGGATGTTGAGCCTGTATGTAGCATTTTAGTTGGATTTGGATTCGGTGTGAGGAGATTATGAGAAAACCCACTGTTAATATCTTGTAACCAGTCAAGAAGAGAAGAAGCGAAGTAGATGAGGAAGAGAGGTAGAATTTTGTGTCATTTACAGAGCGGCGGAAATCGATACTATATTTTCCGCAAATATTGCTCTGAGGGTAAATATTATAGTAGTTACTGGTGATTTTGACCACTGTGCTGCGACAGCGCCAAAAACCAGACCAAAACTGTTCATACAAGTTGACACTGAGGTGCGATTTGTGAGCTATAACTCTAAAACTTTGGATAGAAATAGGAGACTGGAAATCGGTCTGATATGAATAAGGTCAACGCGGAGTAAGCCAGCTTTCTTCAGTATTGGTGTTTAGAGCAGTGCAAAAATAGAACTGAAGGTGAGGCAAGAATGAATTACATCAGTAATGAGAAGCAAGACGTTTGTGAAACATTAAGAAGCTCTGACTTATAGATTGTTCCTTTTTTAAGATGGAGTTAGCAGTCTTGCAGGTGATTTCTGCAATAAATGAAAAGGTTTCTGACACCAGGGGCGATGAAGAACTTTGTCCTTCTTTAACACAGATTGCATAATGTCAACACACTGCATCCTCGCTTCGCTGCCAGAGGAGCATTTCCGCTGTTCGCTCTGTCTGGACCTCTTCACCGAACCCGTCACCACACCATGCGGCCATAACTTCTGCAGGACCTGCCTCGGCCAGCGATGGAGCGATGGCGACTGTTACCGGTGTCCAAAGTGTAACAAAAGATTCCCCACGAAGCTAGAGTTCTCCACGAACGAAGTCATGGAGGAAATGTCGGTCCAGTTGAAGAGACGGAGAACCGAGGCACTCGAAAGCGAGAACGCCCCGTGGCAGGTGAAGTGCGACGTGTGCGCGGGTTTGCGGCTCAAGGCGTCCAGGTCGTGCCTGGTGTGTCTGGCGTCGTACTGCGACGGACACCTGGAGCCTCACCGGAGGGTCCCCGCCCTGATGAGACACAAGCTGGTGGAGCCGCTGGAGAACCTGGAGGAGAGGGTTTGTGAGAAGCACGCCAGGATCCTGGAGTTTTTCTGCAGACGCGAACAAGCGTGCGTCTGTCTGCTGTGCTGCGGAGCAGAGCACAGAGACCACGAGACGGTGCCTGTCGAAGAGGAGGGGGCTCTGCAGAAAGTGAGGCCTCGCAATCGTTTGAACTGGCAGTGTTTTACAGATTTCTGTTGCCACTACAAGACACTTCAGATCATTTTAACATCAAAGATATATATATATATTTAAAAATCTTTAAATAACATTAACCACTGAATATTTCATAGATGAAGTATTAGGGCCATACTAAGAGGAAACATTTTAAAAATGTGAGAAATGATACGAGAATAAAATCGTTCATGACTAAAGTTTAAAAATTGTGAGAATACAGTCGTAATAATATAGAAAAAATGTCAGATTATTGTAGGAATATTACAAAAATTGTTATACAGGAAAAATAGGAAAAGTTGACATACTGCACGAACAAAGATGAAATAATACAAGAATGAAATTTAAATCATAATAATTAATTTTTTTATATTAACAACATTCTCAGTGCTGACAGCCATTAACTCTCTTCTAGGAAAACCTTGAATCCAAACAAGCAAAAATCAAAGTCATGATTGAAGAAAGAATTAAAAAGATAGAGGAATTCACCTCATCATCAGAAATGAGAAAAGTGAGTGTCTGAATCATACTTATATTTACAGGACGGCTTAAAGTGACACTGCATTCAACAATATTTGTGTGTTTCGAATAGGCGAAAGCAGACAAACAAGCTGAGGACGGCGAGAAGCTGTTCATTAACCTGCTGGGTAGAGTGCAAGAGATTCGAAGCAAACTGCAAACAAACATTGAGGAAAAGGTGGGGAAATCCAAGGAAAAAGTCCAGTTGATGATTGAGGAGCTACAGGAAGAGGTGGCGGCTCTGCAAAGGAAACACTTGCGACTAGAGGAACTGTTTCAGACTGAAGACCACTTTCAACTTCTACAGGTTAGTCAGTTGACTGAGCTTTACGTCACGTTGAGACAGGAAACCGGTCACGTTCTTTAAAAAAGCTCTCAATATTTTCTATATGTAAAGGCCTGCATGTGCCTTTATGCAGGCTTTGTGACACGACACAAGAAAGTTAAAAAATCTTCAAGTTAAGAATTTTGACCTTCACTCAAACTTTTGCTTGACGGAAAAATACCATGAGAGAAAAAAACCTACATATGGGATTGTACTAGATTAAATTAAACTTCATGATAAAATCTCAGACCTTTGATGAAACTTAAGGCCAACTTACATTTATTTTTAAGAATTTAAGACATTTTCGTGCCTTAATTTTAGAAACACGAACTGAAGGCTTTTTAAGGATGGGCGGACACCACTATTTGTTCAAAATGTGATAGTGGATCATTCAAACTGTTTAAAAAAAAAAAACATTATACTCCTCTCACTGACAGATGAGAATTGTACATATTAGCTGGTAAATGTAAGTCTGATGACAAGCTAAAAAACCAAAAACAGACAAAACTTTTTATCTACCTGCTCTAATATTGAATTTGATTTAATATTAGAGCTGGAATCTGAAAATTGGTCTGATTTCCAGATTCAGACCGATCTGGAAAATTTTCTGATTGCACTTCAGTGCAACTTATCAGTTGCACTGAAGTCTGGAAATTGTGCAGAAATGCCAAAAAGCATTATCCGCCTATCAATCTGTTCAGACTTTGAAGACTCTGAACGCCACGTCTGAGACGAAGGACTGGTCCCAGACCAAGGTTTACCCAGACATCTGCATCCAAACAGTGCGGAGAGCCATGGATCACCTAATGACCAGTTTTCAAACCGAACTGAAAACGCTGACAACCATTGGTAATTATTCTTAGATTCGTAGATCTCTCTTGGTTGTGATTGACCCTGACAATAACGATGTTTTTTGTTATTTTCCTTCTACAGAACTGACCAGAATCGGTCAATACAAAGGTCAGTGTCTGAATTCTGCTGGTTTTATTTACTTCATCCTGTCTTCGAAAGATACTAACCCTTCCTGAACTTTGACTTCTTTTCTTTTTTTTTTTAAGAATCTGTCACTTTTGATGACTCCACCGCCGGCCCTGGTCTTAGAGTACTGGAGTACGGGAAACGTCTGAAGTTCTCCAAAGAAGCCAGGTCACCATCGTATGAGTGTCAAAGGTTTGACTTACCCATGGTTTTTGGGAAGATTGGCTTCACCTCCGGTCGGCACTACTGGGAGGTAGAGGTGGGCCGCAGAAACGACTGGCATGTCGGTGTTGCCCTGGAAATGGTGGACAGATCAGACGATGTAATTGTGAAAAAAGAAAACGGGTTCTTTTCCATTGGAAAGTCTGGCTTTGATTACTATGTTCATTGCTCACCACAGCGAGTTCTTCATCTCTGTACCAGGCCCAGTACCATGGGGATTTATCTGGACTACGAGGAAGGCCGGGTGTCCTTCTACGACCTGGATAAGAGGCTCCACATTCACTCTTACGTAGGAGAAAGCTTCACCGGGAGGGTTTTCCCTTACTTCTACCTGCACAGCAAATCAAAGAGATCTGAGGCGCTAGTTGTTAATCCCTACAGGTTCTCGTTCAGTCTTTCACAGTCCAGTTGAAAAGGTTGTAACATGGGGATATGAGTTCACTGAAACCAAAGTATCTCCATCATTCCTGCTGTTGGTCCTTCATTTATGTCACCACAGCTGTTGAGTTAACTTTTCTGTGGCTCCATCAGGCAACTAACAGTAGAGTTCAAACATGTTGACAAATGTCCTGAAATGTAAATCTGCACCAATTCTCTTTTTTTTTTGTGTAAACTTGGAAAACATTTTAAGCACAAATTGTTTGTAAATAAACTAATAACCTTTTTTCATTTGATGCTCTTACCCCCTGCTGGGAAGAAAATGGTACTTTTTTTTCCAATTCTGCTTGGGTCCTCATACAATTTGAGGTAAACTCTTATGAAATTATGATTCATTCCTTATAAGATATGCTCGTCTAAAGTAGGGCTTCACAATTTTTGGAAAATATTTTTGATTTCATTGCCTATAGTCATCAGTTTCAGGACACTTTTATTTGGGTATCATTGCCCACCAATCCATGAAAGGACATCAAACTGGTTTGGACATTAGGGGGCAGTAGAAACAACTTATCTGGCCAAATTACATGCTACTAAATATTGATTCCAAGTAGTCGTTTACGATTGGCTGGTATTGAGACGATCATTTCTGTACAGCTCCGATCTAAAACATTATACACTGGTGAAACATGTCACTGAATATCAATTGGGGTTTTAACAGTGTTGAAAAGAAACATACTGATTTAAAGTGCTTCCTTTGTGCTATAGTCTTGAAAGCTGGTCTACAGCCACTTATGTCAGTTATGTTGCTGTGGAATTCAATGATTCTAAAAGGTCAAAGGTCCAAATGTGATTTCCAGATTAGGTCGAAGGTCTTAAACTGTGTGTATTGAACGAACACCTTTCATCACTTTTGCTTACAATTTAAAAGCAAAAGAAAAGTCAGTTTAGAGAGACTAGAAACCTTTGTAATCATGATTGGCTCTGATTCTTGCCAGTGAGCAGTAAATCTTTATTTTATTCAAAATAATCGTAATAATTTATTAAAAACTTCTCCTCAAAAACAGCCAAATATGACGAGGTGGATACACTGAAGCATGGATGTGGCCTGTAGTTTTATCTGTCCTTGTATTTAATAGATACATCATTCATCCTTTACCACAACATCTCCTGAAAGTGATCCTGGCTCTCCGCAGCCTGACCCGACGAATCAACCAATCGTATCTCCACTTTTAGTAAACGGAAAAAGTCCAAAAGATTTTTGGTACTTGTGGATTATGAAGAACATTCTCATAGCGCGTCCCTGATGGTCAAGAAAAAAAATCCTCTTTTAGCAGGGAAAATAATCTGTTCATAAGTACATGTGTCAATGTTGTTTTTTCAAATTTCCGCTTCAGCTTTCGATTGATCGGATTTCAGATTCCTTAGCTTTAGTATCTAGTATTTACTGAAGTCATATTTAGGCCTGCTGATGTTGGAGGAGCTGTTGCTGTTTCTGGAATAATCTTCAAAAGTGGCAGCGGAACATGGGAGAGGCTGGAGACTCGGAGCGTCAATTCCCTGACGATTGTGACGTCACTGTGAAGCGGTGAACACATCTGTTTACCTCCCTCTCATTCGCAGGAACCAATCACAACATGATTTTTTTTTTCCACCTTGACCCCTCGGGCACAAGAGACGGGGAGTCCGGACGGGAATATAAGTTCAATGGCATCCAGGAAATTACAGTTCTGAAACCCCGCCCATCTCTTTCACCTCTCCGCACAAAGGTGCGTCTATATCTACACAGGAACAAGAACAATAAAAAACAGCAGATAAGAAGCCAACTTAACTCTCCCAAAGCTTCACAAAGGACAAGTTGGCAATACTTTTTGAAAGAAGGGTATGTACTTTTAAATGATTTTTTTAGATTCCTGTCTCAGGTAAGTAATTATCCAGGCTGTTATGACAGGTTTTGTGTTTTGAGCAACTTATGTTTCATTTTCACTTCTGATTCCTAAATCTATTGCCAGAAAAAAAAAAAAAAAAAGACTTAACTGTAAATAAATGGCAGCAAACGAGACAATCATCAGCTCATCTTGATTTATTATTTTTATCGTTATGAAAGCCTTTTCACTTCTGATTTACTGAATGAGTTTTGATCATTTAATGTCATTAAAAATGACATTTCTAATGTTTAATTTCTAACGCTCTGACCTATCAGGGATCAAGTCAGGGAGAAATGATATTTGTGCCAAAATGCTTGAGTACACATGCAATAATAGGACTCAACGTGACTGTAGGGTACAATCAGAAATAAAACTGGAATATGTGTGACTGAATATTTCCAATGCTTTATTTCTTGTTGTTTAATTAAATCCCTCAATATTTATGGACTCGTTTGTCGTTTAAAGCGTGTCGAGGTAGCATTTGTCCCTTTATGAATCAGTTGGGTTGAACCAAATTACCTCTGATCCAAAACGGCGGGACAAACAACAAACTGCAGTAAACGAGCTGTTTACTGCATGGATCACATGACTCGACTCTGTCAAAGGTCATGCCCCCATTACTGATGGCTTTTTAAGAACTCATTTGAAGGATGATTGAAAATGAACTTTGCATGTTTTCAGTTCTCTTAGGTTTACTTTGATTCTGATGACAAGAATTGATGGGAAATAAACAGAAAGAGAGTCGGATGGTGATTAGGTCTCTGGGTTGTTGTTTTGTTTTTTTCAATTCGTCTCGGTAATGCAGGACTGTACAGGCAGGTGGATTTGATCGATTTGCACTCAGCCGGAAAACCAGAAAGCAAACCCGACCCGTGAAAGGAATCACCTGTTACAGACTTTAGAAAGGTCTTACATGGGCAGCGTAAGGACACCCAAAAGATTTGAGGTTTAAAATTTGTCAGACACTTTAAGATCATCTTGACTTTTCAACAAACTCTTATTAGTGCAGGTCAGGACATACATTTTCATCCACTCTAGACATTTAAATGAAGCTGAACAATTAATTTCCCAGGCGACAGACTGGCGACCTGACCAGGGTGACCCCGCCTCTCGCCCGGAACATTGGCTGGAAAAATGCACCAGCACCTCCCAACCCCATCAGGGACAGGGGTGTAAGAAAATGGGTGGATGGGTGGAATTAATTCCCCCGCTCCGCTCGATGGATTTACATGCAGCCGACAAACAGGAAAACAACTGTGACTTATAAAACAAAAAGAGGTATGATTACATAACTGCTGAGTCAAAACCAAGACAAGCAGCATTTGTTGTTGTTGTGTAAGACTTCCAGAAATCTTCTGGTTCTGGTTTCCTCTGCAGCATTCAGCTTCTGTGCATCAAAATCTGGAACAAACTTCTGGAAAACAACAGAACAGCCGGTTCCTTGAAATCAAGGATTGAACCCCAGCTGTTCAGAGCTGCTTTTGATTCGTATTAAATGAAATATCGATGATGATACTTCATAAAATTTTGCTTGATGATGGTATTTAACAAAAACGCAACGTTTACTGCTCGTTTTATAACTAGAAATTTTTTATTATTATTATTGTGTAAAGCTCTTTGAAACGCCTTGTTGCTGAAATGTGCCACACAAACAAGCTTTAACTCCACTCCCACTAACTGTATCCAGGTAAGCCCGAACCCGCTGGGCGAAGGCCGCATGCTGGATCCAGCGGCGAGCCCGGACCGGGCGTCCACACCCGCTGACTGCCGCATCTGCCTGGATGAGTTCAGCAGCCCGGCGTCTCTCCCCTGCGGACACCGCTTCTGCCTGGAGTGCATCGGGGAGTACTGGAGGCTCGGCGAGAGCTGCCAGTGCCCGCTCTGCATGGCGGTCTTCCCCACCCGGCCGCCGCTCAGGACCGAGCGAGCCGAGAGCGAAGCCGCGCCGCCGCTCAAAGCGGGAGAGGTCCCGTGCGACGTCTGCCCGGCGCGGCGGGCCGCGGTGCGGTCCTGCCTGGACTGCCTGGCCTCGTACTGCTCCGCTCACCTGCGGCCGCATTATCAGACGGAGGACCTCGGGCGCCACCTGCTGGTCGGCGTGGCGAAGAACCTGGAGGACTCGAAGTGTGGGCTGCACGGGAGGAAGCTGGACAGGTTCTGCCGCAGCGACCGAACCTGCGTGTGCGCCACCTGCGCCAGGACGGAGCACAGAGGCCACCATGTTGTTTCTGTCAGCAAGGAAGCTGCCAAGAACAAGGTTGGTTTTTGTCTGAACACACACACAAAAAAAAAAAATTATCAAAGTTTTTGGTAAAGTTTGACAATGTTTGAATTTTTTTTTCCACATGAAAAGTGAAGCAAAAAGCATTTCCTGTGAGTCAACCAAAAGATTTATAAAATATTTATATTTATAAAAGAAACAAGTGATCCAACTTAAAAGAAAACATTGTCACAGGTAATCAAATGCATATATTTACCTGGTTAAACTTAAGTTTATAAAGCAAGCCTGACAAAAAAATATATATTTTTTTTAAACTTTGAGTGTTTAAATATTTCAGCAATATTTTATGTTGTGTGTGAGTTTTGTGGCTTTTTTTCATGGTGCGTTGAAGAACCAGTTAAACTTTTAATTTAACTGTGTAATTGGGTGCAATTTCTGTTGCCCTGCAAACGGCTCTTTGGTTCGACAACAGAGGCTGTTTATCATTTCAAAATATTTGTGCACAAGGATCTGTTTTTTTCTTAGAATGTAGAAAATCATAAATTCAGATTTCATTTTTGTTACCGTCCTTTTGCATGAGATCTTCTACTAAATTTCCACACCAGAATAAGTATCCATAATATTATTTTTTTGTTTTGTTCACATCATTTCCCACAGACGTCACCATTCCATTGAAAGAAATAGAAATGTATCAATCCTCCATTTTATAAAATGTTTTATGTTTTTAGAGCTAAAAACATATAAAAAGGGGGGATTTCTAAAAGATGACCACAGCATTTCTATAGTAGATATTGAAAATGTTCATGCAATAATTGTGGCTTTAAAAGAGTTCAAAACAGTTTTCAGGAAAACACACACATCCTATAATATAACAAGCTATAACTTTAGAAAAAAGGCATCGACTTTGATGCAATCGTTGTTTCCTCCGCAGACTAAACTGAAGCGCAGACGACTGAAGCTTCAGCAGGAGATCCAGGAGAAGCTGAGCGTGGCTGAGGACGCGGAGCGGACCGCAGGCCTCCGCGGAGCAGAACCTCCAGCAGAACTTCGGGCGCAGAGCAGGAAGCTGGTCAAACAGCTGGAAGAGGAGATCAGCGAGCTGCAGGAGAGGAACGCGGAGCTGGAGCAGCTCTTACAGACCGAAGACAACCTTCACTTTCTGCAGGTCTGACATGTTGCCACAGGTCGACTCACTGGGCAAAAAAAAAAAAAAAAAAAAGATAAGGAAAGGAAAGGAAAAATTCAAACGGTTGTTTGAGTGAATGGGTCTTTTCGTTTCTCCACAGCGATTCCTACACTCCTGTTCATGAATGGAACGACAAGCTGCTCGACATCTGTGGACCAAAAAACTAACATTGTGACATATAAATATAAATATATATATTTTGTTCTATAAAGATGTAAACTCTGTCTCCTCTTGTATTTCTATGCACACCTTCACACTCTCTGACCAAACGTCTTCATTATTTAATTGATTTATTTTGAATGTGATATAAGTGTAAACACATGAACAAGGAATACACAAGACATATATTTCTGTACGACAATAATCTTAAAAGATTTAACACATTGTAACTCAGCTAAAATAATATTTTATGTTGGGCATGAAATGCATTAAATTGCCAGAACATACACACACAGTTTATGACCAGCAACTCTACATTTAGACGCCGTTCGATAAAGTGTACTGGACTCGTTATTCCCCTTGCAAAGTGATTATATAATGTTTTGGGTTTTCTCTTAGCAAGTCATCTTACCTAGTTCAGTTTTGGATATATCTATTCTTGACAAAAGTTTTGAGAAACACTTGTGGATTCTTTTTGTGTAATTCCTTCCCCTGGAAATAGCAGTTTCATAGTAAACAAATCTATAAAATTGGAAAATATTACTCTTCAGATTTGCACTCAAGAGACAATTTTTGTTGTTTCTATTTATTTTCTCCAGAGAGCAACCTCAATGGAGATAATCTCCAAAGATAATAATTTGGAGATTGTCGTCTCCAAAGAATCTTATCGATCAAAAGATTGGTACGTTTTCAGTCCTTACCTCCCACAACCGAAACTGTCCAAACCTCAGTAACTCTCCGGTTTTCTGTGCTCTTTATGAATTGCTTCATAAAGAGCAATTCAAAGGACTGTATACGTTATTACCTGCTTCCAGGCAACGCCCAGCAGCATGCAAATAGATGACGATGGCTCAGCTCCTGTCTCTAAATAGAGGAGGTGCCTGAATTAACCTTTTATGTAGAAATGAAAGTCAACACAAGAAGGAAGTCAGAAGGGAAGAACAGAACAGGGCAGGCACCGTTAACGGGAGCAGCTCAGCAGCCTGCAGGTAAACTCTGGATCTTGCACTTCTGCTTTTGTGAACTTTTTGTTTTCAATTTTTTCTGACACTTGTTTTGGAGCATGTAGGCGGGTGCTTCATTTTACTTGGGACTTGTATGGTGGTTAATCTTGTCACGCTCGGTGCATGTAGTTCAAAGAGAAATTCTCTTCTGTTTCACAAAGAATCAAGCGAGTTGTAGCATAAAAATCTGTGCAGCTTCAAATTCTTCCTTCTTGTTCAGTCTCAGGATGAGAACTAGCCAAACCACCGCACTCAGGCAGTTCACCTTCGGGGTCTGTGATAGAACACCATCAAAATTTCTTATATGTATTGTTTTTGCACAATCTACCTCAAAATGAGTCAATATATCAAGTTTATTATTGCTCAATCTTCACAAACCAGATCTTATTCTTACCACTGAAAGGTGGCAAAATATTCTAACATGATTGTTAATATGGAAGACATCAGACAATGTAAGTGTATCACATACACTACCTTAAATGATCATAATTGATTACTGCAATCGACTTTACTCTGGATGCCATTATTGTCTCAAGACAGATATTCGACCAAACATTTGTGGGTGACAAAAAAATATTTTAAAGGAGAAGCTTTTGGCGAGCTTCTCCTTTCGTGCTCCATTTCTGTAGCGCTGCCTACCTCAGGACATCAGGCAGGGAAGCTAGCTTAAAAATCCACTTCTTTACTTCTGTCATAGTTTTAAACTCTACCTTTTGTCTTGCTTTATTGGTATTTTATCTATTTTTAATCTGTGCTGGTACATATTTGTCTTATGTTCTTGTAACTGTTCATCACTTTGTATGAAAGTGCTTTAAAGTCATCGTTAATAGTCCCAGTGTGTGTTGCTGTTTGCAACATTCCAAAAGCAGATATAGTTTCTTCCGACATTTTCTAATTGGGTAATCTTGTTCCGGTGTATTTTCGCAGACATGACCGCCGCGGCCGAATCCATCAAAGATGACTGCTTTCTGAAAAAACACCTAACATGCCCCATCTGCATGGAAACATTCACCGATCCTGTGACCACATCTTGTGGTCACTCGTTCTGCATGAGGTGCCTGGAGCTCAGCGTCTCCTCATTTCAGGTTGATGATGCCTGTCCTCTTTGCAAAAGGCTTCTGAAGGAAGCCCCCAAGGTGAATAATGTCCTGAGAGACATTGTCAAAGAGGTGAAACGCACACTGGGTCAGAAGTTTGCTGGGGCTGCCGGCGAGGTGCCCTGTGATTCCTGCACGGTGCCCCAGAAGAAGGCAGTAAAGTCCTGCCTTGTGTGCGTGGCTTCATTTTGTTCAGCCCACTTGCAGAACCATTATTTTGCTAAAAGACTGAAGGGCCACAAACTGGTGGAACCTGTGGAGAACCTGGACACAAGGGCCTGCCCCACTCATGGGTGCCCGCTCGAGCTTTACTGCAGGAAGCAGCAAACATGCGTTTGCGCTCGATGTTTGGATGGCGGCCATGGGGAAGTTGTCTCTGCTGAAGAGGAATGGCAAGTGAAAAAGGTATAAACATCTTGATTCAATTACAGACATCCGAGTATTAATTATGAGTTTCTGCAATATGCTGAACAAATACTAATTGTGTAGGTGAACAACCGTTGAGGTCAAAGTTACAGAGGAACATTTTTCAAGCGTTACAGAGATGATGTTTGGCAAGATTTGCTCTTGTTTTCGACAGGATCAAATTGAGAACACCAAGGCGGAGTTACAAGAGAGAATCATGACAAGGAAAGCAAAGATTGATGAGATCAATGAAGCTCTGAAGAGTTGTGAGGTATAACGAAGGAGTTGCAAGTATTACAAAAGAGGTCAAAAGGTTACCGCTTGGTTGAATGAAGTCTCTTTCTCAAGCATACCATACCGAGAAGATTGGTGCCTGCTCTGTGCCTTAGCATATTTGCTCAACAAAAAGGAATATCTAAAGATGGTTTTCTAATTAAACTATTAAATCCAGACTGCACTCAGCATCATCCAGTCTTCAGTCATTTGGATTGTATATGTTAGTGTATCAGGCTCCCTAATGGGACGCCATTATTCGTCAGGAAGAATTGTCTCAAGAAAGATATTCGACCAAACGTTTGTATTTCGGGGGGAAAAATAACATTTGTTAAAACATAATTTTTCAAATTTTTTAGGAGCTGGTGACGAAAGAGTGGTGGGACATTGATGCTCTGTTCAGAGCTGTGGTTGACGTTGTGAAGGCAGCTAAGGCAGAGGCACTAAACCCACTTGAAGACAAGCTGCGGTTCTTAGATAAGGAGTCAAAAAACCTCAAAGATGAGTTGGAAGATGAAATCAACAAACTCGAGACAACAATCTCAAAGCTAGACGACATATCGGCACTTGAAGATCATGTCCTATTCCTACAGGTCAGAGGTAAATGCAAGCTTCCCTTTGAAGCTTGCATCGCTTTTCAATATCTTCATCAAAAAATGCATATAAACGGTAACTTCTTCTTGATCGTGCAGAGAGGTTATGATAATTAATTTAGCTCTGTTGTTTTTTTTTTCTGTTTTTCCAGAGGTACCCATCTGTTTCAGTCCAGGATGTCAAGAAAGACTGGAAGAACATTGAACTTGACACCACTCTTTCTTTTGGCTCCATGAGAGAAACTGCAACAACAATGATTGAAAATATCCAGCAGCAACTGGAGAAGCTGGCCGCCATTGGTAAGACCTGACTTTACAGTGATGAAACCCAAATCGTTGACATGATGGATCAAACCCAAATTTTCTCTTCGCAGAACTTATGAGATTTCCAAAGTTTGAAGGTACATTTCACTTTCTTCTCTCATACGCTGTCTCAAAAGCAATTGATTTGTTTCTGAAAAATGCTTGTTTCTGCTCCGATTCTGGGTTCCCAGTGGACGTGAGGCTGGACCCAGAAACCGCACACTGCCGCCTGGTTTTCTCCAATAATGGCAGCAAAGTGGAAGACAGAGGAGAAAACCGGGAAGTGGCAGATTCTCCAAAGAGATATGACGTGCTTGGCAGCGTCCTGGGACTCAACACCTTAGCAACTGGGAAATCCTACTGGGAGGTGGAGGTTGGCAGCACAACCGGGTGGGATCTAGGTGTAGCCAGAGGCAGCGCCAACCGCAGGGGACGACAAGCTTTAAACCCAGAGAATGGCTACTGGGTTCTGGTACATTTTGAAGAGTGTGATGTACCCAAGCCTTTTACAGTGTATGCAGTCATGACAGCTCCACCTGTTTCACTTTCTATCAAAGACAAACCAAAGAAGATTGGTGTGTTTGTGGACTATGAGGAAGGCATCGTGTCCTTCTACGACGTGACGGCCCGGTCTCACATCTACTCGTTCTCCAAGTGCTCATTCCAAGACGAGCTTCGTCCGTATTTCAGTCTGCACATGAAATATGAGATGAACTTTGAGCCTTTGACTATTTCAAAAATAAAGCATTGAAAAATGAATTAGGACTGGAAGCATTTGCCCTTCTACATTATTCGGTCAGAGTATTCAGACCTAACTTTGAGTAGAAGAGAAGAATTCAATGATTTGATGCGTCAGAGAAGAACATTTAAAAAAAAAAATCAAGCCAACACAGAGTGTGTTTTCATTTATAGTAACTGTAGCTTTACGAGGAAGAGTCATCACCTGGAAACAGTTTAATTCCAGGAAATGAGTTTGAGATGTTTTGTGTAAATCTGTGTGTGAACAGACGAAAGGGAGTTGCAAACTGGGATCAAGGGTCAAAGTATGTTTTCTGTCCCCAATTGGCCACTAGTTTTACATCATGGTGAGACTTTTAGGATTAGAGAAACAAGGAAAGAAGTATATAAAGCCTATCTTTTTTTTATACTCACTTTGTAATATTGTTTATCAGTGTTTGTATATTCATGCTGAATGTTTATTTCCTTTGCTGCAATTTGACATCTTTGCTTGCTTGACACCTTGGTGGACAAAACAACAGGAACTTTGGTTATTCTATCATTTCTTTTTAAATAATCTGCAGTTTTGAATTCTTGAAATACTTTTTCTCCAAGTTTGTGACATAAAAACATGGTTAAAAAAAATAATAAAATATTTTGTGTCGTGCCTGAGATTTTGATGATGTGCTATGATGGCAAAAATAATAAATAGTACATGGTATGATGTTATGCATATGATTAACTCAGCAGAAGAAGAACACAAAGTTTGACTTTATGGTGTGGAGAATAAGGTTTGGACTAGAGGGCTTCTCTCAACCACTTCAAAATAAAAGCCCAAGTAAATTAACTAACTACAATCAGAGGTTGGTAGAGTCCCCAAACATACTCAGATCACTTAAGGTTTAAAAATTACATCAGACAGACCCAAAAATATCAAGCTATGTGGAAATTTTGGTATTTAATAATTTAATAATTATAGAATAGCAAAATCGGTGTAAAGGTAACTAGTCAAAATGCAAATGGAGTAAATGAAAGATTAGCGCCACTATTAGCGCAGTAGCGCGTTATACACATTGTAAATGTTACAAACACAACTGCTAGTTTTTTTTTTTTTTTTTGCCAAAGGGCGATGTGCATTGTGTAAATGACTGCCATCCATTTTTGCATTTATTGAGAAGTCATTGCTTTATGGCTGCTGGACCAACATGCTGACTGGTTATATCGTTAACTCAACTTGACGCTGCGCCATCACATAAAACGGTGCTAGTTAGCTTTACACGATAACATGTTTGCAGTCAGTTGTCTGTTTTCCATTGGCAGTTTATTTACTGCATGTAGACATTTGTATACGTTTGTGTGCATTTTTTTATTCTTTCAAAAACTAGACCGACACACAACTGCAACAGTAAGAGGTCCCATAGAAAACACACAAACAATTGTTTTTTTTTTCTCCTTTGGAACAGAAATGAAAGATGAAACTTTACAAAAAACACTCTGAACTCTTTGGGTTTTCCAGTCAAACAGGCTTCACACTGAGCAACAGAGACGATTTCAGACATAAAACTTCCTTCTACAGACAGTGAAAAACCTCTGGGCAAATGAAGGGATTTGATCTGTTGCACAACATCCAGCACGCCCCGGCCACATGCAAGTAAATGATGTGGTTGCTCTGCTGCCTGCCAGCCTCCCTCCTGTGAATAAAGGAGGTGCCTGTTTGTACTTTTGATCAGAAATGAAACTTAACACGGGGAGGAAGTCCACATCGAAAGACACACATTCTCACTAGGAGGGAGTAGAAACCTGTGAGCAGAGGGAACGCTCCGCAACCTAAAGGTAAATTTCTGCTCTAAATGCAACATTTTTCATCATGAACCTTTGATTTAAAGCAGAACATGCTTTTGTAATCCTGAGTTATAATCACACAATGGGAGTGACACACAGTGGCAAGTTGTAAAACTGTAATGTAAAAAAAAGGTGAGGTGTGTTGGTGTGCACAGACAGTTTCATCAGCTTGCAGGAAGTGATGGTAAATTGTAATGTTTTTTTTTTTTGTAATTTATTGAAAATTAAGTAAGTTGTCTCATAAACAAAATTAATTGCAAATTCCAAATATGAAACACAGTCCAGGAACAGTTTATTTTCTGAATAGTAACACTCATGTCTGTTACTGTTTGGATGCATGCAGGTGCACAACAACATTTCCTCTGTGCGCCGGCAGACAGCTGATCATACATCACAAACAAAGTGCTCGAAATATCATAAAAAGTTGCACAACGACAGCAGTCTGCTTATCGGTGACCTTTGAACCTCGTTTGTTTAAGTTACTGACAGCGCCACAGCTTTCCAGGCCACCGCCTGCTCACACACAAACAGTGCAGCATGTTGGTAATGATTCATTATTTAAAACACAAAAGCTTTAATAAAGGAGAAATTCATTTCACCCGATGTATAATTTGTACATAGAAATGTACAGTTAACAAAATCCAATCGGATCTAAATGCATGGATTCCAATTCAATCTTGATTAGTGAACATTGCAGGCAAGTCAGTGTATTACTCAAAATGTCAATAATAATAATAATAATAATAATAATAATAATAATAATAATAATTGAAGAAAATTTAAATTGAAGCACCAGTCAATTTTTTCTACATTTTGTCCTGTTACAAATGAAATGTTTTATACATTTTCTAACCCAAACCCAGTTTTCCACAGAACATTTTTGAGGACACTGAAACATTTTGGAAGAAAACTTTCCCTGAACTTGGTGATGGCAGTGTCATACTGTGGGAATGATTTTCTTCAGCAGCAACACATGCATGCGGCAGTAGACCTGAAGTTGAAAGTTGTCTTTATAGTATTATTATTATCACCACTCTAAACGTAAATCCTGTTAAAATGGCCTAGTCAAAGTCCAGTGAAATATGGCAACCCAGCTCACATTTTCCAGCTACAGCTGTGTATTAGTTTAGCTTTAATTTAGAAAGTGTGAGCTTTCTTAAGGGGATGGTTTAAAAACATGAATAAACAAAAACAGGGCTTAAAAATAAATAACAAAATGATGACCAACAGTGGTTGGCAGCGCTAACTAACAAGCTAAATGTGCCAACTGTCATAATCACAGGCATCAGTGTGACCATAGCTGAAACACCACAACAACATGGTATTTAATGGAAGCTAATGCTAACGTGCTGCAATGAACCATCTCGATACCAGCAATAACTTGTTGCTGCATGGCATGTCGCCATGGCAACAGGGTCAAACCAGTTATTACAGTCCTACCAGAAAAAAAATCACTTAGTGGATGCAAAGTTTGCTAAAGATTTTCAAAGCTAGCAAAAAGGTTAAAGGGCTAAACAAAGGGGAGAACAAATTTAATTTATTAGCTGAAGTATCCCCACCACTGTTGATCAAACACCTTCATCAATTTTTTCATTTAATACAAGAACACATACTGGTTTCGATGAAATATAAATGTGGTTATACTGAGACATAAAACGTAAGAGTTTTACGTCTAGTGAGTTTCTGATAATGAGGAACTTTTACACCGAGTCGCTGACCCTGTATTTTTTAGCGGCTAAACTCTTCTGTTTAGCCGCTAAACAGAAGCGGCTAAACAGAAGCCGCTGTTTTAGGGATTTTTTTCATTAGCAAAAACAAAAAATGTCATTTAAAAAAGTTTCAAATGGAAGCTTTGACTTAACTGAGATATTTTCCCTAAGCAGACATGGCCGCCGTCTCTGTTCCAAACAGCGATGCCACGCTGGAGAAGAATCTGACCTGCTCCATCTGCATGGATATATTCACCGATCCGGTCACAACGTCTTGTGGTCACTCTTTCTGCAAGAAGTGCCTGGAGCGCAGCATCTCCCCATATCAGGTGAACGACATTTGTCCGCTTTGCAAAACAAAACTCAACACCCCTCTAGATGTTAACATTGTGCTAAGAGACATCGCCACGCAGATGAAAAACACCATTAGCAACAGGAGTTCAGGGGCCCCTGGAGAGGTACCATGCGACGTCTGCAAGGAGCCGAAGCAGAAGGCGACAAAGTCATGCCTTGTGTGCCTCGCCTCATATTGCCCAGACCACTTGGAGAACCATTCGAATCCGAGACTGAAGGGCCACAAGCTGGTGGAACCAGTGGAGAACTTGGACGAAAGGGCCTGTCTAGTCCATGGACGCCCGCTTGAGCTGTACAGCAGGAATCAGCAGAGGAGCATCTGTGTTCTATGTATGGAAGGAGGTCAGGATGACGTGGTCTCCACAGAAGAGGAGTGGCTCAAGAAGAAGGTGAGCTAAACTTCCTGATTCATTCATCTGCCACCTTTTTTACCTATTTAAGCCTTTCGGCATTTTCTAAAGAAGATTTAAGAGACTCAAGCTACTGTTAAACAGTAGCTAAATTGAGCAAATTTAGGCTGAAACATTTAAAATGTGGCCGCTTGTTGTCTTTTACAGACTGAACTTGAGAACACCAAGAAGGATTTAGAAGACAGAATTGAAATAAGAAAGATGAAGATGGATGAGATAAAGAAAGCTCTCGAGAAGTGCAAGGTAAGCATAAGAGGCAACAATGTCTAAAGGACCAGTGCCAAAGTAAAACCCGTTCAAAAATCTAGAGCTTATTGGAGCAAAAATCTTCAGTCGAGCATCTAATACTAACTCTTCTTCACAACTGAAATGTCAGACAGAATTCACTTTATTTTAGACTATAATATTAGGCTGTTCTTTATAAATCACAGCTTCACCACTACGTTTGGTCATGAGGTTCTGCCTCATGCTTTGCCCTCTGCACATTCAACGTTTGGCTTTTGGCCACATGTACATTTTACTATTGATCCTACGCAGCGTTTTACAAAACAAGACCCCAGATGCGCAGACATTGCAACTCTGGAACTTCATTAACAAAAAGCAATGGAGGCCATAGAAAAGCATCGGCAGATAATAATTAAAGATGCGCTAACAGCAGCTTTTAAAATTAATTTCTTCTCATTTCCAGGACCTGATTGAAAACGAGTGGTGGGATATCGAAGCTGTTTTCACAGCACTGATTAACATTGTGGAGGCAGCCCAGAAGGAAGCTCTTAGGTCACTAAAGAACAGAAGGGAGGCAATGGAAAAAGAAGCAAAAAACTTGAACGATGAGATGGAAAACGAAATCAACAAAATTGAGAAAACAATCACAGAACTAGATGACATCTCATCACTAGAAGATCACATTCTTTTCTTAGAGGTCAGAGGAAAATCACTTTAGAATCTAAACTGGTTTACAAAGTTATCATCAAGGATTTATGTTAAAAAGAAGTGCATCTAGGAAGCTTTGATGCTTTGAAGTCTGTTCAGTAATCTGTCTCTTTTGTGTCTGTTCAGAGATACCCATGTCTGTCATATCAGGATGACATGACTGACTGGACGGATGTTGAACTTGACACCACCCTGTCTTTTGGCTCCATGAGAAAAACTACAACAAGAATGGTTAAAGAAATCCAGCAGGAGCTGGAGAAGCTGGACACCACTGGTAAGAGTTGACTTCATTGTGGGACAGTAATAAGACCCAAAACGGCTAGTGTTGACGAAAAACTTAATTTTCTATTTTTGCAGAAATCAAAAGACTTCAAAAGTTTTCCGGTACGTAGCGTGTTTGACTATTTTTCCTTAACGGTGTCTGGGAAATAATGACAATACCTGCATTTTCATTGACTGTTTAATTGCGTGATTTGACATTTTGAACATAAATTTAGTGGAATATTGCAGTTTTGTGCACATCTGTAATGGAAAAGCAACCACTGAGCTCATAATATATTTTCAATTTGATCTCAACAGTGGACATAAAGCTGGACCCAGAGACCGCACACCAACGCCTCATACTTTCACCTGATGGGAAGAAAGTACAAGATGGAGGAGAAAACCAGGAAGTGGCTGATTCTCCTGAGAGGTTTGACGAGTTTGGTAGCGTCCTGGGACTCAACAGCTTGACTACTGGAAAGGCTTACTGGGAGGTGGACGTCAACAACAAGAGCGGATGGGATCTAGGTGTAGCCAGAGGCAGCGCCGACCGTAAAGGGAAACTGACGCTGAGCCCAGAGAAAGGTTACTGGGTTCTGGTGCATTATGAAGCGGAGAACTACGCCGCTATGACAGAACCACCCACCCGTGTTTCCCTCGATAGGAAACCCAATAAGGTCGGGGTGTTCGTGGACTACGAGGAAGGTCTCTTGTCCTTCTACGATGTAACAACAAAGTCTCACATCTACTCGTTCACAGAGTGTTCGTTCAAAGACGAGCTCCACCCGTACTTCAGCCCACACATGAAACAGGAAAAGACGAACTCTGAGGCTATGATTATTTCAACTGGAAATTAATGTGACTGATGAAGAAAGGAGGTGTTTAGCATCCATTTGTGTTTAACCATTCCAGTTTATGTAAGTGATTTCAAAACTTGGTTTTGTTCAGCATTAGACTTGGGGTGGGGGGGGGGGTATTACAATAGACTGCTACAAAGAAATTAATGGGAATTTTTTTTGCTAAATTAAGTAAAAAAGAAAGAAGCAACATGCTGACTAGCTAAACCACGCCTACTTTCATCCTTTATTATTCAAAACAAACCATTGTTAGCTCTTGTGTGTAAACCACTGGAAGTAATTAGATGTACTTTTATTTTGTTTTGTAATTACGTTTTTTTAATCTGGAAAATATTTAAAATGAAAAATCATAAAACTGACTCATTCAATATAGTTTTATGTACTTTTTATATATAAATATGTACATATGCCAGTCATTCAAGTCATATATCTGGCATTTCTGGAGCCAAATACAGTTAGGGTTAGAGTTAGGGTTCGGATTAGTCATGTGGTGGTAATTGTTATCCAGGTTATTGTCAGAAAAACTTTAATTTGAATCTGTTTTTTCAATACTGTGTAAAACTTATGGGAATCCACATTTTTTCCAGTTTTACTCCAACTCAGAAAGTTGATAGCTCTGAATCACAAAGTAAATCTCATGAGGCACCACACAGGTATTTTTTTTCAACAATTCTTTATGTCTTGGTAGTTTATACTCATTTCGGTGAAATTAAGGAATTGCATTAATTAAAAAGCTAATTGCTTAGCATTTTTGCATAAATGTTCTTTTAAAAATAGCTGGTGAAACATGTATTGTTGAGTGTTGTGTTTTCTGTTTTCTGTTATATTTTATTTTATTTTTTATTTAAGGAGATAAACAGCCCTACAGAAAGTCTTGCTTGTGATAGGAACTACTGCACTGACTCACATAATAAAAATCAGAGAGATAAAGTACAAATACAGGCAATTCTTGGTCATATTCGGAGTGTGGCTGACCTTACAAAATACAAGAAAACAATTTTGATGTTTTATTCTGTGGTCTGATGTGCATTTACCCAGATTGATAGCTGTCATGTGAATCTCATTGAAACTTCATTAGTATATCTGTGTAGAAAATAAGGAAGAAATGTTTATAGTTTGGGGTTTTAGAAAAATGTGTGCAGTTTTTTTTAAATATACAATGAAATTAGAAACATAATGCTGATTATCAGTTGCTTTGAAAAGCATCTGCATAAGTCTTACATCCAGATCTGATCAGTGTGCAGCATAACTAATGTTTGATCCTGACCTCACTGACCCATGTTTTATGAAGACTCAGTTTGAGAAGTTTTTTTTTAAGATATTAAAACAATGGAGCAGAGGCTTCCTGCTACGTTTAGCTTTCTGTGCTAAACGTAGCACATAAACACTTTTGGAGTTTTTTTTTTTTTTTTTTTTTACACTTGTTTTTCATGACTATTTTCTTTAAATTTCAAAAATAAGAGCAAGAAGTTAATTATCCAGCAGAATAAGTAAACAATATCAACAAAATGATTGTTTAAAGGAATATTTCAAATCTTTAGCCATGCGTATGATATTTCTATTTTAACTTTGATGATTTTCAATGTTGTGAACACCTACCAAAAACCAGTGACTGGGTTTTTTTTTTCTTTTTAAAGAAGTGACATTAAAGTGACAAACTTGGACTGAATGCTGTGATGAAGCTGTGTTGCTCAGTGAGAAATAAAAAATAAAACCGTGGTGCTGTTTTTCTCAATCATTGGTGCTTCACCTTCTGTTTTGGCTTGAAAAGGATGAATGAAGCTTTACACCTAGTTTTAAAGTCAAACAGGCTCCACTACTGAGCAGCACACTCTCTGTAAACATGAACCCTCGTCCTGGAGCCCATCAATACCTCCCACAGAGTCTTATCAGTGGCTCAACATGCAACACGCCCCACTACGTGCAAACAGATAATTCTCATATTTATTTTTGTGCCAGTCTTGCTCTCTTTATAAAAGAGTCCAGCTGGACTTTTGATCACAAATGAAACCCACGCAGGAAGGAAGGAAGTCCAAAAGTTGCATCCTGAAGGTAAAAGTCTGTGGAGCTGCACTATCTGCTTCTTGTGAGGATATGATTGACGCCGACACCCTGCCCCATGTTTTTAGCAGCGACTGTTGATTTTATGGTGCAAGGCAGCGTGTCAGTAGTTGGGCAATTATTTTCAGGATGAGAAAATTTCATATGCAAAGAATAAACAACACATAAAAGATGATCAAGTCAAATGAAAATGTAGAATTACAGTCAAACTTAATACTATGTGTGTGACTAATACCCCTATTATTAATTCTTTCTCAAAAACACTTTGTGGGAAGGAAAGAAAGCAAAAGTATTAATGTTCACTTTTGAACTAAGACAACTTGATGCCTTTTTAATAATTGCTTGCTGGATTCAATGTTGCAAATGTTGCTGCTGAAGCATAAACTCCAAGACTCAACGAATTACCAATGACAGAATTGTTTTTCAATGCAACTTTCTATTTGATTTCAGAAAGTGAACCGAGTTTATCTTTACTATGTGACTCTTTTTTAAACAGGCATGGTGTCCACCTCTAAAGGACGGCTCTACCGCAACACTCCTGAGTCCTGCAGAACGTGCCTAGAACGTTACATCTGGTCAGTTTAGATTAAAACTGTGCAAGTTCGCCGCCCCAAGAATTGAAAGAAAATTCCTGATGTCAATATTCTGCTGGAAGATAGGGCCCAAAAGATGAAGAGCACAAAAAGTGTAGAGTGTGCCACGGTTGGGGAAGTTGCTTGTGACATCTGCACCGAGCCAAAGCTGAAGGCCGAGAAGTCCTGCCTTGTGTGTCTCACCTCATATTGTGCGCCCCACTTGGAGAATCATCATTCAGCTAAAAGACTCAAGGGCCACAAGCTGGTGGAACCGGTGAAGAACTTGGACGCAAGGGCCTGCCTGACTCATGGACGCTCACTTGAGCTGTACAGCAGAAAGCGGCAGACGTGCGTCTGCGTTTGCTGTATCGAAGGAGGTCAAGAGGAAGTTGTCTCGACGGAAGAGGAATGCCTAAAGAAGAAGGTACCGTAACTTCGTGACCCTGTTTGTCTTATCTGTTGAGCCAATCGCCATTTTATGACTGAAAGGAAACGTTCATCTTTGAAAATGTTTTCTCTCTGTACCTGTAGGCTGAACTTGAGTGGACCAAGACAACATTACAACAAAGAGTTATGATGAGAAAGACAAAGATGGTGGAGATCAACAAGGCTCTGAAGAGTTGCAAGGTACATGCGCCTCAAAACAGGCCAACGTCTGTCATCCTTGATGGGACAAAATATAATCAAATTAAAAAATAAAATATGCAATTAGATAGGCGCTAATTGCGTCTCCGTTGATCTTAAAATTGTGCAAATTGGAATTACGAAAATACATTTTCTTAAGTGAAATATGGCAATTGAAAAAAACCTCAAGTGTTTTGGTATCTGCTTTTTTCGCACCACACAAGTCATGCGATCAACAACATAATGTTACTACTGGCAGAAAATAAGAAGATGACAGCAGGAAGTGGTATGAGGAAGATTTTCAATGACTTACTAGCCAAAGCTCTGACTGCCTGAAGCTATTTTTTGCTGCATCTTTCGAATCTTCAGGGTTTTCGAGTCGAGGTAGCGTTGGCTTTCGCAACGACTACACGTCTTCAACACAATCACTGGTTATTCTCATTTTCAGGAGCAGCTTGAGTGGTGGGACATTGAGGCAGTGTTCACTGCTGTGATTGCCATTGTGGAGGCAGCCAATACAAAAGTAGTGAAACCGCTACAGGACAGGAGGGATGCGCTTGAAAAAGAAGCGAAAGACCTCAAAGACGAATTGGAAGCTGAAATCAACAGACTTGAGATGACGATCGCTGAACTGGACAACATATCTGCGCTTGAGGATCACATCCATTTCCTACAGGTCTAGTATCTGGAAATATTGTTTTTGAGTCAGTGTGGTTTACAACACAGTCGTTTTCATCTTTAGTGTGTTTTCTTTGCATGTTTTCTTCCAACTCTCTACAGAGGTACCCATCCATTTCCATCCGGGATGATATGAAAAACTGGAATGATGTCAAACTTGACACTTCAGTGGCTTTTGGTTCCATGAGAGGAATCGCAACAACTATGATTGAAGAAATTCAGCAGGAGCTGGAGAAGCTGGTCACCACTGGTAGGAAGTGTTTTTTTTTTTTTTTTGAAAGTGGAAACTGTTAGAGTATTGTTGAGTAAAACCCGTCCTCTGACGTTTACAGAACTGAACAGACTCCAAAAGTTCACAGGTGTGGTATATCACTTACTTAACATTTTCACAAGAAAGCTATGGTTTACATCCTCAAATTATTTGTTACCTTTCAACAGTGGACATAAAGCTGGACCCGGAGACTGCAAACCGACGTCTCGTACTTTCGCCTGATGGGAAGGAAGTACAAGATGGAGGAGAAAACCAGGAAGTGGCTGATTCACCGAAGAGGTTCGATGTGTTGGGCAGTGTACTGGGACTCAACAGCTTGACTACTGGGAAGGCTTACTGGGAGGTGGACGTCAACAACAAGAGCGGATGGGATCTAGGTGTAGCCAGAGGCAGCGCCGACCGTAGAGGGAAACTGACGCTGAGCCCAGAGAAAGGTTACTGGGTTCTGGTGCATTATGAAGCGGAGAACTACGCCGCCATGACAGAACCACCCACCCGGGTTTCCCTTGAATGGAAACCCAATAAGGTCGGGGTGTTTGTGGACCAAGAGGAAGGTTTGGTCTCTTTTTACGATGTGACAGCCCAGTCCCATATTTACTCTTTCACTGAGTGTTCATTCAGAGGTGAGATCTACCCGTATTTCAGCCCACACTACAGACAGGGTGAGGCGAACTCTGAAGCTTTGGTAATTTCTTCTGGTCACCATTCAGAAATTGTTTAATGGACTCAATTGTTAGCTCAGCTAACTTCCTTCCCACATCACCATAACTCAGGTCAAGTCTCAATTATCAATATGGGCATTTTTCACTATGGTTACTCCTTAATACAACAATGTATTACCTTTCACAGACTACTTCAACACAACTATTGTTCCCTCACTTACTGATGGAAATGTAAAATTGAAGTGAAATAAAAAATGGAATTTATGACATGTAATTTCAAATGTTCCCCCCATTTTTATTAACCACTGTTTGCAGTGTATTCAGTTAACAATGGATGGATGCAAAAAATAAAAAATAATGCTGAAATTTGAAAATAATTTTAAAATAAATAAAAACATATTTATGTATGTAGATCTTTGTATCCTTACATATTGTCATCTTCCTAAGATAATGTCCTACTTCTTTTTTTTCTTTTTTTTTTTGGGTTTTGCCAAAGGTGATTCTGATCAAAGGAAAATAAATAAATAAAATGAACAGTTTTGGCCAAAAATGATTTCGGCCATTGTTTTAGGAAAGTGAAGATAAGGTACATTAATATTTGATGGAGGTGAAAGGGATATTCAGTTTCTGTTTGAGCACTTCTGCTACAACATATCAGTATCTTGGTTGTTCACTAAAAATATATTTTTTTAAATCCATCTCTTCCACACATAACCCAACATTTGTTGTTGTGAAACCGCCTATCCTCGCAAATAAAGTTTGCTTTCTGAAATAAGCCAATTTGACTTTCGTTTTGAGTTCACAAGTTGTCCCAGTACCTTTGAACGTGTGGTTCTGGTTCTGGTGGCCCAGACAGACTCGGGCCTGGGCTTCAAGGCAGAAGTGAAACTGAAAGCACAACAAGCCCTCAGCATCGCGCTGCACCGAGGTGGAAGGAAGATCGTTTCATTGTCGGAGCGGAAGCAGCGCAGAGGGGAAGTCAGAGGTAAGACGTTTATTAACGTTTCTGAAAAATGCTGCGTTTTTTGTACACGTGCGTGCGCGCGCGCCCCCGTGTGTGTGTGTGTGTGTTTGTGTTTTACTCCCAAGTTGATTAATACGCAGCATCATCTATTGTTATATTTGCTCATTAAAGCGTGAACCAGTTTCTCAGCTATCACTTGGAGGAAGTCACGTGTTTCTGTTTTGCAGACTTGTAGGACAGAAACGTGGTCGTTCAGTGGATTTTCACTGATTCTTCCTCAAATAATTCACAAGCAACTTTTACGTGGTAAGAGGCAGACAATGGGATCAGTAAGCTTACATTTTGAAATTTAAAGGAATTGATGCTCTGTTTGGAAATGACTGGGCAGCCATTTCACTTTTCTTTGTTCTTCGTTTCCTTTTTCTGCATCTCTTCTGGTGATCTGAGGTGTACACTGTACAATTTCTCCTTTTTTCTCTTTTTTTTTTTTACCTCATCATAAATCATACTCATAATCCGGCGATTATGATCTGTGTTTACTACCGGTAGCAGAACTGTACAGTTGTGACCCGATTCGGTAATATAGATGTGGTTTTTACACAGCTCTTACTTTTCATGTCAGTCCAGCTTAGTTGGCCGATATATCGTGTCAATATACATATCAAGTAAAAAAAAAAAAAAAAAAAATCATATTTCTTACAATATCTATTTTGTATGAATGTGATGATTTGTTGATGATTTGTTGGGCAATCATCAAATTGATATTACAATCTGTTTTGCTTGAATGTAAAACACTTCACGTCCAGAAACGCCGCCCATCTTTAAAAGTTAAAAAGGTTTGTCAAAGGAGTCAAGAGCTACGTTAATTTAGGACATTATTTGACCATCCCTGTTTTTTCGTAGCCTGTTATTTCCTAATCAACGCCGCTAGATGCTCATCTCCTTTCACTGTTTCGTCTGGACTTTCTACTATTGAGATGGATTTCTCTGGTAGATTTTCTACTGGGCCAACAGACAGCCAAGTAGTGAATAATGACGTTGATTTTCAGTGATGTTTTAGATTTTGCGTCCTGCCTGTCATAGTTTTGACAATGCCAGCGGAGACAGTTTAAAAACCAAACCTTCGATCTTCCTTGAGCATTACAGCAGACTGTAATAGACTCATCGCCACAAGTTTTCCAGAATCCACCAAATTGTTCATTAATTAAGAAAACTGATTTGCTATGACAGCAGACAGAAAGATGTCTTGGGTTTGAATCCTAGTTAGCATCCCCGCATTAACAAACTCAAAGTAATGTTAATTTTGGGGGATTAAACAATTTGTCTGAGACATTCTTCTTTCAGGAAATGGCTAATTTGATGTGTGTTTACAATCACTTACTAACTGGCACACTGCTGGATTGAAGTTTTACTCATCAGACACAAAGTTACACTTCAGATAGAAACTAGACAGAATGGGAACAGCCCAGAAATCACAAAGGCACAAACCAACTTAAGCACTTTCTATCTAATGTGCACAAAATCTTTTTGTACTGTGGGAGGAAGCCGGAGCACCCGGAGAGAAACCACTCATGCTCATGGAGAATATGCAAAGCCCATGCATCGAGAACCCAGGTCAGGATTCAAACCCAAGACATCTCTGCTGTCATAGCAAATCAGTTTCCTAATTTATGAACAATTTGGTGGATTGTGAAATTTCCATGATGGGTGAAGGATTTAAACTCCTTGGTGTTCATCAGGACTACAGACTGGACAGTGAAGCTTCTATAAGAACGGACTAAGCAGACTGGAGCAAGCTGAGATCCTTCAAGATTTGAAGGATCTCAAACCGGCTGAAGAAAATGCTTATCCGGCATTTTCTTCAGCCTGATAAGCTGAAGAAAATGGATGGACAATTGTCATTACTCCCTCTTACACTTTTTGAGAGTTTTTCACTGTTCATTGACGTATTCATCCATATCACAATGACTAATATCTCTGGGCTTGCTAAAAATTAGGCAGATGTAAAATGCTGTCAATCAAGACAACCGACAACAACACTTTTCAACCTCACGTTCTCCTCTTCATCAGAAACTTCCACAGTCGAGGAAGTATGTACTGTAGTCTCTGCTGCAGAAGAAGAGACTACAGAACTATCACCTCTCGGTATCTCCATACTCGAAGACTGTTCTTGGCCAAGAACAGACGAAGCCTCCACTTCCACAGCAGTCTTTTTCGTCAAATTGCAACTTTGCTTCCCATGTAGGGAAGACCTGAAAAGATAAGCGTCAATGACATCGTAGTCGTCGATGTACTCATCCTGACAGCTCAGATTTTGCTTTGCATCATCTTCCCCAGCCGGGGAAGGATTAAATAAAAAAGCATTAAAATCGTCAATCGGCTCAGAGGAAGCACTTCCCTCTGAGCCGTCTTCTCCAGCCGGAGAATCGAAAAGAAAATTATCATAATTTTCCAGGGACTCGTCCTGAGATGTCCCTGTATCAAATTTTATACTGGGAAATACTTGGTTTAAAACATTTCTGACTCCGGTTGTTACCAAATACCCTACTCCAAACGACAACGGGAAAAAAGCTGTGATTAAAACCTCTTCCATATCAAAAATCTTTCCTACACACAAAACTAACTGTCGAAGAGAGCAACTGAAACCTGATGTTTTGAGACGCAAGCCTTTATAGCCTCAGATGTTCTTTGATATCATAGATCTATGTCATAGATGAGTTCATAGATGAGGTCATAGCTGCTATGAGCTGCTGCAGTTCTGGGCAATGTCTTTCTTCTTGCCATGGAAACAGTCAGTTCTGCATGATTCAAACTATTAACCCTTTACAATCGCCTCACTTTATCATTCGGATGTCGGAAGTGAAAGATGGGAGAATCGAACAGAGTGACTTACATTATTTCCACAAGTTGTTTTTACCAGTTTATTCGTGGCTTCTTCTTGTTGGAGTGGAGATAACTGGTCTGTGAACGTAACAAACCTGATTGGGGCTCATAGACAAGGCAATTTACAAAAGTTGGAGATTGCTGGCTTCCAAACCAACGCATACTTCCTCCACCCTGAAGCGTTAAGTTGCACCCCCACCAGGCAAAGCATTGTTTGTTTATTTGTTATAGGGTGTTTTTCATTCAGTAACAGTCACAGCAAAGAATCTCTTTGGTGAGAATCACAATATAGTACAGTCAGACTGTGAACACATAGGAAGACTGGGGTTTGGTGTTTTTCCACTGGAACGCCGTAACCACTGTTCTGCGTGCTGACAGCTTCAGGGAATAAAGTGACTAGTCACGTGTTGCTGGGCTCAAGTACAGATGACATCCAGAGTTGTCTTGGCAAATTACAAAAAGGTTTTTATTTACCTTTATACAAAAAGTCAGCCTGTCAACACTCGGTGCCTAACGCTCCCCAGCAGAACGGGAGAAAAACAGTATACTGCCGAGCAAACGGCACGTTCCAGGAACACACACCACACCGACGCATTCACTGACATAAAGGAAATATGAGACAGACACAAAACCTAACCATGTTCAGAAGCAATTAAGAAGCTGCAATGAACAATGAATGAACTTATAAACAAAACAAATTGGGTGGGGTACCTCAAATTAGTGCATCACTTAGAATTCCTTGCAAAAGTATTCAGACCCTTTGAACGTGATGCTCCAAACACAAACTTGAATGTATGTTCTTGGGGCACAATATGATAGATCATTGCAGATTAGTGCAATGATTTAATTATAGTGTGTTGTTGTCTATCCCATAAAATCCTTTTAAAATGAACTGAAATTGGTGTTTGTAATATCACAAAAACAGGCATGTTTAAGGCACAGTAGTCAGTTTTGCTAAAAATCGTCAAGTTACAAAATATATCATTCTGTGTTGGCCTCGTCTCCAAGTATTGAACCAGCATTGACAGCCGCCTCTCTCAGCTCAGCAAATGTTTGTCAATTTCAAACATTGACAAACATTATGACATGTTTGTCAATGGGACAAGAGCCCAGACCCTCTGGATGAATCAAATAGTGCAGGACAAGCTAACAATAAAAGGTACACAAATTTAGCTTCAGAACTTGTATTTTACAATATAATTTTAATGTTTGTATAATATACATCGCATCCATACAGTATCTTATTTTTATTGGATGAATTTAAAAGGGTTTGTTATTACATGATATTTGCAATAGACAAAGAAATGTGATGTAATCCAACTTCACAACCAGAGGCTTGGGGTTAACAGCATGGGCATTTTTGTCGTAATCTGTCTCCTCAAGACCAGTTGCAGAAATGAGCCTTCAGGTTTGCCACTGCTGTGGTTGGACCAAAGTGACGACCTATCACGGCCTGAGGGTCCACCAGGGAAGGATGGGCTGCACCCCGAGGGGTGCGAGGATCGCAGAGCCTCAGCAGCAGTACACGTGGAACCTCGGAGGACAGACAAACGTTAACTTGACTTACAAGCTGGACGTCCGGAACGCTGTCAAAATCGGTGGGCTGTCCAAATTGTGTCTCAAGATTCTTTCTGAACAGAGGGGTGACTCAAAGACTGACAAATGACTCTTGAAATTATGTCATGGACAGAAAGTTCAAATTATTATTCAGACGTGAGCCTCCAGACGTGTCACTGCGGCTGGAAGAAAATGACGAATTATCACGGCTTGAGGACCCACCAAGGAATGATGGGATGCACACCGAAGGGGGTGAGGATTCCCAAGGAAGAGCAGAGTGCCCAGAGGGACCCCTGGAAACCACAACTGGATATCAAAACACTTCCTGTCGCAAAGAAAGTTAATACGAAGAAGGAGGTATACAAATGACAATTGAGCAGTAATAGTGTCAGTTCATTGACACTAAGTGAAAACTTCTCCCGTTGACTTGACAGAATTCCCCAGAAATACCAAGGATGAGAAACTCCACATCAGCAGCAAAGGTCAAAAAAGGGAACAAGTCAGGTATATGCGATGGTCAAATGTGGCCCTCATAGCAATTAGCCAAATTCCTGATTAATTTCAGCGTTTCCTTTTTTCTCATAACTCCTCTTCTCAAAAAGCTACAAGGTCAAAGTCAACGCATCAGTTGGAGGAACGCTTCACACCTTTAAAGGTAAAGACGAAACACTAAGCTTTGATTATTTAGCGGTCAAAGATACTTTAATTATTCAAGACAATTGATCACAGAGCTAAAAAAAAAAAAACAACAGTAAGAGATTACATTCCCAATTATATACCAACGTTGTTGCTTAACTTATTTATCTGGGATGAAATAGTTGCTGGTTTTATTAAGTATCTTGGTTGTGATAAAGGATTATCATAGTAAATTGAAAATAAAGCTATTATTAACTATTATTTAATCACCAGGCTTTAAGGAAAATGGTTTTTGAATTGTCAGTCAAATACACTATATCAGATGTGATGAAAAATGAGCAGAAGAACATGAGAGAGGAACATTTATATCACTAAAGACAAACATTTGAATAACATTTGAATAAAGCTGAACGATTATAACTTACAACTGTACAAGTCTGTCTGTTTGAAGGTATTTTGTCACCACTATGTACAAAAAATGTTAAATACACAAGCAGCTTCCTCTTCTCGTCGCTACTAGCTTCTATAAGCTGCCGAGTGGCTAAAGCTAAGTATCTAAATATTAGCTGGATACTTGTGGTCTTCTCAACAAACCTCCTTGTCTGTTTGAAATCGTATCAGTTAATTTATTGATTTATGTAATTACAACTGAACAATTCCATGAAGTTTTGTGCTTTACTCTTCAAATTGTTTTGGGTGCTGAGTTTCTGTCCAGTGGCGAACTGGGACCAAAAAAACAAAACAATAAAAACACAAAATAAGGTGTCGTCCAGACAAGCCCACCAAATTTATAACGCACGTATGCGTACATATTTTGAGGCCTTCTAATGGGTTAACCCTACTGTGCAAGTCTTCAACCACATACCTTGAGTTAACAAGATTCAGCGCATGCGAACATGTGAAATACTGACAAAAAGTGTTTGTGGTTAACCAAAATAAAAAATAAAAAATGCGTATGACATACATTTAAAGTGGTAAAAGTTGTCAATACAGTCACTATTTAAAAAAACAACAATATTTTGTATGGTTTCTTTCTTCAGTCGTCGGAGGAGTACCGGGGCGCCGTCGGCTGCTATAGCCACAGAGCAACAGCATCTAGAATCAAGGCGGAGCCCGTGTCACGTACGCCTCAAGAGCATTCTGCTCCATGATTTTGGAGAATGAAAAAGGAAATTAAGCTTGAAAGTAAAACCTAATTCTCCTTTTATCGTTTTATTCGCAGCTCTGGAAGTCTATATTCCAAGATACCCAGATGGCCGCAGTGCAACCTCAGCAGAGAGCGACGAGTCCTCGCTTTATTTGCAGGTAGAGCTGGAAAATCTGTGACCCACTTTGATACAAATTCTTCAGTTACATTTTTCCTCTCTTTTTTTAATATTTAGGACAAATTCTTTCTGTATTTCTGTTACATTTTGCAAATTCCCAAACTGCACCGTTCTTACATTGGGAATACTTTTTAACATTTCAATAATTTCCAACCTTTTAGGTGAACCATTGGATCGGCGAAATCCCAGCTGTCGAACCGGAGGACCGATACGGATCTTTGAGTGAACATCCAAGAGCGCCAACTGAAGTCCCACAGGGAACGAAGGACTCACTGTCGCCGACGTCGGGGCAAGAAACGCCAAGATCTCAGCTACTAACAGAAATACAAAACTGCTTAAAGAGATTTAAAAAGAAGAGAAATGAAAAAATTATGAACTCTGGTCGCGATGTAGAACCATTTTTTCCATTTTTGGAATAATTGCAATAATTTAATCCAAAACCAACAGCAAATAGGTACAACCGCAAACTCTGTATGTATTGTCTAACTATGCATCTCTATGAGTCAGACTGTGGATGAATCATCAAGGATCTCAACCAACTCAGTCATAAAAGCTGAATCTATGGAGAAGAACCAATCATGTATGTACTAAATGATTAGTACGACATAAGAGTGAACCGAAGAGCCACGAAGCTGAAACTGACCACCTGACTTTTTTACTTCCAGGTCTTGCAACCCCACTCAAGAAACCCTCTGAAACAAAATCAGCAGCTGCTGAGCAGGTAAACAATTACCTCCTCATCAATTTGTCTCTTCTTACAGATTTGTGTTATACACAGGTTTTCACTAAACGGATCCATCTACATGACAAGTGATGTACTAGTGGGTGTAGTATAGAAACAGAAAACCCAACATCACCCAGAAACCATAACTTGATTAAAGGGGCAAGTTTGAATAAGTCATTTGAAGCATTCTGTGAAAAAAACATGGCATTTTGAAGTTGATGGCACGAAATTACAGTCCAGAATTTTTTCTTCAGTCTAGAATGCCATTAATTTCATTCAGAATTATGGCATAATTTAATTGTAAAGTTGACTGGAGAGCTGATTGGGTATTTAGAAAATGAAGCAAGAACCGCTAAAAAAAAAATAAATCACATCTTTCAAATCAAAAATTATATGATGAGTTTGCTTAACCCTGTTCTCCTTCTCCCAAAAATTAGAAGAAAAAAAAAACCCAAACGCATTTGACTGAAAGAGAAATGGAGCAATATTTTTAGACTGATTCATGACTGAATCATTTACAATTGAACTACATTGATCCGTCTATTTTTTTCTCTTTATTTTTTAGATAAATGAATCTGTCAGCAAATGTTCAACAACTCAACCTCCGGTTCCAGCTAAGAGGAAGAGCTTACTCCTATTCACTGGGACGCCAAAGAAAGAATCTTCAGCCAGCCCCAATGGAGAAGTGAAGAAAGATAACAAGAAAGAAGAACAGATGCAGGTTCAGTATTTGATGATTCATGTAACATCATAAGCATACTAAATAACCTTTGCTAGATGACTGTGCAATAAGGTTTGCAAAACTCCAAGGATAGGAGGGAATTTTATTTTGTACTGTAGTCAATCTCTTGCTGAACCAACAGCCAAAGAAGAAAGTGAACGTTTTCAATGTCAAAATAGCTCAAATCTCAAAGACTTTGTAGCTTTTAGAGAAAACGGTAATGAACAAAAAGCATCATGAATACCAAGGAACACTGTAGATACATCGGGGCTAAAGACGTAGAAAACTTTGAAGCAGAGCTTGGCTGTTAAACCTTCGGTGCCTCTGTCATTCTGTGATTGTTTGCATTTATCAATCAGATGGTTAAATATAACATTAGCATGTAAAATGCTAGTTTATTACATTTGAAATATGTTAACCAGCAATTATTGCACTCCAAAAAATCCTTATGGTATGAATATTGTGCACTGATGTTGCGATAACGATGTATTCTGTCCCTATAGCACATAAGTTTCTTCTCCATGTGTCTTCATCACCGTTTTTTCCACAAACATTTAGCATCTCCTGTGTATCTTGTATGTGGCAGAATGGGAGACAAACAACAAAAGTCAGCTCATCTCTGGAGGAGAAAAACTCACGTACGTAGAAAATGATCAGGCATCAGAACAAAGTCAGCGGCTTAGAAAATAAAATGAATTGTGACTCTCCTGTTTCGCAGACACAAAAGTAACGTCATCCGAGCAGGTAAGCAATAATCTTCTATGAAGTCTTACTTTTTATACATTTTTAAACTCTTTTTTTATTTACCTAAGGGTGGGGCACACTGCTCAAAAATAAAATTACAGATTTATTTAATAATAGATCTAATTTCAACCCATTTTCAATTGAAAGTTCAACTAATTCACAAAATCCATTCCACTACTTCCATGCTACGTCTTGCCACAGTATTTATTTTTAGTGACTTATTTGACCTGTTTTCAGGTGAGCCGAACAGCGCCCCCTGTGGTGCCACCAAAAAGGAACTTGCGTTCATTCCGAGTGAAGCAGCTGAGTGGGCGAAACGTTACTAACGACTTGGAAAGAGCCAACAGCGAAATGAAGGTACAGAGCTTTACACTTGGTAAAAATGTAGTTTTCTACTGGAAGCCTGTTGGGTTTCTTGTGTTAAAGGTTTATCCTCGGCCCCGGCTCTAACCACTCTACCTTATTTCAGGTGAAAGAACTGGTGCGGATGTTTTCCGCCTCGGCAGCCCAGGAGAACGCAGTAGAAACGGAGGAGAAACCCGGATCAGAACACCCACGAGTAATGCTTTTATTTTATTCAATACCATTAGAGTGTGGGTCTGTAAGAGGTGTGAGTCCATCAACTAAGAACGGCGCAAATTGAAATGACAAAAGTAAAGGATGCAAGTTTTTCGCTATGTTTTTGCACTGGGATCAGGTGGTTTTTCCAACCGCATCAAAATTAGTCTATTTCACAAAACTGCGATGGAAACATCACATGATCAACAGTCAGATGTTACTACTGGCGGAAATGACAAAGAAGACGACAGGAAGTGGTAGAGGATCGTTTCTTTTCCCTGCCAGATCGTTTCTTTTTCCTGCCAGTCCTCTCCCAGTGATCATTCAAAGGTGTTGACCCCACAGCTCTTCTTATTGGTAAAAATCACTGACTACAATTTCCTCGAAATGCTGAATACATAGCTTATCCCAAGTAGGCGGGGCATGTCGCTACAATGCCTGAATAAGATGTCGACGTCTCCTCTGATGGCTGAATTATGAACACATAATTCTTGTATCCATGAATTATGTACAACTTTATTGTGTGAACAAGCTTGCTCAAGTGTGACTTTAATTTCGTTAATTAATGGAAATGCCGGAGTTGCGAGATTGAGGGGGGTGAGGGGGGGAGGGGCAGATATTTGCTGAACATTTGTCCCCATTTGTAATGGATTGCACTTGGCGGCATTGAATCTTTCAGGTGAAGCTTCTCGCTCAAAGACATCCTGCCATGCCGGCCCAGGAACCCAGAATCCAACCAAAGGTGGAAGACAGGCAGGAGAAGGTGAATACACCATGCTTCTGTGACTTTAGCTATTAAGGCATTAGTGCTCATCACACACCAAGCATTTTCTTATTATCTATAAGCATCTTAATTATTTGCAAAGTCAGAAATTTAAATCATTAATGTCCCTCTGAGGAGGATTTTCATTTTAATGGCAGGTACCATTTTGAATATCAATTTTATTTTGCCATTCTTTTTCCTGTTTGCGTAATGTTGATTTGATGGAATGTGCTTGGTGAAGCAAATGCTCAGAAGTTCCCAGTTATCAATAAAATTCTCAATTCCAAGCTTTAAAAAAAAAAAACAATACTGGGACACGCCTTACACGCCTTACTGGGACTCAATCCAAAATGGCTGCCAAAAGTTGTACTCTTCATGTTCAGTTATTAAACATGTTTATGACCAGGCACGATAAGATAGTACTGCATTATTTCCGTGAGAACTTCAGGTATCCCGTGATACACATATCATAATATGCAATATAAAAAGATAAAAAGAGACAATGTGATAACCACAGTACACACATACAAGATAAGTGACTTCATAGTGTGAAACTGACTACATGCTATAAAGGTGTAAAGGACAGAATGCATTACAGTGTGTTGTATAAAATACATGCGATCAATTTTAGATTTAAATAGTAGCCTAAAAGTTTTATTATGGAAGTCAGAAAGTCTTTTTAAAAACAAAACCTCTAGAATAACAGCTAAAAACATTCAAACTATTTTACGATACAACTTTTGACGTATGATGAGGTAGTTTGATGTTGTGGAGTTGTTTGGCTTTTGCCGATTCAAGTCCTCTACGTAACAACCCACCTGCAGGTTCGATATTAAAAATAATTCACCACAATAAATGTTTTTATTTTATTTATCACAGCGAGCAACAGACATAAAACCTGACGTAACTCTGACAGCGGCAGAAGAGCCACAGGAGGAGGCTCCATCAATCTGTAAGTGTCTTTCCTCAGAATGATTCCTGGGTGTTCTAGAAGTCAAAGCTCGCCAGCGTTTTCTGTTCTCTGCAGTGTGTGAAGCAGCAAAACCCGACGCTCCCGCCAGCATGAAGGTACGACGGGTTCCTTGTTGGATATCCTACAGAGGGGAAACAAACTTCCACGTTGATATTTTTGCGCAACGCTGAATGCTTTGCAGGTGAAGGAACTGGCTCAGATTTTTTCGACGCAGGAAGCGGCGGCCGGGCCGAGGGAGAAACGCGGCCGAGGACACGGATCATTACAGGTGTTTCATTTAAAGCTGTATCCACCACCAGATGAGAATGAGATTCCTTAATTTGTTCTTTTATTTGAATAATGGTTTTCCTGCTTCTACTTGCTACTGCATTGTAGTTTGCCTTGTTTATGATTTGGTGCCTTTTGCTCCTTTGTTTGTGTTGCTGGATCTACTGAGAAGTTTCATATCTTACAGGTAAAACTGATGGCTCAACGATTTTCACAACCCACGTCCACGGATGCAATAGGTCAGCTAAAAAAGGAGGGTAATGACAGAGTACAACGAGCACAGGTACCTGTATTTTTCGTTTTTTCTGATCTCAGTCTATAAACTTAATATAAGACGCATTAACTTATTTGCTTCTGTGTAAAATCTGCTAATATTTTAATAGAAATTTGTAACATCTGTGGTCTAGAGGTGAATTTTTGTTATGAGCCTTCTGATTTAAATTTCTGACTTTGCAAATAATTAAGAAGCTTATAGATAATAAGAAAATGCTTGGTGTGTGATGAGCACTAATGCATTAATAGCTGAAGCCATGTTTGATTAGTGATTTAGCTGAAGTCATGTTTGATTAGTGCTTTAGCATTAGCTGAAATTATGTTTGATTACTGCTTTAGCTTTAGCTGAAGTCATGTTTGATTAGTGCTTTAGCATTAGCTGAAATTATGTTTGATTACTGTTTTAGCTTTAGCTGAAGTCATGTTTGATTAGTGCTTTAGCATTAGCTGAAGTCATGTTTGATTAGTGCTTTAGCATTAGCTGAAGCCATGTTTCATTAGTGCTTTAGGTGAATCCATGTTTGATTAGTGCTTTAGCATTCGCTGAATCCATGTTTGATTAGTGCTTTAGCATTCGCTGAATCCATGTTTGATTAGTGCTTTAGTTTTAGCTGAAGTCATGTTTGATTAGTGCTTTAGCTTTAGCTGAAATTTAAAAACAGATGAACCAGCAGACAGGTCTGGGAGAAAACTGTTAAGACGTTTAAATAACAATTACATTATAAAACGATATATCAAGCTTTAAACATATTACATAAACACCAAAAATTGCTCCTACTAACTCAGGTTCACTGAATATTAATGCAGAGTTGAAACATTTTAATGAAAATATTGTCTTGTGGCCTTTACTGAGTTAAGACAAGGAGTGTACACACATGACATTATATCTGTCCAACGTCGCAGAAAACATGGTTTTTCAGTACATGTGCCGCTTTGAAAAATGTAATAGTGAATATTATAATATTGAAGTCTTATCTTGGTGGAGGCGACACCCTGAGGCTGAGCAGCTCTTCTTGTTCCAACAGTTGAAGCTGCTGCTTAACAACTGGGCCTGTCTGAGTGTGCTAAACCACAACGGGGAAAGATTGAGTTAAATAAAAACAACAAACAAACTGGTTTTCATAAAAGTCGTCAAACAATATGCAGCTCCCGCAGTGTTTAAGTTTCCATGAGAGAGAAAGCACGTGTTGCGTTTTTCCACATTCACCTTGTTTTCTGCAGAGACTCGCCCTCTGATTGGGTGCATCTTAAACATGGTGGTTCCACACAGATCATCTGATTATCAGTAACTTAATTTTTAATGGAAGATTTTTTATTTTTTGTCATATTTGTTACATGAATGTTTTGTAGCAAGTCTTAATTTGGTCTAATCTGTGTTTTCCAGCAGAAGTTACCAGACTCAACATGTAACCCGTCGGAAATGAAAACTGCAGCACAAAAGCCCACCATGCATCAGGAACACAAACCCTGTATGAATACCTCTGCTAAATAATCACAGATCTTCAAAAATCCTGTTATTCTCAGTTGTATCACGATAACTTTCTGATTTTTGCAGATGAAGCATCTCAGGTCGCAGGTTTGTCCACGAGGTCAAAGGTAAGACATCACTTCAGCCTACTTTAACAACACTTCAGACTCTGGCTTTTCCATCCACCCTGTGTTTATGGTGCCATCAGAAGGTTGACTCATTCTTTTATGTGTTACAGGTGAAGGACCTGGCTCGGATGTTTTCAACTAAGACCATGTAGGGAAAAGTTCTCCTACTAAAAGAGAGCAATGAAAATCAAAGGCATTACTGTAAAAAGTTTGGAAGTGGAGAAGGAAGCATTTCCAAGAGTATCTCTCCATGTATGCATCCGATATCAACTATTTTTAAAATGTATACACTTTTGGTACAAGAGCCTCATGTTTCTGTGCAACGTCACCTCAAACTAGAATGGCTTCATCACCTGTTTCTGGTTGATTCATATCAGACTTGACAAAAAAATGACAGCATTCAAAACAAACAAACAAAACAGCTAGGCTAAGCTAACATTAACAGGCTCATGCTATGCTTTGATATGCCTTGTTGATGGTTTGGCTCACAGGATACTCCATCGCAGTCCTTGTTACTGAAAATGTTCTGTCTTGTAAATTTAAAAGATTCCTTCCTTTGAACATCGTAACATTGAATGAAGAGTGTTTCGGCTGCTTTCTGTGATCAAGGGACACCCTGTGTTCATGGATATGTAGCAAATGTAAAATTGGAGATCTTCACTGTGTAGGTATTTGACAGCTTCGCAACTCCCCTGCAGGTTTGAATGGGAGTTAATGCAACTTATGATGTTTTTGATTCCATGACGTAAACAAACAAATGGGTTGCGTGGGTTTTAGGTCCTTATCCAGAGGCTCAACAGAGATTAGGAGTTGAGAGGCGTCAGCGTGTTCACACATGCAGGAATGGTCTGACTTTAGGAGTTGAACCGAAACGCTGACACTCAGGTTGAACTGCTTCCTGTTCCAACTGAGAGAGGGAGTTGGTAGCAACCAGATGGGTTGTTGTCTGGGCATATCAGTCGGCAAAGGGAATGCTTAGGAAACCAACAAGTACACAAGCAGCTTTCTGTGTAATTCGTCAAGCGTCAGCGCAAACCTGCACCTGCCAGGTTTCTATTTCCCCTGAAATAGAAACCTTAAAACTTTGGTTTCTATTTCGAAACCACATCATAGAGTGGTGTGGTTTCTTTACATCTACTGGTTTACTTGGTGTTACAGAAGAGTTGTACCCTTTGCACAGGAACACGATGTTTCTGGACAGATATCAGAGGGCTGCTGCACAAAACCAGGAAGACGCGGTAGCGCGTTGGTTACCATGGCGATTTATCTTGTGCAGCTGGCATGCTTAGCCAGGCTAACAGCCGGGCTTAGCTAATGTTGCCAAGTTATCTGTTCAGTCACGCCGATCAGAGTTTCGTTCGTGTTCTGTCATTTTGTCATCGTCACCTGATCCATTTAGGCATTGTTACGGTTCGGTCGTGTTTCTGAATATGGCTGTTCTAAGTATATTGGAAATGACAGATCTGAAATTAAAATCATGTTGACGACTTTAGTTTAGCACACAATTGAAAAAAATGCACAGTTTAAGTCACGCAACGTTTAAAACACGAAATTATTTACATCATAAACAAACCTTGTGTCTATTGAGGAGGCTGCTAAAGAGGTACAATTTAATGATCGTTACAACTTAATGTGTCTTTTAGTTAAGCTGTCTTTGCACCAACTGTGGAACAGAAAATTGTGCCTCCAACATAAAAAAGCATCCTAAGTCAACATTGTTAAAAGTAATTAAAAAATAAGCAGCAAAAGTTTTTATTTTTTTAAGTTTTTGACCAAATGAGATAATGTTTCAGAACATTAGGGTGACGACTGAAGAACATTATTGTATGAATGTTTAGAACAATTTGATTGTTACAACTTTTTTTTATTACGTTGTTGAAGGTTGTGTGTCTTATTAAAGGTACTCCTATTCCATGTTTTGTCACATTATAAAAGTGTTACTTATTCGCTCCTACAGAAATGTTGCTTGTTTTCCTCCCGTTGTTTCGTTGCAGTTTTGTTGTTGTGGGTTCTACCAGAAACATAACCTGACTTCCTGTCGCTGCACATTTAAAGGCTTTAAGCTCACATGTATGTTCTTATACATGACAAATAAAAAAATGTTTTATATTTAAATTTGTGAAACTAACTCTTGTCCAGTGTTTTTACTTTAGTAGTTGATGTGTTTTTAGTTATGTATTTTTTTTTACCTCATATGGGCTTGAAGATATATTTGTGCTCAGTGCTTAAATGGCTTCGTTATCTCTTTCCAGTGGCAACTCCAGAAAAATTTTATATCATTACTGAAAACATTTTTCCTAAGAAGGGGCCCATGGCCCTCTTCCTCCCCCTTTTGGGAACACCACTGTATACTTCGCTCTGAATTTAGCTTCATGTAATGGAAGGCAAATGAAAATATTCATGGGTAAATTTGACAGTTATATCATGATTATTTACCTTCTTTATTTAAAAACAAAAAACCCAAAGTAATCTCAATAAATGTCTAAAATTTATTGAGACAAATTAGTGTTGTGAAAAGTGGTTCGCCCAGGGCGCCAGACAGGCTGGGGCCGCCTCTGGGTCTGACCTCCTTGTTTGAAGTTAAAAGCAAAACTGGGTTTGATTTGGAAATGAAGGTCATAAATTCTGCAGTAACTGGTTGAGTTACTGCAGTTGATGATAACATAACTTTTGCTCTCTAGCAGGATCCTGTTTCTGATGATCAGTGCTTTAGTGCAGTTCTTTCTTCATATGAAGTTTGCATGGGTGAGCAAATACACATTTTGTATTTACTCAAGTTGTCTTCGGTAGATTATTTGATCACGTGAAGAACAATGTTATTAGGGCCATTGAAGATAGAAAAAACTGGAGTAAAGTTGTGCGATAACTCAATTTTTATTTTATTTTTAAATTTTGTTTTAAACGACCATTTTGAGATTCATCTCACAAACGTTCTAGAGGGGGGGGGAATGGACATGTCTGAGTTTCAAAAGTCAGAAATGCCACCCCACCCCTGTCCTGCATCTTTCTGTTGGCTGAAATGAAACCGAAAGTTTTCAGCAGTCAAATGAGGTGAGGAGAGGCAGAGAGAGGAGGAAACGAGCGTCAGATCAGGCTGAGGCGCAGCGGCGTGAGGCAGCGTCAGGTGAGTGTCTGCACCTTCACCTGGCTTTCAGTAGAAGAGTGAACGAAATGTGAGTTAGCTGTTCAGCGTTATGCTCGTTGAACTGTGAGGATGATTTGCAGGCTGCGAAGAGTGAAATAAAAAAGTAGAACAACAACAAATAATCGCAAGTATTTAAATGATGATCAGGTCCTGCGAAGGCAACAGTTTCAGCGGGGAATTAAAGAAATGTGACCGTAGAAAGGAAAAGCGGGGTGAAATGGATTCGTGCTCAGGTGGAAAGCAAAACTCGGGAGTTTTGCAAGCGAGGCGTGTCTGCAGCTCGGGGAACGTCAGCCGCACAGTTTCTGCTTCCCGACTTAAACAAATCAGATGCAGAAACAATACATCTCTCTGTGGACGCTTCTCTCTGTGAAACGTCCACAGAGAGATGTACACACACAGATGTACACACACAGATGTACACACACAGAGTAGCTACTTCTGCAGAAGTGAGTTCTGATTTTAACATCGCGGTGTTTTCACGAGAGACGATGGGCATTTGTTTAACCCCACTAGAAAACTGGTTTCTCAACTCAGTGGTTCCCAAAGAATGTCTGGGGCCCCATATGGATTACAATAAAATCCCCACCGAAAAAAATCAACTGGGCACACGGATCGTTCATAAACCTGTACAAATATTTTGTTTTCAAGCTCCACTGAAGTTTATTTCACATTTCAGGTTGCAACAAAACAGTGAAACACTTTTTGTGTAACTGGTTTTGCGTCCTCCTCTAGGGGGCGCCCCACACAGTTTGGGAGCCACTGACTTCACGTCAGTTTTATTCCCTCAAGTTATAACTTCGTGCAAGGAAGATGGCACATTATTTTGAAAGCATATCGCGCACTAAAATCTGAAAAGTGCGGCGTGCATATGCACTGTATCCGGGCGGTTTTGGAAGGAAATGGGCCACCAGTAACAGCCCACGTGAAATGAAAACATCCGTGACAAAATGTGTGTGAAACAGCGCCCTCATCTGGTCAGAACCGGGATATTTATTGAAACGTATCCAGCAGCTGGTTAGCCTATTTATTTACCTAGACATGCAAACATTGGTGTGGCCATTCTTGTCATAATGATGATCATTATGCAAGCTCAAATATTAGCCATGACAAAAATATCCTGCATGTGATCCTTCGAAATGTTTTGTAAAGTTGTAATCCCGGTTACCAGACATACAAAGAATTTCAGCTTGTATTGCAATAATAATAATGCAAAATTTTATTTAAACATTATTTATAAATGTAAATAAACAAATTCGTTGACATTTAATAAGCAGATTTCAAAGTAAGGGAAACAGATTTGTCTGATGCTGCGTTTTAATTCACCTCAATGTTGATGTATTTATCAGCAGTTCTTTAAAGTAGTTTTTTATTCTTACAGTTTGTGTTTAAATGAGTACAATCTGCAACAAGTTTTAGTCTTAAGGCTCTGAGCTGTGCAACACAACCAGTACCACTAGAGGGAGACAAATCATACACTTCCTGGCTCTTATATTCTAAACTCTGGAGTATGGAGGGTGAGAGGTGGTAAAATTAAATAAATATACCATAAAATACATATGTGTAAATCTCCCATTAATTAGTTAAGTGCATCATATTTTTTTAAGTGCATCACTAAATAATTAAATGTTACATAATTGTGAGATATGCAATTTAATAATGAAACGTTCCATGAGATAATTGCATTTCTTTCCAGATAATTTCTATCTTTGTAGAAAATTCTGTTTAATAATATATTTACTGATTGCACTTTAACAGAAACGTCAGGAAAGACTTGTTCAGAGGACCCAGCAGAGAAGGTAAATCATGGTTCGGCGCAGCTGGTCTCACAAGTGGCTGAAAAGAACTGATGTCATTCCTGTGTTTCTCTCAGGATAGATCTCCGATCCCAACCCGTCTGACATGAGTCTGCAGGTTTGCCACTGCGGTTGGTCCAAAGTTACCTCTTACCACGGCCTGAGAACTCACCAGGGGAAGAAGGGATGCACACCCAGGGGAATGCACATCCCGGAGAGCAAACAGTTTACTTTCTTTCCACAAAGTTACAACCAACCAAGACTAATCAGTTCATTTGACCTCCCTATGGGTATTTTTAAGACTCCTTTGATGTTTGGTAAGTGCTTCAATTTATTGGTCTGGCTGTTTAATTACCTATTGTTATTTTTTCACTAATAGCCAATGATCATTTTGTCTGCCTCAACTGGATTGCAAAATGTTTTTGATTGGCCTGGAGTCTGAGTATTTGTGGGTTTAGTGGCAGTACTTGTTCAAAAATGTATTTCCACCTTTTATGTTTTGCAAAAACCAGAGGCGGTATGTTTAGTGTAGAAAAATTAAATCCAGTTTTATATGATTTTGGTATTTCACATTTTAAGTGAGAATAATTCAAGGCCAAACTTTTACTTGGGTGTTTAAATCAAATGACTACTTCAAAGTCATCTCATTTAGTTGTTTTCTGTCGCTAATACTTTTAGCAACCTCATCAGACCATTATGTCGCTTAGCAACACAACAAGCTAACTCAGCCGTCTGAAAATCCCAATGGCTAAAGTCCACTGTTGTTTTGTGCCAACATGTTGAAAATGTGTTGAGATGAAAAGTTAATGCACATAAAATAGCCCATCATTTTGCTTTGATCCTAAAATGTTTCAACCTAGAGAAACTTACCAGTCCAGAGTTCGCACACAGCTATCATGTCAATGCAGGACAGTCAGTATATTTTGCTTGCTAGTAGAAAATGGTGGAGAAACTGTTTCCATAACTTCCTGTATAGCATCGGACCTTCAGGTTTTTCTATTATGGATGCGTACAATGACACTTGATGTTTACAAATTTTCTCTGTTGTCAACTAATCACCAAATAATTCTCTGCTGCATCTTCTAAAAGGACGTTTCTGAAAAGATTTAGGTAACTAATTACCTGTTGATTGAAATAAATAATGTTTTTTTTGTGTGTCTCCATAAGAACCTTCAGAATTTGAGAACCTGGATGCTTTCCATGACCTGGGAACTCATCGTCGGATGGTGGGACCCACACCAAAAGAATTAAGAATACCAGAGAGTAACCAGAACTTCCAGAGCAACATGTTGGAGCAACCTAATCAAATGAACAACTGGTCAATTGTGAACACTCCAGTAAAGGAGGAGGTATAGCTCATTTCAGATATGGATACACAAACATGTAAATGAGTTCTACCAATCATTGACAGGTAAATGTGAGAGTTAACAAGCTAAAACACCTTTTACTTCTGTCTGACAGAAACTGTTCATCTCTCCAAACCTTCCCACCCAACTGAATTATGGGCTGACTCAAACACTCAGACAGGACATGAACCAACGAAGTATGGAGGACTGGCAAGATCAAAACATGATATCAGATGAAAAAAATGAAATAAGCTGCTTTAATCATCTGCCTTTCGCTTCCTACAGTGGTCAAAACTGAACAGGATTCTCAACAAATGGTTCCAACCTTGAATACTACCACAGTTCCACTTGGTTCCCAGGTACAATAAGTTTTCAGTTTAAGTTTTTTGTGGATGAAACTGTGTCCTTAACAATGTATCCTCAATACGTTTTTCAGCAGACAGATGCATCACCACGGTCAACAGATCTGGTGAACTCTCCACCATCACGGATCCTGCAAACCGAGTCCGACTCATCACGTGAGTTTTATAAACAACATATTAAATATGTGTAGCGACATTGAGTGCGAGTAAGGTTTGCCCTCTGTAGTTTTTCAGACTCCACAACCTTCCCGTCGTGGCTCTCCATCCTCGGAAAACGCACGCAGATCGCTTGACTTCTCTTCTGTTGTTTTGGTACGGTAACTTTCTTGTGAAGTTAAGTGTATTGGTAGAAGTCTCATTGATTCTGAATGTGGTGTACTACTCCTAACATATATTGATCAAAAAACCCATCAAAATGTAAAAATGCTTTTAAATTTAAATCTTAAAGCTGTTTCTTTGCCATGATGCCTTTCAACCATGAAATAACCTAAACCTACTGAGGTAATGGCCTTTATTTTGAGTCATAATACAGAATGACCCAAAATCTACGCCATATTACCACCACCAGATGGTGCTGTTTTGCTTTTTATTTTTAACATGACCATAACACATGAAGGGTGTTGCTGTAAAGTTTGACACAGCTGGGCACATTTGTAAACCTCTGATTTTTTTGACTTATTAAAAGGCCTATTTTTTTGTTTTGTATTTTTTTTACTGTAAATCTGACCTCTCAATAATCAATAAACGTCTGATTAAAAAAATAATTTTAATGCTGGTTCATTGTTTTATGCTTAACTTTTTGCTCTGTTACAGGGTGCAATAGACTCATTCATTGAAACAAACACACACGAGGATGCAGTTACTGACAAGAAGAAAGAAAGAGAGGCTGAAAGGCTGCTGCAGGTGAAACATTTTTAGTGTGCCATCTATGACCAGACCTGAATTATCACAATTTTTTAAAACATTTTTATATGACTTGTTAGCCTATTGGGGTGTAACTGTTTGCCATGGTTACCGTCCTTTATCTTGTTGATGTGGCTAGTGTTTTAATATTGAAGATTATCTCCTTTTTTTCAGTTTCCTAAGCCGTTGTTGTCAGTGATAAAATAAGTTATGTTGCAAAATGGCTTCAGTAAATGGAATGTGCCTCAAAAAAAAAAAAAAATGGCCGAAGCTTCAGTTGCCAGACATTATTTAGTTGGGGTTTTGCAACAATTTTGGTCAGCTCTCAATGAGACACATGAAGTCCCTCTGAATAAGACAAAGTGTCCATGGTGCCCAGAGGTGCCAGAATATGATTTTTCTAAAACTGTAAATTTCCAATTCATATTTAGAATGCAAATTGTAGAATAGGAATTGCATTTGTACCCATTTTGGTCACAATAAGCAGTCATCTTGACAGCAGGAAATATCGCGCTTGTGTGTGTATTTCTACACCTACCTTCACCTTCTTTCAAGGCACAGCAAGACAAGATGAAGACCCTGTTACGGCAGAAAATTCACATCCGGGAGCAAAAGATGACTGAAGTCAGATCAGCCGTGAAAAACTGCAAGGTAAGCTGCAGACGCTGCCGCCGTGTTGGACGATTTTGGATTTATCAGTTGTACCCACGGTATATCCCCATCCCTGTTTTCAGAGTAGTTTGGATGCTGAATGGCTGCAGATCCACACTGTCTTCTCAGAGGTGATGAAAGTCGTGAACGATGCCCGGACGAAAGCTCTCGAGCCAATCGAGAAGAGGTCAGCCACGTTTATCTCAGTAACATTTTTAAAACATCCTTCGGGATGCTTTGCAAAGTTTAACTTTGTGACGTGGACACATCTAACAACACGGGCTGTGATGCTGGAGCTTTATTTTCCTCAGCCACTGCATCTTCCCTTGCCACTGAAATGCATACAAACTAACAGAATGGGAATTTGATTAAACGTTGTGCATACTTGAGATGACAGCAGACCAATTTTATCGAGTTGATGGATAAGTTTTACTCAAACTAAAAGCCTTGTGTGTTCTGCTCTTAGGAGACGAAAGGTAAAAAGAGACGAACAGAGTCTCCTGCAGAAGCTGCAAGGAGAAATTGATCGACTCAGAGACTCCATTGATGAACTAGACAGAAGCCAGGACTTACAGGTGAGGAGTCCCTCCACCTTCACACTCTTTTTTTAGTATTATTTTAGCAAAACACTTTCACTTTCTCTAACTCTTGTCCTTCTTTGCTCCTTCCTTTGAAACACACAGGCCCTTTCACTTTCAAACTTGGATAACTCCAAAGAGATTCAAAATCTAAAAGTTGACACTTCCTTCTCCTTTGGCACCCTGAAAGCAACAACATCTACCATGATGAAAAACATCCAGTGGCATCTGGAAAACCTCTCTTCCCTCGGTAAATCTTTGTTTTTCCCAAATGACGCAATTTTGCTTAGTCGTCAGTCTAAGCAAGTCTACTGGAGTGTCAGATGTAAAAACAGCATTTGTTACATTTCCAACTGGTGAGGTTCTCTTTCACACTGCATTGTGTCAAACCCTTTGAAAAACCTGTTACCTCCTCCTCGCCTGTGGTGGCGCTGCACCCAGAACTACTGAAGGAAATTACATGAAAGCCTCTGAAGAAGACACTGAGCAGAATTTTCTTTTTCAGGAAATGCAAACAAAAATGGGCCTGATTTTAGCAGTTGAAGGATTTCTCTATTGTCGTTTGGAAAAATCCACCAGCGTCATACTTCCGCGTTTCTTTTGGCTGTTACTAGAATGCCTTCTGTTATAGTCCGCTTAACATTCATATATGCATTTAAACCACATCTGACTTTTTTTTCTTGGTCAGCATCAGAATTTTATTAAACATTCACACCTCTCTAAACAAACTGGACATTCTAGGCAAACAACAGGAGTTTGATTATAGCTCACTAAACAGAGCTGGTGTGAATAAACCCAAAATATGTATTTCTTTTTCTAAGGATCTGTGTTTTACCCACATTCTGTTCTTTTTCCACAGAGCTCAAAAGAATTACAACCTTTGCAGGTGTGTATACCCAAAAATGTATATGTAACATGCACTGTTCTGATACTGTACTTTTTTTATTTCTTCTGTTTTTGTCTCAATTAAAAAAGTTATTTTAGAGCATCAAACAAAGACTAACATAGCAAATGAAACTTTAATGAAATATTTCCTCAGTGGTGGGCACTGCTGACAAGAAATTAGCTAAACCTCAGGCAATATTTATAAACATTAGCTCCACTAACAGATGCTAACATGGGATGTAGCAGAAGCTAATGCAAAAGAACTAACTTTAGCCATGTCGATATCCACATGGCTGAAGTTATCGATGGCACAACATATGCCGCTTTCAAAGTTAGAAAAATGCTAAATTACGTTTTTCTAACATGCTAACTTTGCACTGTGCTAATTTTTCAGAAGTATGCACAGAAGAAAAAAACACAATGTAAGGGAACCTGACCCAGTGTGGAAATTTAATGACCATATCATAAGTTACATGTGATTAACCTTTAACTTAATATCATATGTTAAATGTTTTCCCTCTGAGAAAAGTGAAAACCAAATTCAGGCCTCATTCCTGGCCCTACTTGTGTTTTCTTCATTCTGTATCTATTACTCAGACTCCATCAGTTCCTCCATCATGTTTCCTTCACGTTTCTGGCACATTGAGCTAATTGGTTCAATTGTAAAGCATTCAAGTACTAAGGATAAATAGTTCTGCTATTCCTCAGCCTGTGCCTATTATTCTTGTTGTTGCCAATCTTGTTGTTTATTGACCACCCTTTACATTTACAATGTATTCATCATGCTTCTCCCATCCTTGTTGTATTTTGGTTGTTAATCCCATCGTGACTCTTGTCAAACCCTTAACTCTTCGGCCATTTTCTGACCACAGTGGATGTAAAGCTGGACTCAGCCACGGCCCACCAGTGCCTCGTCCTGTCCAACGACGGGAAAAGCGTGAGAGACGGAGGAGAGAAGCCGAAAGCTCCTGACAATCCGGAGAGGTTCGACACATTCGGCAGCGTCCTCGGGATCAATCGCCTGAACCGAGGCAGGTCGTACTGGGAAGTCGAGGTGAAAAACAAAAGCGGTTGGGATCTGGGTGTGGCACGGCGGAGTGCAAACCGCAAAGGGGTGCTCAAGGTCAACACGGACAATGGTTACTGGGTGGCCGTGCATTTCGAAGACAGGAAGTACGCAGCCCTGACGGTACCCCCCACAAGCCTCCCGTTGAACAAGAAACCCCAAAAAGTCGGCGTGTTTGTCGACTATGAGGAAGCAGTTGTGTCGTTTTATGACGTGACGAACAAGTCGCACATTTTCTCGTTCACCGAGTGTCTGTTCAATGACGACGTTTTCCCTTATTTCAGTCCACATCCTAAAGTGAATGATAAAAATGTTGATCCACTGATTATATCTGCTGTATAAAAGCAGATGACATTACATTGAGTCGTAGGATATTGTCACCATAAAAATCTTTGGAAAAATACCATGTAATAATCACTGGTGTCACACGAGCGGTAACAATTTGTAGCAAATAAATTGAACCAATGTATTTTAATATATTATATTCTTTACTTTTATTAAGTTAATATACAAGTTTATTTTTTCAAATGAACATCCATGACATCCTATTTCGCCAGCTAAGAATGATGTTATGCTCAGTGGCTCAGACACTCTGCAAAATTTGAAACATACAATTCATGTAAGGCAGATGACCATTGATCTTTATACGTCAGGAAACGGCTACAAGAGCTTAACTCCTGACGTAACATCTCAGTAGTCAAACCAAACTGGAACATTTTTGAAGCTCCAGCTATGGCACAAGGTTCAAGAAAGACTAGGTGAAGGCCGATGACTGGCAACTAGGCAACATTTCCCCTTACGTAACTCTTACATAAGACAAAATGTTAGATCAGATTCTTTTGAAAGTGCCAGGCTGACTTAAATTTTCTCTGGTTGCTTAAAGCACCAACTGAACAACATACGCAACTAATAAAAGGCTAGTAAACATTTCTCTCATTCACAAGACACAATCAAGACCCGTTTTTCCAAATTCAAATATGTCCAGTCATCAAAAACAGTTGCAGTCATGGCGTGGAAGGTAAAGTAGCATCTTTTAAAAGTTAAAGTTGAAAAGATTGTTGAAAAAACAACAGCTGCAGGCTAGCTACCTAAGAAGAGAGCTAAAGTAATTGTGTTAAGAAACCCAACTATGAGAGGCACCACTGGCTACTTATTTTAACAAACTTTTTTAAAATTTATTATTTTTTACCAATACTAGTGCTTCACTATCGTCAAAAACATTTCAACAGCAACTTAAAAAAACATGCAACATCTTAACTGGGATACTTGAAACAATATCAATATAAGAATGTCTTAATCTGTATATTTTTTAAAAAGATGAGAAGTACAGTTGGGAATTTCTTCTAATAATCTTCTTTAGGGTTGTGGAATATGATTGTGATGTAGATAAAAGTGAATACATAATATTAATGCACTGTTTTATTTTGAAATCAGTTAAAAATGTTTTGTTTGGCTACTTTATTTGCATGTGTTGCAGAATATTACCCCATTCACTTTTTCCTTGTTTTTTCTCTGTACAATTTTGGTCACCAACACACTGAGAATGTGTTGGTTTTTGACTTTCTGCAGATCAGATGTAATGGTGGAAGTGACAATAAAACTTCATTGTTCAAAGAAATGCAAATTGAGGACACACACACAAAAAAAGTATGTTTTTCTTCAACTGTAAAATTATTATAATAAAAGGGAAGGTATATTTTGAATGATATATTTTTATTGAAATAAATAATGTAATAAATCTGTTTAGTGAAACTTTCATTTACTTTTATTTGGATCTAATAAATATAAATCACAAAAAACAAGACATACACATGTTAAAAAAAATAAAGAACAAAAAACAAAGAACTGACAAATTTATGGGACAATTAATCTTGGCTTAAAATATGGGACATCCCGGCTAATTCGGTGCAGATAGCGCCACCATAATTTTTCAATGACCGATCACGTGAACAAGCTTGTTCACATGTGATTTGAAATAATTTCTTATGTAATGGAAACACCACGATTGTGAAATGTATTTTTTGATTAAGCAGAATATCGACAAAGATTTGTGTACATTCTGTAATGGAAACAGCAAGTGATAAAGAACAATGATCAGAAAACAAATTCAAAAACCAATGGATCCTGATAAAGAAAAAAACGTAAATTCAGTCATATATTAGCCGCTCAAATATACTTTGTAACATATTTCCCAAACTTTTAACAGCCAGGAAAGCAACTTGGCTCGCACATCTGTTGCTGTTTGCCACATAGTTTCCCAACGCCATGTACACACACATCGCAGTGAACCAGTTTGCAGAAGTTGCACCTATAGGAAGCACTTTCAGTACTTTCCTGTGAAGAATGAATTATTCAACTGGCAGTTGGTTCCACCCAAGCTGAAGTATAAAGGAGTAGCAATGTTTCCACATTTCCACGTTTCTTGACGAGGACTCCACTTTCAGACGACAGATTCATTCACAGAGAAGGTGAGCAACACCTCGTCACACCAAACCAATGTCAAGAGTTTTAACATGAAGTAGTTAACTTAGTGTATTTTAGATGGCCAGCAAACTTGTAACAGGGCTTACTGAATTTTTAGTAACAAAAAATAATGTTTCACAATGTACATCAAAATTTAACTGGTGTAAGGGACTGTTAAATTCCCCCAAGCTGTTTAAATTCCCATCAATACTTTTTAGATGTTTTTTTAATGTTTTTATTTTGCTTCAGCTAAAGCCTTATGATCTCTTGGCTGCTTCTGTAAAAAATGCTCAATGTTGGGCAACGGTGACTTGTTTCAAAACTGTTTTGAAATGCCACGATTTCTCTGACCGTTCCTCACCGTGTTCCATCAAATGGATTGATGCTGAGATTACGAACAATGCAACTATTTCCATATAAAGTGGCTTCAATTTGTTTCAACTAGATTTGATTGTATGGTGTCAGTACTAAGCGACTAGGATTAGTAGTAAAGTTATAAATTCATACATTTCTCACTTTTATTTGTATCAAATTTTTAAAGTTGTGTATGTTACTGGTCTATCACAAAGTCATGGTTTAAAAGGTAAATATATTATAGACTTCTTTAAGTATATTGTTTAAAATAAGCATGGGGGAATCTTTCTGCCATAATCCAAGAGCACACATTTTCAATCTGAAAGCAGAATATTATGTCTTTTGTTCTCAAAACTTTTAATAATTTTACTTATGTTTTTATTTTGAAAGCAGGACTTACTTCTCAAAACATGTAATGCTTGTTCTCAAAACTTCTCCCACTCAGACTTAGTCTCGGCTCGCTTTTGGAAATGCCTTTTGGCACAGTCGCCTGGCAACCTCTGAGCCAATAGAATGTCTACGTGTAACTACAACACCATTTAAAAGATCATTGTTGTTGGGGGATTTTTGCATTATACAAAACACCTGATCTTAGTATACACATGAGACTAAGAGTAAACTCAATAGTCTCATCCCCCAGACTTTCAAAACAGCAGTTATCAAACTACTGATAAGAAAAACAACAATTTGGACAAATCACTGCTGCAGAACTACAGGCCAATGTCCAACCCCCCATTCATAATCAAAATGATTGAAAAATCTGTTTAGAAAGTTAAATAGCCGATAGCTTTGATGTCTTTGAGTCTGGTTTCTGGTCTCAACACAGTACTGGGACTGGCTTCATAAAAGTGTTCAGTGATATTTATATAAACTGAAAGTGAAGAACATTTTCAGGTTTAGAGGTCTAATCCTTCAAATACGCATCGTTCCAACTACCCGAAACTACAAGAGTAAGAGCAAAAGAGTCGGGACAATGTCCTAAGACGCAATGCCTCAACAAAAAATAACCATGAGTTAAAGTCTGGTTGGTCAGTGTGATAGAATTCTCAAACACTCATCATTATTTCAAAGTTGAAGAAAAACTGTGTTGTCACAACTAGTCATAATTGTGATGTCATCAGCACTGTATGTATGTAGCAAACTTCTACTTTCTTGTCATTGCTTGCTACACAACCGAAGAGTTTAGACTTATACAGCGCTTTCAGAGTCGAACGGTGAGATTGTTTTTCAAGACTGATTTGAATAAGTATTGTTTTGTAAAAGCATTTCGTATTGAAGGCAACATTACTCCAATGGTGGGATGAGACCCCAGCCACGGGATTGGAGAGCTGAACAACATCCGCAAGACTGGATAGAGAACAGAGGGAGAGCCAAAGACTTGGCTCCCTTTTAGAAATGTAGAGAGCAAGATGGTTTGACAAGAACCAAAAGCTGGCCTACACACAAAGAGAACTAGAGCTGGCAAAAATGTCTTACCAGGAACTTGAAGCAAGATCTGAAGAAAATATTTCTGCTCTAATACAGCGAGCAGCAATATTTAAGCAGAGCGTGGCTAAACAGATGGAGGCTTATTCAGAAAAAATAATGAGTAAGGAGAAGATTATCGATAAGCTTGAATCTGAGAAGGACAGTCTCCTAAAACAATTGACTGCTGTCCAACAACTGCACTCCGGCTGTGAGCTAAATTACAAAACAGAGCAGGAAAATATGAAAACTGAGCTTCACGACAGAGACGAATTAGGACCTCCAAGACAAAAAGTGGCAAACCATCAAGAACCAAATGAGACGGACGCTACGCCTGTAAACATCATCTCTGACCCTGCATCTATGGATATGGACCATCTCTTAGAGGAAACCCTGCCAGAGGACATTGAGGTACCTCGTCCGTCTCCCAAGGAGGTAAATGATTTTGTAGAAGACATGCTGATCAATATGGAACCAATGGAGGTGGAATATCGTTGTGTGACCAATCTGTCAAAGGAACCAGTGGAGGCAGTCGCCAAAGAAAAATCATTGTGGGAAAGGATACGACACAGTTTGGGACTCAGAAAACCACAAAAGTGGAAGAAAAGCAGAAAAACTTCTGAAGAAAGCAACTAGGAAAAAATGTAGTTAAATTCTAGACATTTGCAAAAGCCCAAAATATGTATTATTTTAGACCCCAAAAAAAATGGCCATGGCCGGCGGTGCAGAAGCGGAGGCGGCCGGCGGAGGCGGCCGGCGCAGGAACGGCGGCCGGCGCAGGAACGGCGGCCGGCGCAGGAACGGCGGCCGGCGCAGGAACGGCGGCCGGCGGTGCAGGAGCAGAGGCGGCCGGAACAGGAACGGCGGCCGGCGCAGGAACGGCGGCCGGCGGTGCAGGAGCAGAGGCGGCCAGAACAGGAACGGCGGCCAGCAGTGCAGGAGCAGAGGCGGCCAGAGCAGGAACGGCGGCCGGTGGTGCAGGAGTGGAGGCGGCCGGAGCAGGAACGGTGGCCGGCGGAGCGGCATGAGGAGCAGGAGCTGGGCAGGCTGAGCAAAAGTCCGGCTTGGGAGGCTGAGGGTTGCCAGCCATGACGGCATAAGCGGCCTCACGCTCCCACTCTGCCTCTCTTTGCAGCTCCACCAGACCCAGCTGATGGAGGTGAGCGGACCAGTACTCCAGCTCCAAAAGGAGTCAGATGGCCACTCCGAGACGCCGGTAAGCAAAATATGGCTCCGCCAATATCTCCCTGAAGTCCTCGATTTTCCTGATGAGCCTCCTGTGGTCCATGATGAAACTGTGCCTCACCGCATTCCTCTTTGATAGGGTCCTTCTGTCATGAGGATGTGTCTCTGTATTGTCGTTTGTTTGAGCCGCCTGTTAGACCAGTTGCTACCGGTGTGAGCCCTGGCTTCCGCTCAGGCGTGCTGCCTGGCCGCGGACTACTTGTTGACTGTGTATTCTGGACTGTTGTTTCATTAAATTTTCACCATTCACCGTACCTGGGGCTCCAGGTACGGTGGCGCCGGCCTCTTCCACCACACCACAATTCCTGACAGATTACAACATTTGAAGTTGAATATTGACAACACAATCTTCGTTATAGTCTGTCATAATTGTTGAATAGTGAGATATGTCAAGTATCAGTGACATTCAGGTCGGATGAATGCGACCTGGACATTAGGTCACATTTAAATCGGATTAGAAAAGAAGCCGACCTTTTGTTGTTCAGACTGTAACGAAAAGGTTGAATACAGGTCGCAGTACGTGAAAAAAAATTTAGAACTGCGTCGCATCAGGCCGCAGTGTGAACGTGGCGTAAAGTCTGAAAGCAAGGGGAAGCATTACAAGCATTACAAGTTTTGAGGAGAAAAACATGAAGCCCAGCTTTCAAAATGAATAAGTAAGTAAAAGTATTACAAGTTTTGAGAAGAAAAAATGTGAAATCCTGTTTTCAGACTGAAAATTTGCACTCTTCGATTGTGGTAGAAAAATTTCCCCATAAATCACGTTTTGTTCATAAATGTAAAAGTATTTAATTTTAGGGTTTTAATATCATTTTACCAACTTATCAACTGATTGTTTTGTGCTATTTTAGAGAGAATGAACGCTGCTCTTGTGATTACTGTCCTTGGCCTGGTTGTTGGTGAAAATCCAGCCATCTGCGTTTTTCCCTGTCAGAGGACGGCATCCAACAACGCATTCAACAGATTTGTTCGCAAACACGTCCTCCAGGCTGCATTTGACACTAATTCAAAGACTGAATGGGAAAGGTGAGTGAAAAAGAAAGAAAATTCAACCATTCAACACCCTGTTTAGATGAGAATCGATTACTGTACACAGGGGCGCCGCCAGGAATCTTGGGCCCCAAATTTAATTGGGCTCCCCCTGAGCAAATACTACAACAGTTTCTTGAGTCTCTGACCCAATGAAGCGTCACAATTTTAAAGATTTGCAACTGCCTCGCTTTCTTTGGTCACAATATTTACTGCTTAGGAATTTTACATGCAACTGTCTGTATACAATACAGAAAATAGGTTGCTTAATTTTTTTTTACTATTATTATTAGTTTTCGCTTATTGAAATGTCCCTCCTCACTTGCAACAGTCACAGACAATGTGCAAAATATACGTAAAACAATCCAGACTACTCAAAAGATGCTATGTAGTTGCATTTTGTTCAAGCTGCAGTACATAATTTTAATAAAAAATATGTTTTCTCCATATTTGTTAAAGCTGTCACCATGTTGTGATGGTTTGCGATGCGACAGATGATCCGTGGAAAAAAAAATCATCTTCTCCACCTGCTCCTTAAGATGCTATTACTGGCTAACGTAATGCAACATTCTGACCAAAAACAACCAATCACAACCAGGAGTAGGGACTTAGTGCTGTCCATCAACCTCATTCACTCACTGCTAAATGTGCTAATGGTGGAGAGACATCTTAGTGTTACCGCAAAACTGTTTTTCTGCCATCATTGGTAGCTGTGGTAACTAGACTGCAGTTTGAATTTGTATAGCTCTGTGCTATACTAACTGCACCATAGCACAGAGCGAGGGCGAGGGAGGATGAGCAGCCACATGAGACTGTGATTGACAGTGCTAAATCCCGCCTCCTGCCTCTGATTGGTTGTTTCTAGATACCACTGGGAGAAGGCAGAGGAAATCATTTTTTCACAAATTATCTCTCATGCCATAGTGTTCACAACACAATGACAGTTTCAACAAATATGCACAAAAAAAGTTTTATAAAAGTTACATGCTGCAGATTTAATTTCACTTTGGAGAGGACGGGTCAAGACGGACGTGGCAACCGATATCTGTCATTTAAACGCAAGCCACGACAAAACTGTGTGGACTGGAGGCTGTTTTTTTTTAATCATTTCTAAAGATGGTTGGAATTTCTGTTGTGTAATTGTAAAAAGTGCAGAGACACAGAAATCCCTATAGATTCCCTGGAATGATGCTAACGAGCTTGTCATTGAACACAAGGGAGCTCACCTTTTTCACTCAAGAGTTAGAGCTGCTTCTGACTGACCCATTTGTTGTTAAGTGTGGTAAGAGGGCACAGGGGACAAGTTAAATATATGAATGTCCTGGTATTTATTTTCCTTAATTCATTAAATGCTAGTGAAATGAAGGCTAACCGTACTCTGTAGCTAAGCTAACTATGCTGAATGGTTGATAATCTCAGTCGACCCACCTCTCAGAGAAAAACTGGGTTACAAATTCACACTCTTCTCTTTTTCTCTCTCTTATCGCTCTATTAAAAAAAAAAACTTCATTATTTTTCTGGGCAGCATAGTAGTCGTTTTGGTCTTAAACTGACTGAAGCTGAAAACGTCACCGTCAGGCGCGAAGCAGGAACGAACCATTTCATGCAGAACGTGGGGGGCGGGGGGTTCAGTGCAAGTATGAATGTGTGCTTTTTGGTCTGTGAGGGTAACATTTAATTTTTTCAATGAACAGAAAGAAATTATAAGTTACGCTACCTAGTTTAGAGCCAAAAAAGGTGTGAATTTCTACCACAAAAACTTGGAAATCTTCAAACTAATATGAGAAATATTCTAGAAAATAGTCAAACATTTGCAAAAATAAATAAATAAATAGGTGAATCTCAGAAATTTCCTTGACAAAACTTGTGAACTTCTGACTTTCAAAAGTTTCTATTTTCTGAAAGTTGAAAATGTTCAACTTTTGAAACTCCGAAATTTCCAAGATTGAACATTTCTGAGATCCATCTCAAAATGTTTGTTCTTGCAAATGTTCAACTTTCGTAGATCTTTTTCAAAAGTCAAAACAATGCCATCTTTTGAATCTTCAGCTTTTTGAACAGAGAAATGTCTTGTTTTTTTCTAGAAAATTTCTGATATTATTCTCAAAAGTGAGGTTTTGGTGAAAATTTACTTTTCTCTTTTCTTCCATATATCCCCCTAATAAGTCATAGTGGTTTTATTAGCTGTAAGAGGTGATTTGCTGCTTTAATTGGCATCCTGTAAATATTGGCCGCACACTTGTTACCAGTATCTCAGTACTTCTCTGATTTGTGAATTAGTCAACGGTTTGGTTAATTAGCTGCAGTGAAAAGGGGAGCAATTTATAACATCTATCCATTTGAATAAATGGAGGCATTAAAGGTGTGAAACATTTACACTTGTAAATGTGTGTAAAACACTCATTTTGTTCATTGAACAAAATGAGTGTACCAAATCTTTCAAATAAATAAACACAAAATTTTGATTGGGGGTTTTTTGTGTTTTTTTTTTCCTCTTTAGGTACTTGAGAAACTTAAATCTCTGTGACAGACCCAGGCAGTCCTTTGTGAGGCGCGGAGACCAACAAAGTTTCGTGGAGATCTGCAACGGCAACGGGAAGCGTCAGAATGGCAACCTGTGCACCAGCACCCGCTCGGTTCAGCTGTACGATCTCAGAATCCGTCAGAGTCGTCAAGGTTGCATCGTTACCAATTTAAGACACGCACTTCGATATGTGACTGTCGCTTGCGACAAAGTCGACAACCTCTGCCGTCCTGTTCACTTTGACAGCAGCCAACCCAACAGACCGAGCCGCAGAGCTCAGAGCTGCTGAAATCTGGATGTAACGCCGAAACGTAACGCGTCTTTGATTGGTTTAGTGTTTGATTCATCCATATGTGGTCTTTGGTTTGGTTTGCCTTTTTAGCTGTGAAAGAAAGTGCATTATTTCTTATATTTCAATGTTTATGCTCATTTTTGTCCTTCTAATGTATTTCTGTTAGTCATGTTTTCTCAGCCTTTGTTCTGTTTTAGTTTATGGGTTTTCTGTTTTTCTGGTGAGCAGAACCATAAACCATTTCCTTGTAAATAACACAATGTGTCATTAACCTTTTCTAATTCCATCAAAGTCCACAATACAATATTCTAGTTCAAGTTTCAAATAATTATTTCATTTATAGGTTTTCTAAAGTTTCGAACACAACTTGACATGTTGATGCCCATCCATTCACATTGAAACACGGTCGAAGTCTGTTTGCCTCAGTCCCTTTAACTATAGCACCAGAATTAAAGGGACAGTGTTATATTTTCCAGGCACATAGTTATAAAAATGTTGTATGTCAAATAGCTTGACTTGGTTATTTAAAGCCTTGAAATCACACTTTCTTACTTGACCCTAGTCATTAAATGATGCACTTCAATTAGGTATTCACGCACTTCAGCCGGTCATGAGAATTATTGTCACTTTGAACGAAAATCATAACAAGTTACCTGGTCAAACCTCCAAACTACCAGCTTATCGTCATTCTGAGATAATAACAATAAAACCAGTAGAAGCAGCGACTTATTCTTATTTCAAGTCTTTTACTGCCACTCAGTGAATCTCTTTTTTTCTTGTTGCTGCAGTCGATCTAGAATATTTCATTTCAGCTTTTTAATAAATGTTGGGAAGTTCCACATTCCTCAAACCGAAGGATTGAGATTCTTCTGTATATTCTGCCATTCCTTTGCTTACATCTGATACACCAAGTTGCCACTGAACGTGGTGTGGAACCTGGATCCCCAAACAGTTGAATTAGATTGCAGTTTGATGTAGATCTGGTCCCCCGGCTGCAGCTGCAGATACACGGCGTTCCCTCCGTTATCAGCGACACCGGGGGGCGATGGGTAATCATGGGTCATGGCGACCACGTCGTCATTCTTGTAGAGACTCAGCATTGTTCTATGTTCCTTTCCGTCGTGATAGAAGAAGCTGAAGAAGTAAATACCTGCAACGGGTGCAGCAAAAATTCCTGCACACAACAATTATGTTCAATAACCCAGACAATAAGCACACAGTTAAGCTGTAAGGGCAAAGTGGATGATAAAAATGCGAGTGCGGCTCTATTTACCCGTAACCTTGTTGTAGAAATTGCCCACATTTGTTAGAACAGTTTTGTAGATAACGTTTGTGCTGGTGTCAAAAGGTCCAAGGACATCTGATTCTCCAACTGTGGCACTGAACGCCACTTTGGTCGAGTCTAGGCGGATAAATATTAAAAACCAATGAAATGAAGCATCGCTTTATTTGTACTACTCTTCGCCAGGTTCCTCACCAAACATTTACCTTTTTTCTTCAGCTCGAGGACTTCCTGTTCGAGCTTCATCAGCTTCTCTTTCATGACTGGCAGAGTCATGTCTGTAACCTGCTGGGCCACAGTGAGGCCGCAGAACGCCACCAGCAGCAAAACGGCGACTTTCATTTTGATCATGTGTAGCTCACGTCTTCAAAGCTGCTCCTTATATGTTCCTCCCTCTCAGTGCAAGAGATCGTCTGTGAATCTTTAACGACAGCTAAATGAAACAGAGGTCAGTCGTCTGTTTACTGTTGCAGTTCTGATGTAAGGCTCAAACAATGTTCTGACTGTGTAAACAGGTCATATTCCTTGATTTCCTGAGTTGTGACTTTGCCATTTATAGAAACTGAAATATCACTCAGGGTTATTTCATAATCATAAACCGTATGTATAACGGTATAGCTGACCTGCTGTATGCACATCAGACGCTCTGCATATGAAAGCAACAGACTGTGCATGTAAACCACACAACCCGGTCTGAATGCTCTAGTTCACTGGCTCCTTGTAGAATAGACTTTAAGGTACTTCTGTTAGTTTATAAATGGTTAGACGGTTTAGCACCACAACACATTAAAGATCCGCTGTTGTTGTACCAACCTTCCAGACCTCTGAGCTCTTCTGGTTCTGGTTCTGGGGCTGCAGAGCAGAACCAGAACCGGAAACATGGAGAAGCAGCACTCAGCTTCTATACACCGCAAATCTGGAGCAATTTTTCAGAAAACTGCAGAGTTCCTTTAAAGTTGTGGTATGTTATTTTTATAAAAAATATGTTTTTTTGTTGTTGTTGTTTTTACATATTCATTGAAACTATCAGTTTAATATGAGACAGAAAAAATTGAGCTCCTCCCTGAGCTGTCATGACCATCTGAAGAAATGCAGCGCGGCCAATTCGTCCCCACCAAAAACAACCAATCACGGCAAGGAGGCGGGTCTTCTCGCTGTCAATCAACCTTATGTACTTGTTGCTCTGTATGCTAATGGTGGAGAAACAACTTACCGTTATAGGAAAAACTGTTTATCTGCCATCATCGTTGGTGCTAACAAGTTTTAGCATTCACCTTAGCAGTAACCCAGGGGGAAGGAGAAAGGGTGATTGACAGCCGTAAGACCCGCCTCCAGACTTTGATTGGTTGTTTCTAGTTAGCACTGAGAAAAGGCAGAGGAGCATAACTTTTTCACAGATTATCTGTCTTAAAATGATCAAATTATTAATTTTTTTAAAGTTGCGTACTGCAGCTAAAAACTATTTGATTAATAATAACTAGAAAATGGATTAATTTTAGTCTTTTTTCTCTTCTAGTTTGTTGTGATGATGAGTTTTTGGATTTTGATGATGACGTGAGTCAATATAATATAATATTTGCTGCCTCTATGTTTTTATCATTTGTAGAACTTCAAATTGCTTTGTTCCTCAACTGTGCTACACAAATGAAATTGCTTTGCCTTGGAGAGTATGTATGCACCAACACAAGTATTGTCTTGGTATTAATGCATATGCAGAACTACACTGCAAAAAAGAAATCTGTCAAATTTATGGTCAAAAACTTTGAAATACCAACGGTTACAGTTTGTAGCATCCAAAGCATTATATTGCCGTAGAAAAGAAAAGAAATTACCATGACTCAAGAAACATAAATGTCATGTAATATTTACAGAAGAAATATAGAAAAACACTGACATTTATTGCGAAAATCTTGTAAAATTCATAAAAAAGTTCTAGTACCAGGAGTTAATTACCCTCAGATTAATGGCACTAATTGGCCAAAATTACAAATCTGGCTGATATTTATATAAATGATGTAAAACTACTTTTTAGCTGATTGACCAAATGAACGTTGAGGATACATTAGAAGGAAAAGGACATGTTTTCCGACATATTCCCAAAAAAACAAATAAAAACTTTTTGGTCTACAACAGCATCTCCGTTTCACCTGAGATGAAGACTGGAAAGGCAAATGACCTCAAAGCTTTAATGTGAAAAGGAACACGCAAAGGTCGCTGTAAATTCAGTCTGATCTTATTTGAAGGTGCACATGCATAATATTTTTTATCAATGCTGTCGAATCCTCCTGCTACACAAATGTTTGGCCTGATTTGACTGCCGGTTCCCAGCAGGGGAGAGTCTGTGCTGCCAGTGTGAGAGGGGTGAAGGCTGCAGGTGATGAAACCTCTGCTGCAACCACAAACAAGTATGTTTTATCTTTTATTTAATTTTTCATCTGAAGAGTTTGAACAGGTCACTGTTCACTTTGAACTCTCCATCCTTTCCCGGACTTGTTGTTGAGAGTCGATGGGAAAAAAAAAAGAGAGGGTGAGACAGGGCAGCAACCGAAAACTGATTTTTTAAAATTTTATTCTCTTTCAGGATCTCACTGAAAGAGCAGAGCGACAATTTAAATCCAACATGTATGGATGACAATTCTCAAGTCAAGAAACTGTGGGCAACCTTGACAAATTATGTCGACTTAAATCAGTAAAGCTTTAGGAAACCATGCATCCTTTTCCTTCCACGTCAAACGGATCCTCAACTTTCATTTGATCAAGCAGCTAAAAAATACATTTGTAATGTCGCTAAATGTGAAACAGCTCAAATCAGTGAATGCCTTTCCAAGCTACCACATAGATGATGCATATAAAACTTTGTTTTACCTTCACAAGGAATAGCAGGTATATATTTGATTAGAAATCAGGACAACTGCATCATCAGCTGGCAACAGCCTCTAAAGTGTCTCAAGGGCTTTTTGGAAAGGTCACATGAGTCGTTGCTGCATTCCCGTAAGCCCTCTGATAGAGTCAAGGTCGAGAAAACAGAACAGTAAATAGAAACGTTTTGACAGTATCAGCCATTTGGCAGGTATTTGCTGACTTGGTTTTTGTTACATTCCATGTATTTATCAATCAGCTGTTAATTTTTAACAATTTGTACAGATAATCTGTCGTTATCTATACAGATAATCTGATCACACAGCTACTGATGGGAAGTGTAATTAGGGTGAATCCTGTGCAAAGTTTGAACCGCATGTGCCTACTGACATGTACTCTTTAAGTGAAATAAATCTCAAAGATTTTGAACTTGAATGTGTGAGTTGGTGGAAGATAAGCTTACAGTTGCAGGTTGTGTCAGTGGTCTTATGACTCATTCACATTCCCAAGAGTTGAGAAAACTGGGGTTCGTTTAGGTCAGCACTTCAAGAAATGTGAACGATGAAGATGTCGGGAGAGTGAGTTTGTAAGGAAAGTCAATGCCGGTACTGCAACGTGTACAAGACATTTGAGAGTATAGAAGTTATGTTACTTTCTCAAACCCAACGTACATTGACATCAAATAAAAACTGAGCACTTTAATTTGAGCATAAAATGTAATATACTCACTGCAATATTTTAAAGTGGACTTATAGAGCAAAGATGAGTCGTATATTGCAATACTGATGTAAAAAGACACCTGTACTAAAAACAGTGCACTATTTTCAGCAGTGTAAGGTCCCTGTGTGGCCTGACTTATTTAATGGCCAGATAGAGGTAGAGCACTGTTGCCAACTTAGCAACTTTTTTTCCCTTACTGGATACTTTCATGACAACATGTGAAGTTGTCATGAAAGGATAAAAATGATCTGAGAAGTAAATCTTTTATTTACTTGGATTACGTTTCATTCACATACCTATTCAATAAATTCTAATATTACTGAGACGTCCATTTAATCAGGAACTTTATTACTAAATGAAACTCATTATGGAGACGAGTTACACACAGATGAATGTTTTAAAGCCTTTATTTCTTTTAATCATGGAGCCTAGGCGTAAATTTAAACTGGGAGACAGAACACAGCTGATCCCCATCACTCACGCCACGCCGCAGCCAACCAGGACCGGCGCCTGGCGCCGCACCAGCCAATCATCCTGAAGCCAGTCACTTTCAGAAGCCTAGCCACCGGGTGTCTGTCTGCCTGCTCGTCAGCCGTGCTTCATCCCGCCACCTCCCCATCTCCACCTTCAGCCCGACGAACATCCTCCAGGCCCACTCTTCATTCCTCCTCCCCAAGGCTCCGCTCCATCACCAGGATTCGGACCGGGGGGAAGACTATCCTGAGCGTCGCCGGACCGATCAGCTGCCCTCGGCGATCCTCAGCTCACAAGTCTTCCGCCGGGTTCGAGCGCCAAAGAACTTGTTCATTAAAAATCTTCTAACTGCTATCTTTCTCTGTGTGAGTCGATCCAGATTGAAATGATTTTGCACTTACAGTTGATGAAAACATGAAATTTAAAAGTTGAGTATTCCACCACATTACATTTGAATTGGACAATGATCGTCACTGGAATGCGTATTTTTATTGATAGAGTGACTGTAATTTCTGTTCGTATCAAGTCAAGCTTTATTGATGGGCGTAAATCCATTTATACACAGATTAAAACACCAAAAAACCTTGTCCCCTCAGATTTTATAAAAAAACAAAACATAATAATTCTGGAAAAATCTGGAATTACATGAATTCAAACAAATGAAAAGTACATATAAAACACTTTGCTAAAAGAAAACTAAATTAGAGGGCTGACAGCAAATACTTAATTCTCTTTTGTACACTTGTGATTGCATAGAAGAAATTTTCTTAAAGGTCCTATGGATCATGTCCATATTGGACAGATCATTTGGTCAGCAGAGGTTTTCTCCTTATAGGTCTTACATAAAGACCATGTCAAATGTCGACCTAAGAGAATCAAACCTGCATCACTTTAGACGCTGTTCAAAGTTCTCCTGTGACATCCTGTTCATTGTTCTGTGAGATGACGATGATGGAGTCAATTGTTTTTTTTTTGGGGCGGGGGGGGTTTGCACTGGTCGCAGACAACAATAGTTTTTATTGTAACAGTTATAATGTTGTGATAATAAAGGCATAACGCCATTTGATTTAAGTTTGAGATCAATTCCAATCAGATTCTGTGTTCAGGTCATTTAGTGTTGCACTTCCAAAGTGTGTGTGTTTCGTTTTAAGAGAAGGCAAATGTAATATCTGGCACACGCAGAAGTGCAGCTGTACATTTGTTGTTCTACAGTCAAAAGAGAAAGTAGAGCTGGAGGCAGCAGGTCATCTCTCTTTATTATTAAGAGATTACATGAACTATGACCTAGTTCTGTTGGTCTTATCAGGTTTATTGTTCATGAGAAATGTCAACTGAAGAGAATCGAGGAAAGACGACAAGTAGAAGATTGTGTATCTTACTGGTGTTGACTACAGAGGATGACTTATCTATAGATTGATAAAAATATGATATAAAAGGAGCACAATAGAAAACATCAACACTGTGTGCCAAGCTTGGCTGCACTTTATATATTTGTTGATCAGCTGTTAATTTTTAACTGTGTGTTTTGAGCATTTAGTCTCGTTATGTTGGTTCACTGGAAGCGTCATAAGGAAGAGTAATTGCAATAATTGTATTGTTGTTGAAACAGATTCTGAATAACCCTGTTGGGGCAGCAGAGATGAGGTCAAGGTCATTCCAGATCAAAAACTGACTGCAACGAACACAGAAATAGAAAAAAAAATCTAAAACAAGCAAAAATAAACAACTAAGTTTTTAAACTTAAAACCAGTGCCGTGGTGTGTGACCTTAAACAGACCAATGTTTAAGATTTTTTACTTAAAAAAATTCTCCAACGTATTGGATTTCTACCTATTTTGTAAAGAATAATTGGCTTAAAATTTTCAACGTTAATGTAAATATCATTGTTGGTTAAAGGCAGGATTTGTTGGTGTAACAACAAATGTTGTTACGTTTGGGTCTAAGGTTTTGGTCTCTAGTGCATCCAGGTTGGTTTGATAAACTTTTCCCTGAATAAAAGTCACCTGAAAAGTAAAATATTATTTACTGAGGCAATCTTTCATTTAAAGACTTATTTAATACATTTAAATTTTATTGCCATGTCTGTTTATTTCAGGACTTACACACCTAATGAAACAGACTAGTTACACACAGATGGTTTGAAAGCCTTTATTTTTGTTGTAATTTTCTTCTTAGTTAATGAAAACATAACATTTAAAATTAGAATATTACATCAGACCAACAACAACAACAAGAAATTTACACAGGAATGCAATCTTAAAGTATGTTTATTATCTGCTTAAAAGTTTTTAATTTTCTAAAAGTAAATTAATCTGACAATGAGCCTCATTGAAATGCATATTTTCATTTACTGACTATGGCTGTAAATTCTGTCCAGATAAATTAAATCCATTTCTACATAGATTAAAACACCATAAACCATTATGTCCATAATGTCCATGTTCTCCACTAGATTTATGTTTAAATTTGGAAAATTCTGGAAAAGAAATGCCTCCAGATTATACAAATACATGTCTGTATATTTTCTTTTTCCATTCACATCTTTCATGCTCTTGTTAGAAATGCTCTTTTCTGAAAAATAAGGCCTTTATTGCGCTTCCACAGTGATTTTTGTGATTTGCTTATGAAACAGAAAAAACACTAACCATGACATTGACATTGAAATAATCAAATTGATGTTCAATCTTTTGTCAGACTTTATGGAGAAGAAAGCCGCTAAATGTAGTGCCATAGGGGTTTCCCCAAACATGCCTGTTTGCATCCAGCTGGATGTAGACCTGGTCTCCCCGCTGAAGCACCAAGAAGGCAGCATTCCCTCCATTATCAGCTCCATCATAAGACGACTTATGATCAGCGCTCCACACAACAACCTGATTGTTCTTTTTGAGTTGTAGACCCACAGATTTTCCTCCACCAGCATGATAGAAGAAGGAGAAGTAGTACATGCCTCTAACAGGTGCAACAAAGATACCTGTGGAAATATTGAGTCAAATCAATTCTGTTGCCTTGTGAAAAACTCTGACTTAATGTTTATGCCCTTAACTGAGCCCTTTGAGTTTTGGAGGTGATAGTTAAGGGGCTTTTAATGCAGGTTTAAATTTTTTTTTTATCATGTAATGACTTTCATTTGCTCATATAAGATTTTAGGTTTAAATTAGAAAGTGAAAATTTGGACATATAAAGTAATATTTCCAGATTATCTAGAAAGGGAAATTACAACAACTCAATCTACCTGTGTGCTGGTTGTAGGCATTGCCCACATTTGTTATGACTCTTGTGTAGATCAAGGTCTTGGATGTGCTGAAGGGTCCGATGGCTGAATTCCCAGCTATTCCAGCACTGAAAACGATCTTGGGTGCTTCTAGATAAAAACAGATAAATGTAGAATAGTTGTAGCTGTTTCAAAAGCTTCAGTGAAACTGCTAAACCAGTAAAAAAAAATTATTTTACCTTTCTCCTGGAGCACCAACACCTGGTTTTCTGTCTCTTCTAGCTTTGTCTCCAAGGATTTACATTTCTCATTGAGAACCAGAACCTGGTTTTCTGTCGCTTTCAGCTTTGTCTCCACAGCTTCTAGTTTTGCTTTCACAGCACCGAGCTCCTGGAACAAGACTGATATTTCAGATATTTCTGTTTCATTAACATCATTCTGGGCCAAAGTTAGACCACAGAACAAAACCAACATCCAAGTAGTGAAATTCATATTGATACTGTCCCCAAACTCAGACTAAATCAAATAATTTCTGGTCCTTTTATATGTTGTTTTTTCTTTTTTTAAATTGTTACCTGCTTAATGTTTAACAACAATTGTTGACAGAGTGACTGTAGGGCCTATTCATGACCACCAAGGATTATATCCTGCTTAGATAAAGCTTTTATCAGAAGATATGTTTTCCCAGTGTACTGGGTTTGTGTCACGTTTTTCGTTGCTTGGCTTGACCTCTAACGCCTGAGAACTGATATCCATACTTAAACTGTGTATGATTTCCAAAGTATATTGTGGTTTTGGAGTTGTGATAATATGTAAGAGAGTAGAGGTTGAGTGTTTAAAAGATTTTTCTCCAGTGAGCGCCGCAATAAGAGCAGGTGGATCAATAGTATCCACACCGGGATAGTAAAGAAGGTCTTCAAAGAAAAAACCTGCTGACCAAAAGGTCCATCCAAACTTTCCAAACCAACATCTAAGTGATCCATAGGACCTTTGAGAAAATATGTGGAATTATTAAAAGATTATTAAATATTTGTTTTCAGACTTATAATTTAGGTTTCTTTTAACAAGGTGTTTAGCATGTAGTTTTTATCTCCCGCCAGCAGGTAGCCGCTCCATCCCACTGATACATAGTTGTGAATATTGTGTAGTTCAGAGACACGGAGCTTCTCAGCTGTGTGAGTTAATTGGAAATGAGTAATACTGATGGAGCCTGGCCTGTTTTTTTTTTTGTGCGTGTTTTTTTTAATGCCTCAGAATTGTATTTACACTGTCTGTTAAATGATTATGGTTGTTTGAGCTCCTTGCCTGCATATTTTCAGAAGCTAACAGCTAGCCTCTTCTGACTAAGCTTTATTCAACGGGATTTTATACAGTTGTTGTTTGAAGTTCTCATTTTCTTCTTGAAATGTATTATTTGTCGTGAGACTATTATCAGCAGGTTTGATTACTATTTATGTTTGGTAATGATGTACATTTTTATAGCTAAATTCAGTGAATAGCAGGTGATCAACTTCATAGCATCGTGGTAGAGTTTGATCATGTTTATTCCCTGATACCTGTATGGAGGAACATCAGTGCCTAATTATCAATAGAGAGGTAAGCGTCATTGCCAGTTAAAACAAGCATTTATTGGCAACTAATATTGCCAAGGTTGGTGCAACATGGTCTTGGTCAAAGGTTAACTTAGTCATATTCCAGCTGCTTTGGTAAAAAAATTAAAAAAAGAATGAAAATGATCTCTGAAGTAAATCTCTTATTTACTTAGATTATGTTTCATTCACAGACCTATTTAATAAATTATAACATTACTGAGACCTCCATTTAATCAGGAACTTTATTACTAAATGAAACCCTTTATGGAGACGAGTTACACACAGATGGATGTTTGAAATCCTTTATTTCTTTTAATCATAATTTTGTGCTTAAAGTTGATAAAAACATGAAATTTAAAAGTTGAGTGTTCCACCACATTACATTTGAATTGGACAATGATCGTCACTGGAATGCATATTTTTATTTAATTTCTGTTCATATCAATTCAAGCTCTATTGATGGGTGTAAATCCATTTATACACAGATTAAAACACCATAAAACCATAATATCCTTTCAGATTTTATAAAAAAAAAAATTAATAATAATTCTCGAAAATTCTGGAATTACATCAATTCAAACATTTGTATGCTTTTATGAATGGCTTGTTGTATATATATTGTATATATATATTGTATATATATGATATATATATATATATATATATATATATATATATATATATATACATATATATATGATTTGAAGATCACTGACTGTCTAGTCAGTAGTTTAAAGCCATTCTAATGATCACATCAATGTTTTTCAGACCTGATGCATAAGATAGCCACTAAAAGTAGTTGAATAGTGATTTCCCCAAACATGTGTCTTTGCACCCAGCTGGACATACACCTGGTCTCCCTGTTGCAGCTCCATGAAGGCAGCATTGCCTCCGTTATCAGCCCCGTCATTCTGTGTCTTGTGATCAGTGCTGTCCAGAACACGCACATTGTTCTTGAAGAGATACAGACGCACTGCATGTTCTCCACCAGCATGATAGAAGAAGGAGAAGTAGTACATGCCTCTAACAGGTGCAACAAAGATACCTGCGGAAACATTGAGTGAAATCAATTCTGTCACCTTGTCAAAAACGCTGACTTAATGTTCCAAAAACATTTTCTACACTCCTAATTTGCATATTGCATATTGGCTTGAAATCCCTGAAATATTTATTTTCAGTGAATAAATTTTTCAGAGATGAAACTTTTCAAATTAATCTCTGAAAGATTCTAAGAAAAACTTTAATATGTCTGTTGTTGCAAAATTTTGACTTTTTGGATTACAGAAATGTCCTCATTCATTCTGGAGAATTTTTGAGGCAAAAAAAAATTTGTAGAGCGTTTTGTTTGCTCATGATGTTCTACTATATTAAAAATATTGCTATTTTTATTTAATTAAGAATTATTAAATCAAACTGAATACTACAAATAAAGACAATTGATAGAAATTGGTGGATCATTTTTACATTTAATGGTGCAGAAAAAGTTTTTTTTTTTTCTCAAGTCTATTTCTTATTGTGCTTCTGAATCAAAAGTGGCCCTAAATGTTAATAACGGAGACAACACTTGGTTGTAAAGAAGGACTTATTTTAGGAGATAGACCTTACATAAAACAAAATGGGAAAAAAAACATAGTCAGGCAGTTGCTCAGAAAGGTATACCTTGTCAGAAAACATTGTTTTTTTAACTTTTTTTTTCATTGCCTTATTGTTTGCTAATTAGGCGTGCTACCATTTAATCCCATCTACAGCCCTTTACACCCAATTAAATAATTAATGAAATTATGTTGGAAATGGTAGAAAAGAAGTGGATTGACACACTTTTCAATCATCCTCACGCTTTGCATACTCATCCAAATGCTTAAATTGGATTTCACAATACTTTTTTTGCTCCTGGACAGATAGCAACATTTTTTGACGAGCGAAGTTAATTTTCTTTAATTAATGTCTTCATCCCACTGGAATATGAAAAACTTGCCACTTAAATGTAGTAATTATTGGAAAAAACAAATCAACTTACCTGTGTGCTGGTTGTAGGCGTTGCCCACGTTTGTTATTACATTTCTGTAGATTAAGGTTATTGGTGTGTCGAAGGGTCCAACAGCTGAATCCCCCAGTATTGAAGCACTGAAAACCACCTTGACTGCCTCTGGATAAAATATAAATGAAAAATGGTTTGATCAGCTTTGTAAACCTCAGTGTAACTGCTAAACCGGTATTAAAAAAAGACTTTACCTTTCTCTTTAAGTGCCAGAACCTGGCTTTCAGTCTCTTTCAGCTTTGTTTCCACAGCTTCCAGTTTAGCTTGCACGGCTCCAAACTCTCTGAGGAACTTACACGTGTCAGGAAAACATGACCCGATTTCATTGATTTCTTCTGTTTCAAGTGAAATTTCCTGGCCCAAAGTTAAACCCCAGAAACACACTAACAACCACACACTGAAATTCATCCTGGTTCTGTAATGTTGGCTACTCTAAATTACTTGATCCTGGTTGCTGTTTTTGTAGAGCTTTGGGATTAATGATTAACTGTTGGCAAAACATGCTGTCTGTGCATCCTCCGTTTGCTATTTCAGTGATTTTGCAATGTTGAAATATTTCTTGGAAATCAATGTTGGTACTATCAGAGTTGGCAGACATAGAGATGCACATATAGATTTCATTCAAAGTGACAATCGTAGCAATGAGGAGAATTGTATACTTCATTTTTGTTCGGGCGAAGAGCCTAAATGGCAAAAACCTTTCAAACGTTTCTGTGTCAGCATGTCTTTAGTGAGTCGCTGCATCATGTGAAGATAACGCTTTTAAGGATTACTCTGATACAAGAAAGAGGTAAGTATAGGTTAGTTTCACTAGAAGTTTGGCAAACACAAGCTTGGTTTTTGATTCAACAGTTGAATTTAGTTGACAACAGCGAAGACATGTGTTGTCTGTGATTGGTGTAAAAACCAGAGCTTTATTTTCCTTTGGCATGTTACGTTTTCATTTTTCCATTTGCTACTTTTTCAAAAGGTTGTTGTGGCTGGCACCATGTTCAATGTCCCGGAGCCTCACGCGGTTGGAAATGTTGCCAAGAAAATGCTTTCTGTGACCCTCTGCTCTCATTGTAAAATCTTTTGCCAAATTATTCAAAACAAAGAAGCTCAGGCCAGGGGTTTAGGGGTTTAGGTTAAGGACAGCATGGAATGATGAGGCATTATTTGTTTGTTTTTGTTTTGTTTCATTGTTTTGTCCTGTGGCCCCAGGAAAACTAATTGGTCATTTTGGTCTAGAACAGCCACTGTTGCAGGTCATAATACTGATGTCATCCCTTCATCCATTGTCTAAGTCATTTGTTCTATAATTATGATGCACATACCTTTATTTGTGTTAGTTTTGCTTACTTTGAGGATTTACGTATATGTAATTTATTTTCAAAAATCTGCTAAAAATTAAGGCCAATTAAGGATTAGCTGATGGCCTTCAGTACAATACAGACCCAACTCTGTATTGTTGTGTCTGGTTTCTCTCATCCTCCTCTCGACGAGGGTCTTCACATAATGAGTTTGTCAGCAGGATTCTGGAGAACTGGACTTTTTACTGAGGAGGTAATTCAGCCATATAATTCAGACGTGTTGGACTAGGGAGATATTTAAAAGTTTCAGAAAACCGGCCCTGAACCCCTGAGCTAGAGGACTCCTGCTCCTCACAGAACACCATCGATTCTCTATGGGGCTCCAGTCCAACACAGACAGCAACATCATGGTCATAACCTCAGCATTTAATGGTCTTGATACATTTGGCATTGCAACAGTTGGAACAAATCAGAAAAGTTTATTTTCATCTGAAAGAAGGACTAGTACCAGGTGACACACTTCTGACAACGCCTGCTTGACTCTAACAATTTCCTAGCATTTCCAAAAGTCCCTCTTCAGCTTGTCACAACCGCCATGCTTCTCTTTGATGCCGTTTACAGCAGTTCTTTGGGACATTGGACTGAGATGATGAGGCATAGCGAGACTGTGTGGCTTGCAGTGGGGAACACAACATGCAGCAGACATGATAAAGATAATCAATCTGATTAGGAAGGTAAGGAGCATGCGGCAGATAGTACCTTCAGGAAGGAGGTGCTGCATGTTCTTTATCTGCCTTATCAGGAAAAAGGAAGGTAAGAAGCCCCCAGAGGACATGGGGGGGGGGGAAATAGTTTGTGTTCTCTCACAATATGCCTGCTGCAATATTTGATGGTCTATTTCATATACAGTCACAAATGTCAATTTAAAATATCATATGTAGTTCATTTCAGAGTGGTCGCAGAAGAACGCCACTGAAAGTGGTGATGTGATCGTTCTGCCAGATGTGACTGTTCGCATACATCCGCACGTACACATGGTCTCCTTGCTGCAGTTGCAGGAAAGCTGCATTGCCTCCATTATCAGCCCCATCATGCGATGTTTTGTGGTCATAGGTTGCCACAACTACATCATTGTTCTTCATAAGGGTTAGATTGACAACTTGTGATCCTGTAGCATGGTAAAGGAAGATGAAGTAGTATATGCCTGGAACTGGTGCAGCAAAGATACCTGGAAAAAATAAGATTTAGGTTCAATAAATATAAAATATGATTCAGTATTTTTTTTAAAGAGGTTTCTCATTTGCATTGACCTAGGCAGTTCATTGCCTAGCATTACAATAGGGTAGCATTAGCCCTGATTAGGCTGGCAACTAGCATAGCCTGGTCACCCATTACTTGTTCTTTTTCTTAAAAAATAGTTGGTAATATATTTCTAAGTGTCATATATTACATGCATTTATATGTTTTTGTGATACTTTACTGTAAGACAGTGACATCATGCATAATTGGTGTCACAAATTGAAGCCACCTCCTGAATCGGAAGCCAGTTTTCACAGCTGTGAACTACATGAAATGTTTATGTTTGATGTCATGTATTACAGTAAACTGTCAAAAAAACAGATGTAAATGCATATAATGAATGACGCTAACAGATAAAATGCCAACTGTTTTTCTTGACGTTTTTTTAAAGAAAAAAGTACAATTCTCAGGTGACCAACATAGTCAACTTAGCCTACCGCATGCTAACTTTAGCCGTTCTGTGCTAATGGACAGCAGAGGACGTAAAAAAACTAGTGGGTGACCAGCCCAGACTTGCTAGTTACTAGCTTCTTCAAACCCAGCAGAATCTCCTTCTCATTTGACAGCGGCAGCCGTTCAGGTATCTGTGCCTCCTATCAATAATTTGGTCAGTATCTAGCTTCAGAATAGATTTAGCCTCTTGTATCAAGGAAGTAGTTCACACTGGGTGGACTTTAGTCTTACTTTTGGCAGTAATATTGTGTCTTAAAATCTTGAACATCTGCAGTAGGAGTGTTTGTAAACTCCTAATCTAGTGACTCTGCTACTACAGGTATTCAAATTTAGAAATATATAATTTAAGAAATAGAAGGACCCACCTGTGTGCTGATTGTAGGCATTGCCCACGTTGATTATTACTCTTCTGTAGATTAAGGTCGTGTCTGTGTTGAAGGGTCCAAGAGTTCCACTCCCACCAGTTGCAGCACTAAATGCTATGTTGGATGCGTCTACATAAAACAATATACATGTATAAAATATATATATATATAAACTGTCTCATATATTTAGTATTATACGCCTTTAAAATGTCCAAAAGCAGTTACCTTTTTTCTTCAGTTCTAGAACCTGGTTTTCAGTCTCCTTCTGCCTCGTTTCCATGGCTTCTTGTTTCTCTTTTATGGTTTCTTGTTTCTCCTTCATGGCTCCAAACTCTTTGAGGAACTTACACATGTTAGGAAAGCATGACCCGGTTTCAGTGGTTTCTTCTGTTTGAGGTAAAACATCCTGGGCCAAAGTTACACCACAGAACCACAGTAACAACCACAATGTGAAAGTCATCCTGGTTCTGTTCCAACATCATCCAGTCTCACTGACTGGATGATGTTTGTTGGTTTTATGAAGCTTCAAGTTACCTGGTTAATGGTTAACTAGTGAGAAACTCCGTTGTATGTGCTCTGTTTGCTTTTTCAATGCTGCTGCAGTGCTGAAAGTTTTCATAAATCAGTGTTGACGCCAAGTTCTCATCGATGCACAATTATGGGTCTCACTTCCGGCAACACGAACACAGCGTTAAGTTTTGTAATGGAATGACCATGATTAGCAGTGCTGCGCCTCTGAAGAACTGACAGTAATAAAGACGACAAAAGCAGAGAAGCTGGTCAGAGATCTGAGCTGAATAAGTTGGATATAGAGATGCACATGAAAATATAATGCAAAGTAATAATCGCAATGAAAAACTTTTTTCTATCTAAATAAATAATCAAAATATTTTAGGTAGTTGAAATTAGACAGAAGGATAAAATTATATCGCCACATCCCCAATTTCAAAGGGATGCAAAAAGATCAAACTATTTCTATGCTGGATTTTGCTACGATTAACTATGAAACTACTATTAAAAAGTATCAGAGGTAATCTTTAACAAAGTCAGACATTTTGATCAATATTGCCAAGCTATGACACCGTGTGATTATCAGGAAATTAATAGCCAAGCAGCTTTTTATCTCTGTCAAGTATAGTTTAATGAATACCAGTGTAGTGAGGTGTGATCTTACAGAATAATCGTTGAACGGTTTGATGTGAAAAATAAACAACTTCTCTAATATACACAACTAGTAGGTCCAGGATGTTGGTCCTTGAAAACTGGTGTTGAAGGCCTCCAGTATAGAGTGTCTGTAGTAATAATACTGTAAGTAAAACATTTCTGCTTAAATTTCCCCACTGATTTTATGTAAAACTAAGTTTTTTGTACTCATTGAATTCTGGGTTTTCTTTATCTACAAGATATAATCATCAAAACTACAATAATTAAAGGCACTAAATATTTCACTCTTTGTATTAAAACTATGAGTTTCAGTTTTTGAAATGACTCACGGAAAGGTTTTACTTCATATTGAATTTTCTTTAGATATACCTCTAAACATGCAACCATGCTTGTTCCTGAAACTTTGTTTTCTTCTTTTTACAGGAAACGTTCCACTAAAGGTCATTTGCCAGATTTACTGCTGATGTTTGACCAAGTTACACAAAGTATGCAAAGCACGTTTCTGCACAAGTAGAAACAAACAAACTGAGAACCACGAGGAAATAACTTGTTTCCTCAAACATCAAATCTGCTACGTGTTTCCTTTCTCTGCGCACACCCAACGGCTTTCTACCATTGATTTAGATTCTTCAAGTTCGCATGTTGTCATGAAAGTATCCAATAAGGGAAAAAAAGTTGCTAAGTTGGCAACAGTGCTCTACCTCTATCTGGCCATTAAATAAGTCAGGCCACACAGGGACCTTACACTGCTGAAAATAGTGCACTGTTTTTAGTACAGGTGTCTTTTTACATCAGAATTGCAATATACGACTCATCTTTGCTCTGAGTCCACTTTAAAATATTACAGCGAGTATGTTACATTTTATGCTCAAATTAAAGTGCTCAGTTTTTATTTGATGTCAATGTACGTTGGGTTTCAGAAAGTAACTTCTATACTCTCAAATGTCTTGTACACGTTGCAGTACCGGCATTGACTTTCCTTACAAGCTCACACTTCCGACTTCTTTGTTTAGAAGAACTCAACTCTTGGAAATGTGAACGAGTCATAAGACCATTGACACAACCTGCAACTGTAAGCTTCTCTTCCACCAACTCACACATTCAAGGCCAAGACTCTCAACAACAAGTCCGGGAAAGGGTGGAGAGTTCAAAGACTGATAAAATTTTGAGTAAGGAGTTCATGAGGAAGTACATCCATATTGCTAAGATTTTCACCGACCAGTCCGAAGTGGACTGGGATGTGAAGTAGTAGTTTATTAAGCTGTGGAAGACTCTCTGACAGTCTGAGATGAATCTCTATGAAAAGTGACGCTAATGCAGGAAACTGGCCTTTTTAAAAGTTGAGAGGAAATCCAGCTCTTGAACAGTAGCCTGTTCAAACTCTCCAGATGAAAAATTAAATAAAAGATAAAACATGCTTGTTTGTGGTTGCAGCAGAGGTTTCATCACCTGCAGCCTTCACCCCTCTCACACTGGCAGCACAGACTCAGGCCAAACATTTGTGTAGCAGGAGGATTCGACGGCATTGATAAAAAATATTATTCATGTGCACCTTCAAATAAGATCAGACTGAATTTACAGCGACCTGTGCGTGTTCCTTTTCACATTAACCCACTTAAAGCTTTGAGGTCATTTGCCTTTCCAGTCTTCATCTCAGGTGAAACGGAGATGCTGTTGTAGACCAAAATGTTTTTATTTGATTTTTTGGGGGGAATATGTCGGAAACCATGCGTCCTTTTCCTTCTAATGTATCCTCAACATTCATTTGGTCAATCAGCTAAAAAGTACGGATTTACATCATTTATATAAATATCAGCCAGATTTGTAATTTTGGCCAATTGGTGCCATTAATCTGAGGGTAATTAACTCCTGGTACTAGAACTTTTTTATGAATTTTACAAGATTTTCACAATAAATGTCAGTGTTTTCTACATTTCTTCTGTAAATATTACATGACATTTATGTTTCTTGAGTCATGGTGATTTCTTTTCTTTTCTACGGCAATATAATGCTTTGGATGCTACAAACTGTAACCGTTGGTATTTCAAAACTTTTCACTGTAAATTTGACAGATTTCTTTTTGCAGTGTAGTTTTGCATATGCATTAATACCAAGACAATAGTTGTGTTGGTGCATACATACTCTCCAAGGCAAAGCAATTTCATTTGTGTAGCACAGTTGAGCAACAAAGCAATTTGAAATTCTACAAATGATAAAAACATAGAGGCAGCAAATATTATATTCTCTCACGTCATCATCAAAATCCAAAAAACTGATCATCACAGCAAACTAGAAGAGAAAAAAGACTAAAATTAATCAATGTCCTAGTTATTATTAATCAAATAGTTTTTAGCTGCAGTATGCAACTTTAAAAAAATTAATAATTTGATCATTTTAAGACAGATAATCTGTGAAAAAGTTATGCTCCTCTGCCTTTTTTCAGTGCTAACTAGAAACAACCAATCAAAGTCTGGAGGCGGGTCTTAGGGATGTCAATCACCCTTTCTTCTTCCCCCTGGGTTACTGCTAAGGTGAATGCTAAAACTTGTTAGCACCAAGGATGATGGCAGATAAACAGTTTTTCCTGTAACGGTAAGTTGTTGCTCCACCATTAGCATACAGAGCAACAAGTACATGAGGTTGATTGACAGCAAGAAGACTCGCCTCCTTGCCGTGATTGGTTGTTTTTGGTGGGAACGAATTGGCCGCGTTGCATTTCTTCAGATGGTCATGTCAATGTCAATGTCAAATTTATTTATATAGCACTTTAAAACAGGTATAAAACTGCACCAAAGTGCTGCACAAGAACGACAGTAGCACAAATAGATAAAAACAGAATATCAAAAATTGCTTCAGTTAAAAGCCAACGAATAAAAATGAGTTTTGAGAAGCGATTTAAAATGATCCAGGCTGCTAGCAGATCTAATCTGAAAAGGCAAATTGTTCCATAGATTAGCAGCAAAAACAGAAAAAGCCTGATCTCCTTTCCTTAGTCGGGTCCGAAGGACTGTAAGTAAAAGTTGATTGTTTGATCTGAGGGTTCTAGACACAAACTGAAATTTTAAAAGGTCCTGAAGATAAGGGGGAGCTAACCCATTTAAAACTTTATAAGTTAATAAAAGAATCTTAAAATCTATTCGATACATAACAGGCAGCCAGTGTAAATTGACCAGTATAGGCCTTATATGGTCACGCTTCCTGGTTCCTGTAAGAAGCCGTGCCGCTGCATTCTGGATCATTTGAAGTCAATGAATATGTGATTTAGCCATGCCACTATATAAAGAATTGCAATAATCCAAACGAGTGGTAATAAAGGCATGGATCAGTCCTTCAAAGTCCTTCAAACTAAAATAAGATTTGATTTTTGCTAAAATCCTCAGGGAGGAGCTCGATTTTTTCTGTCTCACATTAAACTGATAGTTTCAATGAATATGTAAAAAAAACAACAAAAAAAACATATTCTTTATAAAAAAATAACATACCACAACTTTAAAGAAACTCTGCAGTTTTCTGAAAGATTGCTCCAGATTTGCGGTGCATAGAAGCTGAGTGCTTCTTCTCCATGTTTCCGGTTCTGGTTCTGCTCTGCAGCCCCAGAACCAGAACCAGAAGACCTGAGAGGTCTGGAAGGTTGGTACAACAGCGGATCTTTTATGTTTTGTGGTGCTAAACCGTTTAACCATTTATAAACTAACAGAAGTACCTTAAAGTCTATTCTACAAGGAGCCAGTGAACTAGAGCATTCAGACCGGGTTGTGTGGTTTACATGCACAGTCTGCTGCTTTGATATGCGTAGCGTCTGATGTGCATACAGCAGGTCAGCTATACTGTTATACATACGGTTTATGATTATGAAATAATCCTGAGTGATATTTCAGTTTCTATAAAACTAATTGGTTATTTTGGTCTAGAACAGCCACTGTTGCAGGTATTAATCTTGAAGCCATTCCTCCATTATCCATTGTTCTGATGCACAAACCTTTATTTTATTTTATTTTATTTTTTTGTATATTTTGAGAATTTTCTTGTGTTTTTTTTTTTTGTTTTTTTTTTCTTGTTTTTGTTTTTGTTTAGTTTTTTCAAAAATGAGCTAAATATTGAGGTCAGTTGAGTATTAGATGGTGACCATCTGTATTGTTGGCTCTGGTTTCTCTCATCTTCACATCATGAGTTTATCAGAAGGACTCTGGAGAACTGGATTTTTTACTGAGGAGGTAATTCAGCCATTTAATTCAGACGTGTTGGACCAGGGAGGCATTTAAAAGTTTCAGAAAACCGGCCCTGAACCCCTGAGCTAGAGGACTCCTGCTCCTGACAGAACACCATCGATTCTCTATGGGGTTCCAGTGAAACATGTACAGTAACATCATGGCCATTGAACCGGCTCTTGATACCTTTGGCATCACAATAGAAAGGTTCAAATTCCTGCTGGAACAAACATCAGAAAACATTTTCATCTGAAATAAGGACTTTGGACCACTGAGCAGCAACCTGGTTCTTTTCCACTTAGACACTTTTGACAACGCCTGTCTGACTCTAACAATTTTCTGGCATTTCTAGCAATCCATCTTCAGCTTGTCATGATCAGCATGCTCCTCTTTGATGCCATTTTACAAGAGTGTGTTGGAGCGTTGGACTGAGATGATGAGTTGTAGCTATACTGCGTATAAAATTATCATTGATAGCACCTCACACCACATAATGCTTTGGATATTTTACCATTGTTTTTTTTTTCTATCACATCATTTTCAGTAGAATTGTATTTAACATATTTTACGGACTATAAGTCGCTCTGGAGTATAAGTCGCATTTTTGAGGAAAATTTATTTGATAAAATCCAACACCAAGAACAGACATGTCATCTTGAAAGGGAATTTAAAATGAAACTAGAAGATTTCTGAAGAAATTTAACCGGGGCCTATCAAAGTGTGCCCTTCGATTTGTTATGCTAAAAATGAGCATCAATGCTCAGCTTGGCTGAAAAATTACAAAGTATCATGGAGAATCACAAGAATGTTCACTAACATGGGCTTTCACCATTCAGTATGTTAAAAGTTGTGTATAAGCCAAAATTAGTCAAAATGCTAATGTTAGCGTGAATATTGTCAGTATCAGGTGTGGCTTCACTAAAATATTGTCTGTAATTTACTTACTCCATTCAGTATACTAAACATGGTTAATAAGTAAGAGAAATAGCTGATACCTTATTGGGCACGCAGTGATATGAGCCGCATTCCAGGAGACGGAAGAATAATAACGATTCTTCTGTGTTAGTGTTTAAGTCTAATTTTACCTAGTTTTATTATTTATCCCTCCTATCTTGGTAGATATAGTCCCATAAAAATTATATAAAGATCTGTAAATGTACATTTTTTAAATTCTCTTAGCAGTTAGCACTGCAGTTAGCATTTTCCGGTCTGTGTGCAAGTTGATTTCCATTCCGATATCTGCTCCTTTACCGTTTGAATACTCTCTGTTTACTGTGCTGTCAGCTGTTCTGGCTTCTGGCTCACCTTTGAGCCTTCAATTTTCAACATGTTGGCAATTTAATGCCCAGGATTGGTCACCTCCTCCAGGTCTTATTCATTGTTTTTAGTCCAGATCATTTTCTATCTATGTCATTAGTGCTACTGTCTGGCATTTTTCAAACGGCAGGTTGAATTAACATGTTCAATTCCAGTGGTCTCAATGACATCAGTGGTTAGACATCACTGTGATACCACAAAGGAGTCTCTCTCTTGATTGTAGGACACAGAGAGTGTTTTCTCAGACCTGTCCCACACTTCTATCGCGATAGATCAGTCTTCAAAGCACGCTCGAAATTAATCGAAATGAGCAGTATATCGATTTCAGAGAAGCAAGAACTTACCAGAATATGGACGTCAAGCTTTTCCAGATGTGCTTTCATGGATCGAGATGATGGAGCTCAACATTCAAGTCGACTACGACGCTGTCCTTTGTTTTGAGGATGGCGATGACAGCCCCATTGAGCTGGAAGATGAAGCAACAGAGATTAAGGGGGAACCAAGTCCTTCTGGCAACTTGGAAAGTCCAACATTATTGGAAGTCAAGCAGGAAATAACTCCAGCTGCTGACCCTGAGCCTCTCAACTCAGTTGAAAACCGGCAAACTTACCAACCATCTACTGTTTCCCATTCTATCCTCGTTTTCACTGGAGTTGCAGAGTCAAGAAAACAAAAGAAATGTGGTTATGTGGCCTCCCGATACCAATCAAAGTACCCCAAGGCCACAAGAATGATTGGGGTGAAGAGACTAGCCAACACATCAGTGATCTCAGTAGGCAGGTAGACGATCTGAAAAAAGAACTGCAGAGTAAAACTTTTGATCTCAATGAGGAAAGAGAGCGAAGGACTGCATGTCAGACTGAAGTCATATCCCAGCAGGAAGAGATTAAAAAACTGCAAAAAATGCTAGAAAACGAACGTTGCATGAATGTCAAACATGACCATGGAAGAAACGGTCAAGAGATTACAGGTGGCTCAAAGGTTTCTTGTTCCTCCAAACAAGAGTATTCTTCAACAGCTGGATTATTTCAAGAGGGAGGCTGAAAAAAAATGCCTCCAACAACAAAGGTCTGGTCGAAGTAATGTTTGAAGAATACAGAGTGAGACTGAAATATGAGGAGCAGCTGAAAAGTCAGTTTCCAAATTCAGAGAACAGGAGGAAATCTCTGCAGGCTCTGGTTGCAGACATGAAGATGAAGTTGAAACTCTTTGGGCCCTTGAAATTATTTTTTTTCTGTCCCTGACTACAAGTCATGACTGGTAAAAATTTGGTCAAGAAAACAGAAATTGTTTGCTTTTCTTTCAATAAGGCAACAGTTCTCAATCCTTTATTTTGAATTTTAATGATATACAAATTTCACAAGACAAGATCTCACAGTCTTACAATTTTTTTTTTGCATTTTTAATGTATTTTGTGGCCCCTGAGTAGTCTAAAGTTACCAGTTTTGGACCCGAGAAGTAAAGACTTCACCACTGTTCATGGAATGTGGGAGTACGTTTTGTTACAGAGTTCAGTTTAAAAAAATATTTTCAAATTATCAGCAAATTTGAAAACAAAAACAAGACCAACTAACTGTGGCATTTTGTTTTTGTTTGCTCAATGAGTTTAAGTCATTTCCATCAGTATTCAATCATTTTTCAGACTTGGTGCAGCAGAAAGCCGCTGAACGTGGTGTGGTAGTTGTTTCCCCAGACGTGATTGTTTGCAACCAGCTGGAGGTAGACCTGGTCTCCCTGCTGCAGCTCCAGAACGGCCGCATTGCCTCCGTTATCGGACCCGTCGTTCGATGTCTGCTGGTCAGAGCTCAACACCACAATCTCGCTGTTCTTCATCAGGTGCAAGTTCGAAGGATGCAATCCCGAGGCGTGATAGAAGAAGGAGAAGTAGTATATCCCTCGAACAGGAGCAACAAACACACCTGTGGGAGCAATGTTATAGTCGAACAAGCGAGTCGGACATAATGTTCCTCCACATCTCTGAAGAAAAGTGAAATCTTAAAGGCTTCCACTCCTTTACTCCTTAACTTAGTGACAGCTAGTTGCGTTTTCTGAAAAGCTAACTACATTTCTTTTGCTGAATATTCTTGTCCGACTTTGAAGATTTGGAATGGTAAGTTACATATAGCTGTATGATCTGGTTGTAGGCACTGCCGTGATTTGTTATCACGGTTCTGAAGACCAACGTTTGGGACCTGTGAGGGACGGGTCCGATGGGTCCATTCCCACCTGTTGCAGCACTGAAAACTACCTTCAATGCTTCTAGACAAAAACAAACTCAATAAAATATGCTTCAAATGGTTCTAAAAAAAAACTCAGTAAAACTAAACCAGGTGGGTCCTCGAGGGCCAGCATCCTGCATGTTTTAGTTCTCTCTTTTCAGCATGTCGATGTTCTTCTTTGGCCATCATTTGATCCAGACACGTTAAACCAGGGAGACAATTGAGACATGCAGGGTGCCGGCCCTCGAGGACCCACTTTGGGCAGCACTCTTCTAAACCAATCATAAAGAGACTCTACCTTTCTCTTTAAGCACCAGAACCTGGCTTTCGGTCTCTTTCAGTTTTGTTTCTAGTTTCCAGTTTTGCTTTCACAGCATGGAGCTCTTCGTGGAAGCATGACGAGTCAGGACAGCATGAGTGAGTTCCAGTAGACGTTTCTGTTTCAACAGCCAGAGTTAAACCAGAGAACAACACGAGGACACAAAAAGCCAAGTCCATATTGATTCTGTCTTCAAAAACTCAGACTGACACCAACCCTGACTGTCGCTCCTTTTATGCCATTCTAATGCTTTCTGTCTGATGTTGATTATTGGCAGAGTGATTGTAGAGCCCACTCACCAACCAACATGCTCTACTTGCATAGAGCATTGCTCAGAAGATCTGCTTTATCGTGGTGGCCTGAGGGTTGTGACATGTTTTCAGTTGCTTAACTTGACCTCAGTGACCTGAAAATCAATATCCAAAACCAAATACTTTTTTTTACATATATATTAAAGTAGGTTGTTTGTTAGAGTTTTATATTTCTATGCAAAAGGTTATTAGACTGCGGAAGAGTTTGAGGATAATGAATCGACTGTGGACATAACTGGCGCTGATTCTTGTGTTGTTGCTGCTGGACTGGACCGGGAAACACAAGGTTAGTTCTCGACTCTAAATTGTAATGTTTAGTGGACAGCCTGGAACGACGGAGATCATCTGCGACTAGTGGAAAACGCCGAGCTTCATGCTTCTCTGCTGCGTGTTTTTATATTTTCAGTTTCCTCTTTGCAAAATACTGAATTTTAGGTGTTAGACATCAGCACGGCTTGTTCAGGAGGAAGTAAGGAATTTTCTTCTTTAACAACAGCGCCTCCTTCTGGAGTTGTTTTTTTTTTTTTTTTGCTTGTTTTTTTTCAGTTAAATCAAAATTCAACTTCATGAATACACATGCCAGAAAATAGTTCAGACTCAATATTTATGTTCATCAAACACAATTGACTTTAAACCAAGGACGAATAAGTTCCAAACAGACTTGTGCTTCAGAATGTGTTTAATTACAAAGCCTTGAGAGTCATAAAGATTTTTGTCTGTGAATAATTTAGTCAGCTTACATTGATTTAGACCTTTTTTTTCCTCATCTAAATCATTGAAGCCTTAAAAAAGCAACAATAGAAGTACAGCTAGATCCATTTACATGATCTAACAAAAAATACTGTCGACGTTCTTCTGTGTTTTCTCAATCATTCTTTAAAATGTCCGAATTCCGACTGAAAATCAGAGGGAAAAACAATTGCAAACAGGAGTAGTTTATTGCAGAAATTATTCCAAGATCATTCTTCATCTGGCGCAATTTGAATTCTTGATTCATCCCTACATGTGCACACACAATAAATGACTCGAGGGCTGTTAACACAGTAAATTTTGTTTGGAAACAAGAAATTTCTTGATCTGCTTAGCAGATCAACACGTTAAGCATATCACGCATAGAAGCATATGTAGTTCATTTCAGAGTGGACGCAGAAGAGCGCCACTGAAAGTGGTGATGTAATCATTCTGCCAGACGTGACTGTTCGCAGACATCCGCACGTACACCTGGTCTCCTTGCTGCAGCTGCAGGAAAGCTGCATTGCCTCCATTATCAGCCCCATCATGCGATGATTTGTGGTCATAGACTGTCACAACTATCTCATTGTTCTTCATCAGGGTTAGATTGACAAGTTGTGATCCTCCGGCATGATAAAAGAAGGTGAAGTAGTATATGCCTGGAACTGGTGCAGCGAAGATACCTGGGAAAAACAAGATTTAGGCTTAATATAATATAATATGATTCAGTATATTTATTTAAAGAGGCTACTCATTTGCGTTGGCTGACTAACAGGCTTTTAACCGAAAAGGATTGCTGTCCATTAGCACAGAGAGGCTAATGTTAGCCTTGGAGATGCTCTTACTCTCACTCTGAATAGTGCGTTCACATCAAATGCGCTTCGAGCATCAGACGTGTCCGGTTTACATTCAAAGTTTATGTGGAGGCACGTCACGGTCTGTCGCAGCGTTTGACGCGTCAAACGCATCTGTCACGTATAACAAATATGCTGGCAATAGAAAACAAGGGCAAGAGCCACTTTGACACGTCAGACATGCCCTCGACGCGCCTCCAAACGCGCCTGACACTCACAAGGCGTTTGGGGTCAACGCACCATCAAGCGTCCGCATTCAAAGGGCGCGTTGAACTTGGACTCTGCTACTACAGGTATTCAAATTTAGAAATATAGAAGGACCCACCTGTGTGCTGATTGTAGGCATTGCCCACATTGACTATTACTCTTCTGTAGATTAAGGTCGTGTCTGTGCTGAAGGGTTCAGTGTGTCCATAGCCACCAGTAGCAGCACTAAATGCTATGTTGGATGCATCTACATAAAACAATATACATATATAAAAAAAGATATAAACTGTTTCATATATTTAGTAATATATGCATTTGAAATGTCCAAAAGCAGACCTTACCTTTCTTCTTCAGTTCTAGAACCTGGTTTTCAGTCTCCTTCTGCCTCGTTTCCATGGCTTCTTGTTTCTCCTTCATGGCTCCAAACTCTTTGAGGAACTTACACATGTCGGGAAAGCATGACCCGGTTTCAGTGGCGACTTCTGTTTGAGGGAAACCATCCTGGGCCAAAGTTACACCACAGAACCACAGTAACAACCACAACGTGAAAGTCATCCTGGTTCTGTTCCACTGCCTCTTGTCCTCTCACTGACTGGATGATGTTTGGTGGTTTTATGAAGCTTCAAGTTACCTGGTTAATGGTTAACTAGTGAAAAACCCCGTTGTATGTGCTCTGTTTGCTTTTCAGTGCTTTAGCAGTGTTGAAAATGTTTTGTAAATCAGTGTTGGTACTAAGTTTTCATAGAGATACACATAAAAATAACTATCATCATGAACACAATTTTGTATCTAAATCAATAATTGAAATATTGAATGTAGTTTAAAACTGACACAAATATATGCAATTTCAAAAAGATTCATAGATATAAAAATATTCCCGTCTGTTGTAAAACAATAACTTTGATATCAAAAAGTTTCATATGTAAATCTTTAATAAAGTCAGTCATTATGACCAACATGACTAAAATATTGGTCATATTAAACACTATGACCAATATTAATCAATATTTATCTGGACAAGTCTGGACACCGATTGATTATCAGAAAATTTAAAGCAAAAAAGCTTTTTATCTCTGTCAGGTATTGCTTTATGAATACCGGCGTTGTGAGGCGGAATATTACAGAACAATAAATGACAATAAATAATAAACAGAAACACTTACAGAATAAAAGTGTTGCTGTGAGAGACAGACGGCTGTGTAACGATCCGCCTCTCATTTACACAGATAAAAGTTTCAGGACGCTGGATCTTGAACATCGGCACTGAAGTCAGTCTGCAGTAATAATGCTACTGCAAGAGTTTAACATTTCTGCTTAAAATATCCCATTGGTTTTATGTAAGAAAACAAAACAATTCTCACTCATTCATCTCTGGGTTTTCATATCTGCAAGACATAATCAGCAATATTTTTTTGACCTCATATTTAAATTTTTATTGGATGTACCTCATATACAGCTTTGTAGTACAAAATCAATCTCCATCAAGTGTCAGATATTCGACAGAAATCCGCAGTGTAAATTTGACACCTTTTCTGTTTGTGAATGCTGTAAAATTATTTGATTACATTTTAATTTTGTTGCTGAAGCTCTGTTTTTTTGTTTTTGTTTTGTTTTTTGATTTTTTTCAGTTCCCGTTCCACTGGAGGTCATTTTTTCCTGAGCTACATGCTGTGTTTGACCAAGTTACTCAATTGTGGGATTTTTTTTTTAATCTAGAGAAAGTCCACAGGAATTTTCCACTGCTTGAAATGATAAAGTTGTCTGACTGAAAATGAATCAAGTAATGCTGGCCATTTGGTGTAGCCCAAAAGTATTCACAAACAGGAAGTTTATCCTTGACTCGGTAAATAACAATAAATATCTGAGCAACAAAAGTGTCTGATAAACTTCACCCTGTAAATAATTTGGTTATTCCTTTAGAACAGCAATCAGCTTTTATAAGCATCCTAGTTTCAGGAACGTTTGTTTTCATTTGTGATGAAGCAAAGAAAATGATGACAGAAAGAATCAATGTTTTTATAATTAGTCATTTTACTGTTTTAAGTCTTTGTTCTTTTTTTCCACCAAGGATTTGAAAAAGGACAAAGATGCTGAATGACAATGGAGCTTAAGGAAAGAAAGAAATGTGAATGACAACAGACCTCAGAATGAATTAAGGATTATGAACTTTATTAGATATATGTTGAAGCAAAACAAAGAACAAAGCAACATGCTGCACAGCTTTGGAAACATCTGGAGCAAAACAATCATTTACTAAAAACAAAGTCATTCACAGCACTTAGAAAGTGTTTTATTTTTTCACAGTGAAATGTAAAGCTTTTTACTGTCATAATTGTAAAATGTACTTTATATATGTTAATATGTAAAATATTGTCCATACTTTGTTCAGCTGACATTGACTTTTGCTGATCACGCTATAACTCTGAAGAGTCTACAGAATAAGTTGAACTAAAACCAGCAAAAAGTTGAACCAAAGCTTGATATGGAGATTTGGCAAAGCAAAACATTTTCCCAAAACCGGGGAAAAGTTTTCAGATCTCAAACCAGAAATCAGTTTATGGTCTGCAGGTTTCATGGTTATCATCTGGCATGTGGATTTGGCTGCTGTTAAAGTGAACAGGAAGGCACTGGCTGGCAACTTTGTCACAATTAACAGTCACATATCTATATTCGCTCCTGAAATCATCAACTGCGCAACTCCAGTCCTTCTTACTGACGTTGAGGTCGTGCAGCCAAACGGGGAAGGTGCTGGTGCACAGGCTGCTTCTGCCTTGACGCTTCCCGGAGCCGTTGCAGATCCGTATGTAAAGATGTTCGGCTCCTTTGTCGATGAAGGTCTGCCGACGTCTTCCACAGAATTTGTATTTTGTCAGGTAACTGGGAAAAAAAACAAAAGGCATCTGTCAATATCTGGTGTTACATTAATTTTTTAAGAAAAAAAAAGTTCAGGGGAATTTAGAAAGAAAAAGCAGCTGTTTTATTTCATGCAAACACAGGAATATTATACAATCTCATAAAGAAAACAAGTTCTGTTAAGCTCTTTAGAAAATTGATTAGATATTATTTCAAAAGCAACCTGTACATTAGGATATATTTAGTTTCAGGTTAAGTGAGTTTTTGTTAAATGGGTTAACAAAACCTCTGCCTGGAAACATTGGACAAACACTGGCTTAGTGTGACTCTTAAAGCTGTTGACCAATAAGAAAACCTTTAACAAATCAGTCAGTGCTATTCAGGACTGGTGTAAGAATGATGTGTGTTAATGAAACACTTACATTTATTCACCACAGCAGACGGTGTTAAAGAATAGATCATATATCAGTAGAATGTCTTACAGTTTCTGACAAACACAGCAGCCCTGTGTTTTAGTTAAGCATCACTAAACACACCAGAGCAAACTGCACTCTGGTGTGTGTGATAGTTTATCCCATCAAACTGGGACGATAAACGGTTTCCTTTATTTCGGGGTAACTTACCTTCTCCATTTAGCGCTGGAGGTGGTGTCAAATTCGTCTTGCAAGACGTGTCTGTGAGCAAATTCTTTGTATGCTTCGGGGTCATTGTTGTCCATGCAAGGAAAAGGATTGTGGGCTGCGTTCCCGCCGAACACCAGGACGAGCACAGCGACCAGGAGGGCGACCTTCATCTTTCTAAAATGACAAAAAGAATTTACTGACAATTTTACATAAAAACCTCAAATGATTTTTTTTTTTTATTCATTCATGAGCTCAGTTCTGGATAACAAACACATGCAAAAAAATAGATTTCTGTTATTTTTGCAGAGTTTTTGTACCATTTGAAAGGTTTTCCAAGACACATTCTACCGATTGACAAAATCCTCAACATTTGGTCGTTGCTCACCTCAGATCAGTGGCTCTCTGTGAACGAAGACAACCTGCTTCACCTGAAAGTGGAGATCTGCTGCTGAAAACTGCAGATGTTTCTCCTCTTTTATACTCTTGTTTGGCTGTGACCAGCAACGACCAACAGCCAATCGAATCAATTCAAACAAACTCTCCACTTTCACTTTTGTGTCACAAAGACTCCCTTTCAGGCAAACTGCAAATATTCTGGATGTAATCTGGAAAGTGGTGGTTTATCACCTTCCTGTAACTGGGGGCCCAACTAAAATGTTTGTCCACTTCTGGACCACCTGGCTGTGTTTATTTGTACAAACAGGATCCAACACTGCACTGCGTTCAGGAAAAGGCCTGACGTCTCTCCTGCAGTGTTGACCTGAGGTCACTGAGCTGCTGGCCGGGGAGAAGATGTGGTTTTCACCTCAGTCCATCCTGACCTCCTGATTGGCTCCTGTCTCTGCTGCCAGTAAACGCCACCTGCCTTTCATCATCTCAGGCGCCTTTGAGTCATAATGAAACTGCAGTGACATTTTCCTGAGAATGAACACACAGGACTTTAAAAACTCTGAAAAACATCCTTATGATATTTAGAAAAAACGAAAGACCTATGATTAGAAAAATATGCAAAAACCCTTTAGAAAATATTTACAGAAAATCGTCAGAAGGAAAGCATGTACACAGACTGCAGCTTATAATATGCAGCTTGTGCCAAAGCAGGTTATGAAATGTGCAGATAGCAGGCCATTATTTTATCATCAATTCAATTTGGTCACATGAAATACTTAGTCGTGGAAGAAAAGTGATCAGACCGCCTTTATTATTTTGTCATCCAAAACAATGGTTATGTGATCAAGTAGCAACTGCTCTGAAGAGCCACTTTTGTTGTTGACATGATATTAGTCCAAACAAATATACCTTTATTTTCATCGGACATTAACAGGAACAATAAAGTGAAAACTGCATAAAGCTGCAGACATCCAGTGCTGCGTCTCATTGGTTTCCCCTCAATGTTCTTCATTGACATTGTTGACTCATTGTTGAGCTCTCAGTGTGGTTGTAAATTCATTTTTGGTTAATTTTTGGCATTTGAACTTCTATATGGTACACTGTAGGGGTTCTGTGCCATTTTCGTTTTATTAATTTCTTCCTTGTTTTGTAATTGCAGTCTTTGTGTTTTGGTTTAGACAGGAAGTGGTTTTGTTTTTAGAGCTATAAAGATTTATGTTTGTGTTTTTTTTAGGTTTGGAAACTCTGAAGTCTTTTCTTCACCCTTTGTGTTTCCCTGAAATGGAAAAGATATGGAAAAATAAATTATTGACATTAGTTGAGTTTCCTTTGATCATTGACTCTCATGGTTTGTTGTAAATTGTGTTGCATCCTGAGCCACCGTAGAGAGACAGGGATGTAATGATTGTTAAAGGTTCAATGCAAATATGGCTGGAGCTCAATGGGGCCCATCTGGGAGAATATGAAAACCAATAGAGCCATAGATCTGAATTATTAACAATTTCAGGATTTATTGATGGAAAAAGAACAATTACCAAAATTTCTATCTACTTATGATCCTCAACTTGGAACTTTGACCCTTTGACCCTTTGTCCCATCCACAGGGAGCAGACAGAGGAAACAATATAATTATATCTGTTGATTCTTTCTTGACCCTCTATATATATCCCTGAAATATCTTGCCACAATGTTTATGCTACAAATTTTAACTTCTTTCTTTTGATCGCTTTTGA